ACTCAGATATTCACTTTTTTTTTATTTTTAGATACCTTTTATTAAAAAAGCGAATGAATTAAGCAAGAATAAATTACGATTAATTGCTGTGCCGTGGACGTCACCGAATTGGATGAAAATTATACCTCAATATGCTTCAATTTTCAGCGAATTGAAAAAAAACATGTATCAGCCTTGGGCGGATTACCAATTGAAATTTTTGGAAGCATACGATGAGAATAATGTCTCATTTTGGGGAATTTCCACTGGTAACGAACCGACTGTAGGATATTTCCCTTTCAATAACCCCGGCGTACCTGTTGTAGCATTCACGCCGTGGGATTTGGTAATTATTAATTTATTAAATATGTACCTATTTGTGTTTTTGCTATGCCTACCTAAGACGTATACTAAGATGTAGCTATACTTGAAAAGTTAGTCAAGGGTACTATGTAAAGTTTATGACAGCTTTAATAGCTTTTTAGAAAATATATTTTTTTTTTAGGTAAAATGGATAGCCAATCACTTTGGTCCTACACTTCGAAATTCTAAATATTCCAATATAAAAATTTTAACTCTGGATGAACAACGGCCGTTTGCGTTTTTGTACCTAGCTTTTGTAAGTTTCCAACGTTAACTAAAGTTTCCACTACAAAGAGTATTAATTGTGATATGTTTTTGCTTATTTTTTAATTCAATTTTCTCCTTTCAAGATGGAATTAAATAATAAGTTTGATGATTATGTGGATGGAATAGCAATTCACTGGTACTTAGACAAAGTATCGCCTCCTTTCTTACTCGACATTACGCACGACAGGCACCCGAACAAATTCTTATTGTTAACTGAAGCTTGCAAAGGTTAGTTGAGGAATTTGTATTTCAAATTTTTTATGGCATCGAAAATCTTTAGGAAATGGTGCACTAGATAGAGACATAGAAATGGGCTCCTGGGAAAGAGCCGAGGACGTATCAACGGGAATGATTGAGGTAAGAGTATACATTCCTAAAATCTATTTCTTTAAGGACTTGAACACTGTATTTTTTCTTAGACAAACTAATAATGAATTTGCAGAATATGAAACATTGGGTAACCGGCTGGATCGATTGGAACTTGGCTTTGGACACGAAAGGGGGACCCAATTATTTATCGAATTACGTTGATTCTCCCATTATTGTAAACGCATCGGCAGGAGAATTTTACAAACAGCCGATGTTTTACGCTATGGGGCATTTCTCAAAATTTGTCCCTGTCGGTTCGAAGCGGATTGATGTATCCGATTTCGATAGAGACGTCGAAACGATCGGGTTTAAAAGGCCCGATGGCGGTTTTGTAGTCATCGTTTTGAATAGGTATGTAATCGGGCTTTGGATTATTTTAAATCTACAAATTTTCTTTGTGTTTATTTCAGAAAAGACAAGGAAATTGATGTTACGATCGTTGAAAACAGCCGGGGACAGATTCCGCTTAGATTGACCCCTCGTTCTCTAACTTCTGTAATATTTTGGTAAACTTTTGAAATTGAAATCAAAAGACTGACCTAATTCTAAATTGTTTAATTAAAGAATGTATTATGAACACAAAAAAGAATTTTAGAAAACAATATCTCAATAAAAATTTTAATCAAGTAACTATTATCTATTAATTACATAGAAATATTAAGTACCCAAGTAAAGTATGATAATTCCATTAAAATTAAAGCTATAAATGCTTTAATAAAATCTTTGTTTCGTTGGCGTTTTTTGTTAAAAATAATTCTCATTAAAATTGGTTAATGAAAAATAATTTAATGTAGAGAAATTCATTACCATAGACTATAGACGTATGTATGTATTAATTATATTATCGCTATTTTTAGGAAAATACATTAATAAGTCAGTCATGCATTAAAGGGGAAAACAATATAAGACAAACAAATAATAATAATAATTAACTGCAAATTCTACAATTAAATCGTGATAAAAAATTAGAAGGTACTTTTACTATCTTACATAAAGTATTTTAATAATAGTGTAAGAATGTAATAGAAATTAATCTTCAGTGGCTGAATTTAAACGCCCTTTATAATGTCCAGTTTTTCTAATATATTAGCACGAAGTAAATATTTATTTGTGTATGTATAAATTTAATTTAAACTATTTGCAATGTAAATTACCAGACGAAACTAATTTGCGTGACTACACTGGTTGTAAATACTTTAAAAACGAAATTTCGATTTCAGTCGCTGCAGTTTGGGCAAAATTTTTGAACTTGATTATTTGAGATCAATAGGTATCATGTGGAAAAACTTGATAGTGCTTAAGGTTTTAACAGGTAAATAATTTTGAACGCACGTAGGAGAAATAGTATTAATATTTCTTTAAAATTTCAGTGCTTCACTTCACTGCTTCCAATCAACGTAAGGGTATACTTTTATTATTAGATGTTTATTTGAATTTTATTCACATAAATACAACTTATTGGTTTTAGCTTGTCTTGTTAAGGAATACAGTAAAGACTATACAGTTTGTGTATGCAATTCATCATATTGTGATACAATATCTCCAATTGAAAAGCTAACGCCTGGTAAATACATTGCGTACACTTCGAACAAAGCTGGATTGAGATTCTACGAAAGTAGAGGAAACATGAAATTGCTGGGAAGAATGAAAAACGTTATAAAAATTGGGAAAAAACAGTACCAAGAAATTTTAGGTTTCGGAGGCGCATTTACCGATTCTGCTGGTATCAATATAGCAAACCTAGAAGAGGCTGCTCAAAATAATCTTCTTAAGTAAACAATCATATTTTAAGCAATATTTCTTGATTAATCTCTCGTTTACAGATCGTATTTTAGCGATACTGGACTGGAATACAATTTTGGTAGAGTACCAATTGGTGCTTCAGATTTTTCAACACATCCTTATACGTACGATGATACTTCTTTCGAAGACCCAGACTTGAAATATTTTAACCTAGCTATAGAAGATTACAAATATAAGGTATTTAGGTGCCCAAATTTTCAACATAAGATACATTTTCAAGTTCTGATCAAACACTTTTTCTATCTTCCTTCACTCAGATGATCACTTTTTTACTTTCAGATACCTTTCATTAAAAAAGCGAATGAATTAAGCAAGAATAAATTGCGATTAATAGCTGTACCGTGGACGTCACCAAATTGGATGAAAATGATACCTCAATATTATTCAATTTTCAGCGAATTGAAAAAGAGCATGTATCAGCCTTGGGCGGATTACCAATTGAAATTTTTGGAAGCGTACGATGCGAATAATGTCTCATTTTGGGGCATTTCCACTGGTAACGAACCGACTATAGGATACTTCCCTTTCGGTATACCTGTTGTAGGATTCACGCCGTGGGAATTGGTAATTATTAATTTATTAAATAAGTGCCTATTTGTGTTTTTGTTTACCTACCTACAATAGCGAATGATTAAGATGTTCGCTTGAAAAGTTAATCAAGCATAGTAAAGTAATGTTTATGACATCTTAAATACTTTTTTTAGAAAATAGCAACTATCACTTAGAATTTTTTTAGGCAAATTGGATAGCCAATCACTTCGGTCCTACAATTAGAAATTCTAAATATTCCAATATAAAGATTTTAACTCTGGATGACGAACGACCGTTTGTGCCCTTGTATATAGGTGTAGTAAGTACCCATAGTTAACTAAAGTTTCTAGTACAAGCAACATTAATTGTGATAAGTTTTTGGTAATTATTTTTAATTCGATTTTCTCCTTTCAAGATGTTCTTAAATAAAAAGGTCTATGATTATGTGGATGGAATAGCAATTCACTGGTACTTTGACAAAATAGCGACTCCGCTCTTACTGGACATTACGCACGACGCGCACCCAAGCAAATTCTTATTGTTAACGGAAGCTTGCAGAGGTTAGTTGAGGAATTTATTGATCATTTTAATTTTTTATGGCATTTGAATATCTTTAGGAAACCTTCCACTAATAGATATACACATAGAAATGGGCTCCTGGCAAAGAGCCGAGGATGTAGCAACGGGAATGATAGAGGTAAGAATGCATTCCTAAAATCCATTTCTTTAAGGACTTGAAAACTGTATTTTTTTCTAAGACAAACTAATAATGAATTTGCAGAATATGAAACATTGGGTAACCGGTTGGATCGATTGGAACTTGGCTTTAGACACGAACGGAGGGCCCAACTATTCGTCGAATTTCGTCGATTCTCCCATTATTGTAAATGCATCGGCGGGAGAATTTTACAAACAGCCGATGTTTTACGCTATGGGGCATTTCTCAAAATTTATCCCTGTCGGTTCGAAGCGAATTGATGTATCCGATTTCGACAGAAACGTCGAAACGATCGGGTTTAAAAGGCCCGACGGCGGTTTTGTAGTCATCGTTTTGAATAAGTATGTAATCGGGCTTTGGATTATTTTAAATCTACAAATTTTCTTTGCGTTTATTTCAGAAAAGACAAGGAAATTGATGTTACGATCGTTGAAAACAGCCGGGGACTGATTCCGCTTAGATTGACCCCTCGTTCTTTAACTTCTGTAGTATTTTGGTAAACTTTTTGAAATTGCAATTTTAAGTCTGATCTAACTAATTCTAAAATATTCAATCAAAGAAAGTATAGTCATCATCAGCACTCTATTCACACCATTTCTGAGTACATGTATTTCTATTTTCACCCTATTTATAAATAAATTAATAATTTATAGATAATAAATTTGTACATAAAAACAGCAGTTTCATTAAAAACCTATACCAAACCTATTAAAACCCATTCCAAAAAAAGAACAATCTTCAACAGAAATGTAATTTCTACTTCGTATAAATGGTAAAACAAGCATCTGGTGCATGCATAATTTTATTTTTAGAATAAATTTATGTAAACACTGTGTTATAAACACCCACTAAACTACTAAACACGTATCGGCAAATCTGAACAATTTCCTGCAGTAAGTTAAGGCGTTGCCTTTGTGCGATACAGTATCTACGCCACTGTTAAATTGTTCGTAACATCAGAACCACTCAATGTGTACAAAGTGGTCGGTGTTTCATTCAATAAAAAACATTGATATTGTATAACAGGCAATTGAAGAGGAAGAAAAGTTAGAGTTTTCTATTTGGGTATTTAATGTAAGTATTGAAATGTTTAAATTTGATATTGAGTTGTATTTTTGATCCGCGTTAATAAAACTGGCTGTTTATTGATTAATCCAATTTCAATTGAAATAATTTGCGCTTTAATTTCTAATCATGACATCATCATATCATCGAGTACCTATATAGTCGTAGATAAAAAATATTTGCTCGATTTTAAACATCAATAATAATTTTGAATCGTTTTAGAGAGCCCTCAAAATGTTTCTCATCTTGCTCGGTATTCTGCTAATAACGTTATTTTACCTTTTCGGCGTTAAACCTCTGTTTGCGTGGGAGAGGAGAGGAGTAAAACAAGCTGGCTTTGCGGAAACTTTAGGTTCGAACTACTTTTCTTTGCTTACCAGGAGAACTTTGATCGATTTTGTGCGTGAATTATATGGTAAATTTCCTGGATACAGGTAAATTACACTCTAATATTTATTCAGATTACTAGTTTTATTTGAATTTGTTACTTTGGTTTAGATATTATGGAATGTACCAGCTCAATAGAAGCCTCCTTATTGTCAAAGATTTGGATTTGTTAAAGCAGATGACTGTGAAGGATTTTGAGCATTTCAATGAGCATAAAGATTTCGTTCCCGAAGAAGTAGATCCTATATTCGCAAAAAGTCTGTTTTCTTTGAAAGGTACACGTTTCTAATCTTTCCACTTTGAAAAATTATGCTTCATTATTTAATCAGGTAATGAATGGAGAACGATGCGTTCAGCTCTGAGTCCAGCATTTACGAGTAGCAAGATGAAAGTACTTTACTTGCTGATGCTCGAAAACACCGAAAAATGCATGAACTTTCTGTTAAATAAGAAAGAAAATCTGTTGGAAATTGAAATGAAGGATTTAACGAGTAAATTTTGCAACGACGTCATTGCTTCCTGTGCCTTCGGAACAGAAGTCGATTCCTTCAAAAATCCTGACAATGAATTTTTCGTTTACGGAAAAGAGCTCACCGATTTTCGGAAGATCCCAAGGATGATCAGTTTTTTTATTAGTTACTTATTTCCAAGGATCTCAAAAGTTAGTAATGTTTAAATAATAACTATTCCTCTGGTACGCATTGTTTACTTTTTAAGTTGTTCAACGTGAAGTTTACATCAGATGAAATATACGATTTTTTCACTAAATTGATCGAAGACACGATTAAATTGAGAGAAGAAAAAGGAATCGTCAGGCCAGACATGGTGCATTTGCTAATGGAAGCGCGCAAAGGAAACGTAGCAACTGAAGAAACTGTGGATGTCGACACTGGATATGCCACGGTCGAAGAACACTTAAAAGGTACCAGCTTCTTATAACCTTCTCGTTAATCACATTAATTTTCGCGTTCGCAGCTTCCGACACTTGCGCTATTACCAACGCGGATATCGTCTCGCAGGCTTTTCTATTTTTCTTCGCCGGTTTCGATTCAGTTTCAACCTTAATGTCTTTCATGGCGTACGAACTGTGCATTAACGAAGACGTCCAAAATAAATTGCGCGACGAGATTGAGGAAACCTCCGAAGCTTGCAAGAACAAACCGAGCTACGAGGCTTTGGTTAACATGAAATATCTGGACATGGTTGTGTCAGGTATGCATGTTCACACAACCTGTAGATTTATGTTAATATGTGTGTGAATTTTGTTTGTAGAAGCTCTAAGGAAATGGCCAGCTCAAGTGGGATTCGAGCGAGTCTGTATCAAACCGTACACCATCAAGCCGGTACTGCCGCACGAAAAACCCGTCGATGTAGACGTGGGACAATCCATTTTTGTGCCGGTGTATGGTGTTCATCACGATCCTGAATTATTTCCCGACCCAGAAGCCTTCGATCCCGAACGATTCAGCGATGAAAACAAGAATAACATTAAATCGTGCGCGTTCATGCCGTTCGGTCTCGGCCCGAGGAATTGCATTGGTTCAAGATTTGCTTTATTGGAGACCAAAATTCTGTTCTTTTTTCTTCTGAAGCATTTCAAGATTGTGCCCGTCGAAAAAACCGAAATTCCTCTTAAACACGGCAAGAATTTGTTTTCTATATTACCGACGAACGGTTTTTGGATGGGTTTGGAACGCATACAAAAAGTTTAATTAATTTTCCACCAATTTTTAAAAATTGTGGAGAAGAAATTCGAGACGTATTAATAGATAGGTACTAAATAATAGGCATAATAGATACTAAACTACTATGTATGTTTATTTATTACTAATTTAAATATGATATTAAATACAGTAAACAGTTTAAGAGTATATTAATACAGACTTTGATTCGAATACGAGTGTGCTAATGAAACCTAAATTAATTAATTTAAATAATTAGACAATTTATAAGTACACAAGTGGGTAATGTTACTCGAAAATAACGTGGGTATTCTATAAGTAAGTGAGCTAATTGAAGTAATAAAGAGGGACAGAGACGTGTTAATTTTAATAAACATCCTTAAAATTCCACCCACTATATAAAAACATAAAAATTGTACCAAAAAAATAACACTAAACGAATTTCATTGGGTCGATTCTGGAAGGAAACCCGTGATGATACGGCAAAGCGGAAAGTCCATGTCCTTGAATTTATTTTTATAATCCAATGGAATCACAAATTGGTGTTGAATTAGGTCGATACATTACCTACGCCACTGTGAAATAAATTGTTCAACGCATGAAAAATGTAACGCGTAGATTATTGTTACATTTGATCATGAATTTTGTAAAAACTGTTGGTGTTTAGGAAGTGAATTAGAATTAAAATGTTTCTTGTATTATTACTTATCCTGGCAATTACGTTATTTTACTTGATTGGCGTTAAACCTTTGTTGCTTTGGAAGAATAAAGGAGTGCCGCAGAAGAACTTTCTGGAGACCCTGTTTATGAACTATTTCTCGTTTTTTATTGGCCGTTCTATAATCGATTTTATAAAAGATGTTTATCAAGCTTTCCCGGGATGCAGGTAAATCACATTATTTAATTCATTAAATTTTGATTTATTGAGTAAATTTAGGTATCACGGCATCTACCAATTCAACCGTGATATCCTCGTTATTAAGGATGCAGACCTAATAAAGCAACTGCTGGTGAAGGATTATGAACATTTCAACGAGCACAGAGACTTCATTTCCGAAGATGTAGATCCGTTACTGGGAAAATCCCTATTTCTTTTAAAAGGTTCGTAAACAACTTCACTTCTTATATTCTTGCAGATTGCAAATTATTTATTGTTAATTAGGAAACGAATGGAGAACTATGCGTACGGCCCTTAGTCCTGCATTTACCAGTAGCAAGATGAAACTACTTTTTTTGTTGATGCTCGAAAACACTGAAAAATGCACGAACTTTCTGTTAAAAAAGAGAGAAAATTTGATAGAAATAGAAATGAAGGATTTTTCGAGCAGATTTTGTAGCGATGTCATTGCTTCGTGCGCTTTTGGAACAGAAGTGGATTCATTTAAAAACCCCGACAACGAATTTTTTCGTTACGGAAAGGAGTTTATCGATCTTAAAAAATTTTCGAGATTACTTAGATTTCTAATTTGTTTTCTGCTTCCAAGAGTTTCGAAAGTAAGTACATATTTCCCGTTTAAATAATTTTAGGCGTAATTAACGTTGTTCTTTTTGAGGTAGATGTTCAATATAAAAGTAACAACAGATGAAATTAACGATTTCTTTTCGAATTTAATCGAAAATACTATAAAACTAAGAGAAGAAAAGGGAATCGTCAGGCCAGACATTGTACATTTACTAATGGAAGCGCGCAAAGGTAACCTTACAACTGAAGAAACTGTAGAGATTGATACTGGATACGCCACAGTTGAAGAACATTTAAAAGGTATAAACTAAAACTTATCTATTATTATTATCTGTATCTGAATTAATTTCAATTCTCAGGTTCCGTTGGTTGTCAAATTACCAATAAAGACATTATCTCGCAGGCTTTTCTATTTTTCTTCGCCGGATTCGATGCAGTCTCAACATTAATTTGTTTTATGGCTTACGAATTGTGCATTAATGGAGACATTCAAGACCGGTTGCGCGAAGAAATTTCGCAAACCTCGGAAGACTGCAATGACAAACTAAGTTACGAAGCATTGGTAAAAATGAGATACTTGGATATGGTTGTAACAGGTACATTTTTTTATATTTTTTGTTTAAGTCGTGAATATCTAAATGTTGTTTGTAGAAGCTTTAAGGAAATGGCCAACGCAAGTGATGTATGAGCGGATCTGTATGAAACCATACACGATCGAGCCGGTGCTACCGCACGAAAAACCTGTCGATTTAGACATAGGACAAACCATTTTTATACCGGTGTATGGTGTTCATCACGATCCTGAATTATTTCCCGACCCAGAAGCCTTCGATCCCGAACGATTCAGCGATGAAAACAAGAATAACATTAAATCGAGTGCTTTCCAGCCGTTCGGTCTCGGCCCGAGGAATTGCATTGGTTCAAGATTTGCTTTATTGGAGACCAAAATTTTGTTCTTTTTTCTTCTGAAGCATTTCAAGATTGTGCCTGTTGAAAAAACCGAAATTCCTCTTAAACACGGAAAGAATATGTTTTCTCCTCTACCGACCAATGGATTTTGGATGGGATTGGAGCGTATACAAAAAAATTAACAAACATGTTACATAAATTTAATATCTTATTGTACAGATTTTTCTACTCGTTTTTATGCGAAATTAATTGCCTAGTTGATCCAGATCTTACGTCTTACAATGCACATTACATTTTCTATTTGGGCCCCACTTTGAAAGTGAACCTGTAGTTGAAACGGGCTCTAGAAATACGTAACTCAACTAGTTTGTTATAATTCAAACAATTTATAAACATCGGTAAGTACAAGAAAGTAAGTCGGCAATGCTGGTTGAAGATTACGTGGGTATCCAATAAATCCAATCAACTAATTGCTGTAATGAGAAGTCACTAGCGTACCATTTCACTTCATTAGTTGGTTAATACTAGTCACTAATAAAATAAAAATGATGTTTTATTTTACTAATTTTTACGTGTTTTAATATCCCTAAATAAGATACCTAAAAAAATATTCCTATGCATAAAAATGTTTTATTTGTTCATAAAAAATTAACAGCTTTAAAACCGAATGCATCGAATGTACTTGTTTACCTACGCATGTTTAGAAAATTTGCGCGTTTCCAGTAATTTAATAATTAATAAATAACGACTCCGCAGATAGGAATTCCTCTCTTGACTGAATCGATTTTACCTAATAATTTATATTTATCATATGCACCAACTTAATTAGCGCAGACGTATAATTCTGAATGCTCAATCAAATAATCGTTATCCATTAGAACTTTTTATGCAACTAGAAATTTCGTAATTGGAATATAAAACATCTCTTAAAATTAAATCACTTTACATACCTGGCGACGCTTAGAAATTCTCAATACATTCATCTATAAATAACATCAATATTTCTTTTAGAAAAACGAATAAAAAAATATAATTAAACATATTCCCCGAATAACTCTACTTATTCTATTTTTTTTGTTATAAAATGTGTGTAAATCGAATGATAATAAATTCGAAACTACTCTGGAAAATCACCCGGTATATCGTTGAAATTTATTTTATACCTTGCCAATTTGCGGGGAAAAAACTCAAGGTATTTCCAATCTAGTTTATTCCCAAATCAAATATATCAAATCACTTTCTCTTTTTTCATATCGGGGTGAATTGGCGATGAAAACGGCCAGTCGTGAATTTGAAAGAATTAAGTGAAGTTGAAGTTTACGAAGCAAGGCAAGTGGGAGCATTTTTAAGCTTTATTAAGTTCACATTTATGTTAATCTGATTCACCGTTACGTAGTGTATTATTGAAAGCGCTTTTTGCTTGTAGGAAATGCTAATGAAGACACTTCTTATATTTTTTCAAATTTTTGTTTTCAACCATGCACAGGACGATTTTTTTAAAGGCAGTACAATTTATGACGACTTACTGAGAGCTGGTTTGATTTACCGGAACCAATTTTCATTACCAAAAAATCAAATGTAAGTCAATACAACCCAAAGTTCACTTTTGTTAACCAAAAAAATTCATTTGTAGACATCAAATATCACCGAATGAAATCAATTTAAAAGCAAAATTTGGAAATAACGAATGCGGTATAGTGCCGGAAACTTGCCCAAAATCCATTTACCGCTCTTACGATGGTTCCTGCAACAATTTAAAGCACCCATCTTGGGGCACACCCAACACCCCCTACAACAGATTACTGCCGGCGAATTACGCAGATGGTAAGTTCACTCAAATTACCGAATTTCCTTTTAAACCGTGCGATATTGAAGGAATTAAGGAGCCTCCGTTATCAAAAAGCGGAAAACCCCTGCCGTTAGCTCGATCCATCAGCCTGCTTTTATATCCAAACATCCCCAATGAGGACCACGTTTTTACTTTAAACGTGATGCAATTCGGACAAATAGTCACGCACGATTTAAGCATGACTGCGGGAAGTACTCAAACGCGTAAGTACACATACGAACCATTCTTCCATAGAATTACTTGCTTTTTTTTCAGAATATTACAAGGACTCATGCTGTTCAGCCGACGGGCAGCTTTTGGACCCATCTACTATCCCAGCTTTCTGCTACCCAATGATCATTCCTCCCAACGATCCTGCACACGCCAACGACAACACCAGGTGCATGAGCTTCGACAGGACTGTTACTAATAAGGACAGACAGTGCGTTAGTGAACGCCACACAGCCGAGCAAGTACAGAATATCGAACAATTATTTCGCTTCGTTCACAACCGAGTTTCAGCTGACCTCCGTGAACCATTACCTGGACTTGTCTTTCGTGTATGGCAATGATGATGAAACGAACCGCAAATTGAGGGAGTTCCAGCACGGCAGGTTGCGCGCTGATATCAGAAACGGGTACCAGTGGCTCCCCAGAGCAACGAACGCGTCCGGTACCTGCAGGCTCATTAACCCAAATGACGCTTGCTATGTAGCAGGTAAATCATCATAATACATTAGAGGTGGTGCGAAAGTCCAAGCTTGGACGAATCCTGATAACTCAACTTTTAGGAGATACGAGATTAAATCAGAACCCTCAGCTGGCGATACTTCATACTGTTTTTCTGCGGGAACACAACAGAATAGCCCACTTTCTGTCCCATCTTAATCCCCATTGGGACGATGAATTGGTGTTTCAGGAATCGCGCAAAATTAACATAGCGCAGTACCAGCAGATTACTTGCTACGAATGGTTGCCGTATATTATTGGCGAGGAAAACGCTTATAAAGCCAGGATCTTGTGGAAAACCGATGGATTTATTGACGATTACGACGAAAATGTGGACGCTACTGTTTTGAACGAACATTCCACGGCAGCTCTAAGGCACTTCCACAGTTTAGTAAGAGGGCAATTGCAGTTAAGTACGAAGAATGGACAGTATAATGTATGATAATCAGAGTTAATTTGAATTTTACAGTTTGATTAAAGAAAGCAGGTACTCCGAAGGTACCGTGAGATTCTCCGACGTGCTGGGGAGACCTCAAATAATCGAGGAACACCAAGGATTCGATCATTTAATGCGAGGTTTGACCACTCAGCCGCAGTCCGCGTCTGATCAATTCCACACCAGCGAGGTTTTCGCAACAATCCAACACGATTACAAGCAGATTATACTTTTATTTTATTTTAGATCACTCAATTTTTGTTCAGAAGCGACAACGAAACGTTCGGCGTGGATTTAAAGGCCTTCGATGTCCAAAGAAGCAGAGATCACGGATTGGCTTCGTACAACGATTACAGAGAGTTGTGGAAAATTCCAAGGGCTAGAAAGTTCGAGGATTTCTTGGATTTCATTAGTTATGAGGTATAAAAAAATTAATATTGTTAATATTATTGCGACTAAATGTTAACATGAAACATCACACTTTCTACATAAAGAAATATAGTCCGTTCGCTATCAGGAGATCACAGGCGTACCAATAAGTAAGAAGATTTAATAGAAAGAGATTTTTAATTTGATATTCTATTTAATATGCCAGAAGCATAGTGGTTAGATTACTTTATCAGGGGTTAGAAAATGGTCGCCTATTGTAATACATCCTGTATACAGAGTGGCACTACTAAAGTAAAATAAATAATACTATTACACAATGATAAAGGCTTAACGTGTAGCAATTTCATAATGTTTCTTGAGCCACTCGTGCTGTCTTTTACACACAAAATACTGTATTATTACTTTCTCTTGATGGCGAACGGAGTATAATTGGATTGTAGAACGTAGACAGGCTCGCTCGGCTGTATGAGCATCCGGACGACGTGGACCTAACGGTAGGGGGATCGTTGGAGACCAATCTTCCCGGGGCCTTGGTGGGCCCCACTTTCCTGGGCATCATCGCGGAATCGTTCTATCGCACGAGAGTCGGCGACAGGTTCTGGTTCGAAAACGGCGGCCCGAGCAATTTCAACCCGGACCAACTGCGAGAAATTCGAAAGGCCCGCATGGCGAAGCTGCTCTGCGATAACGCGAATGCTATTCGAACCATGCAGCTCAAAGGATTCGAGAAGCTGTCGTCCAGGTAATACTACTGATCGTTGAGGAATTGTATTATTTATCTTCTTATTTTTAGTAATCCGCTTATTCCTTGTCAGTCGCTTCCTTCGATAGATTTGTCCTTGTGGAAAGAGGATCGAGGCAACGATCCGGTGGAATACGTTTCTTTGATACAAAAAGTGTTCGATTTTAAATAGACTAAGAACTTCATTCGACAGGCTTCTGTAATAAATATATGAATACTTTTGTTACATTTTTACTTTGTTATTAAAAAAATAAGTACAGGTGGTTTTCGAAATAAGCAAAAGCGAAATGGTAAAGCACCCGGATAAATAAATAAATATCACTAAAAGAACCAAGTAATTTAACACTACAATATAAATAAATAACAAAACTTAAGACTAGGCTAAAAACATAGGAAGCTGAAATTAAAAAGAAATGAGATTCTCGTTATCCTTATGCTCGTATTTCCAGCAATTGTAATCTTTCAGAATAGGTCTACCATAAGAATTATGCAACTCCCTAAAGGTGATAGTTATTTTAGGCACTGATCCAGACCCGGCTGCTGCGTTAATATTGCTATCAGAATTTCTCATTTCGTTCATCCTACCTTGAATACAACATATTTTATACATGATTACAGTTCACAATTTTCGTACTTACTCGAGGTAGTAGAGCTGCTACCTCTTAAGCTGTGAGATCTCTGGTGGGCGCTGTTCTCCGGTCTATTGAAAGGGTTATGCCTGGTCCTGGGCGGGGGAACGGGAGATCCGGCCGGTTGCGAATTCGTAACTTGAATGGGCGTTTCTAAAACAACATAAAAACGACTCATACCGCTATCGTAACTTTCAAAGTTACTTTCTTTAATATCCATTACTACTCTTAGCATAAGATTAAAACATTTGTAGCAAACGTGTATGATAGCAATGTATTAAAACAATCTAATCTTATCATATGTATGGTTATCTAGAAAAAACTTTTTGCAATATTTCTAAAAAAAGCACGTTTTTTGTAATACTTGTTACTAGAAGATAAGAGTTTAGAGTATACCTTCTATATCATCCAATTGTCGTTGAAGTTCCGCTACCATTAGTTTCATGTAATCGTATCCAGCACAAGCAAGTGCCTTCATCCATTGTTCCATGGATTCCTGCGACTCGGCGCCCAGAATGTAACTCCTGTTATTTTGCCCGTGGAATTCGATTTTAAAGCTAAACTGTGCATCATCTTCGGCTAATTCTTGAATAATAATTGAGATAAGAAACGAGCATTAAATCAGAGAAAATTGGACGTTACCTATTGAGCAACCTTCTAATATAATAACCCCGACGGGTTCTTTATCACCTTTTTTGTCGAAATAAAATAATAAATTTCCCTTCAACACGAAATAACGTCTTTGGAAAATTTTGTTAACTTCACCTCGCTTGTTTAAGTAACCTTCTTTGTCAATGGGTGTCGCAGAAACTGCAAATGCACATAAGTTTTTTTCATTTATTTTCATTCTTTATATCTTTATTTTAATAAATAAAAATTAACAAGCCACTTCGGCTTTTGGCAGGTTTTGCTTTAAAAAATTTAAATGTCATACAGATAGACACATACAAATGTCACTAATCAGCTGTCAGAGACTTGTACTATGTATGTTTGCAATCATATCTAACTTAATTAAACTTTATTTAAACAAATAGAATCGTAAACGACGACAATTTCATAAAAATAAATCATCTATAATTTTTATTATATTGTTAATTAATCTATAATTTTAATTTTATTGTTTTAATATGAAATTAAAAAAGAAGAGAAATTGTTAATTAAAACGCTAACTTCACATCCATGGTTCTTTAACTTTCTACATCTTTGCAATTTCGTATTTTTCTGTGATACGCTGTGTATTTCTGCATTTTAGGCCATGTCTCAAGCAGAAAAACCCATGAAAATATCAAAACAGCTACGATTACAGGGTCAGGAGTTCCTATTGTATAGGAAAAACTCCGAAATACTGCTGGGAATTATTCAACACTTCGATTGCGGTGCAGACCAACATTCATGTTTGTTAACATTAGAAATGATATTTTGTACCCTTCTAAAAGATAGAAACATGTACGTAGAAGTTATACCATTAAAACCGGTAGAAAAAACCGCGGAAAATCAATATAAGGAGTGGTTGAGGAATACATATGAACAATGTTTTACTAAGATATTACACGCTATGGAAATCGGGTCCCCTAAACTTCAAATGCAAGGTAAGTTTTGTACACAAATGAATTTATTTAATAAATTACCGGTTTGTTATTTTATAGGACTATCAACTGCTATGAATTTGTTAGCTTACGAAGGAAAATATCCGTTAGAAGGCAAGGGTAGTTTGGAAAGCTACGTGCCAATAGCCAAATTGAAGTACATCCTTATGAAAATTTTATCAACCAAGCAAAACAACGGCCACCTCATCAACAAGTACACCGAATACCTAATATTCGATGACATACTGTTTTTCACATGGAAAATATTACCATCGCTGACAGCAAAATCGAATCCCAATGAAGCGTACATCATGAACTATTTGTTACTTCTCGAGAAACTCCAAGTACACCAAAACGCAGATAAGAAAATTTTATGCAGCGAAGGCAATGGTGAGTTTGAATAATAAATTTTTTATGAGAATGTATTGTATGTAGTTTACTTTTCAGCTTCTTTTTTTACCTTCGATGAATCCATCACTGTTAAATGTTTGAATAAAGTGTGGCATTGCGTGATGCATTGGGAGCACACCCCTCAAACTCAGAAGCAATTGCTGATTGTACTACTAGAAAGAGTCCTCACCCACTTAGATAAACCGCTTCTTTTAACCGATTTTCTCATGGATTCCTTAGACGTCGGCGGGCCTATTAGTCTCTTGGCTTTACAGGGTATTTTTACAATGATTCAGGTTCGTTGATACCCAAATGTGTAGTACATTATGCTATTTAGAAATATTTGCAGGTGCACAATTTGGACTATCCCAACATTTTTACCAAGCTCTACTCGATGTTTGAACCCGAAATTTTCCACACAAAATACAAAGCTAGGCTCTTCTACTTGTCGGATTTGTTTTTGAGTTCCACGCATTTACCGGAGAATTTAGTGGCTGCGTTTGCCAAGAGAATGGCCAGATTGGCGCTTATCGCTCCTTCGGAAGATATCATAATTATCTGCAATTTTATAGGAAACCTCATTTTGAGGTAATTGCTTTACATTGTACATTGTGCTTTATGTATTATATTATATGTGTTTCAGGCATCCTGGTTTAAAGTGCTTGTTGAACAATGCAGAAAAAGGAACGAACAACACGGATCCTTACATAATGGAAGAGAGAGATCCAGTCAAATCGAATGCTATTAATAGTTCTTTATGGGAGATCAAGTCGCTGCAAAATCACGTTCAACCGAGCGTATCTACAGCAGCCAAGTTTATCAATACTCCTCTGCCGAGCGTCGAATGGGATCTTAGTACGGTACTGGATAAAACGGGCGATGATGTGTTTGATAAAGAAGTTAAGAAATTCAGTAAACTAATAGTGCTGCAATTCGAAAAACCAAATGGAGCCTGCATAGGTAAAGGGGAAAGATTGTTACAATTCTGGGATTTGTAATTTTTTATGCATATTTGCAATTTATCCTGTTTAGCAAAAGGTGTGGTAGGACAAAAATATCCTTGCTGTTAATAATGTGTATCTCTAACATTTAAATTTTTTACTATTTTTCCTACCAAACTTTCGTTTTAATTTATTGTTATAATTTGATGTTTGCAGCTTTACACACTGTTCAAATACCTATATACTTTGGAACAATTTTTCGATTTAGAAAATGTCTGCCTCAAATTAATCTTAATATGCAATTAAGTGCATACATTCCAAATTATTACATCGTTTATTCAGTTTAATGGTTCCTTTTTTAATTGTAAAATAATCAACTAATGGATTGATGTGACACTTTAATTATTGTTATAAACTGTTACCTAGTACTAAATTAGGTGCTGAATATATTTTTCTTCTTTAAGTACGTACCAAATGTAAGTACATACACTTATTAATTATTAGCATAAATGTCACATTAGCATCTATCAATCGGATGTACTGTGAATAATTTTAATGAAATTAATATTTGTGAATGTGAAGATATGAATGTGCTTGCATAATTAAGACGCATTCATTTTTTTATTTGTTTGGATAAATAAAATGTCTTTTTAATTTTTGTTTTTTTTAATCCCGACTAGTTGTGATTAATAGGCTGATAAAATATACCCATCGAAAAATAAGTTTTCTTTAAATTTAAAGTCTCTTAAAAATAAATAAAGTTTATAACAACGCTTTATATACCTATAATTATTTGGTGTAGTAGAACAAAAAATTTAAATGCGAAATGGATTATGAAGGTATTCTTTTCATGAGCAAATCCCACGCTTTCTTTACTTGTTCCTTGGTGTATTCCACGTTCCACAATGAGCAGAATACAACATTTGCGTTTTGAACGTAAAATTGATTGTTAGGTTGAGCGTTGAGCCTGCTGTTTGCCTGTTCCTCTGTTAAATTTCTCTCCAGCAACCTTTTCACGGCCTCTTTCCTCGGAACTATCGTCGTCCATACCTTCGATAATTATAAAAATTAGCTATCCGAAATAAATAAAGGCGATTTTATTGTTACCTCATGACACATATTGTCCCAACCAGCTAATAACAATACAGCCGCTTCAATAACAATTACTTTAGCACTGCTATTTTTTATGATATTTTTCACCTCAATCGCGATGTGAGGCCATACAATTTTGTTAAGTTTTTCTAAATCTTCCTACAACATTAACATATTTAACTTAGAGTATACCTAGTCGATAAAATTACCTTGCATTTAAACACAATAGAACCCAAAACCTTTCTATCGATCTCCCCATTTTCCGCAATAATTTGCTGCCCAAATTCCCGGATAAGTTCCTCGTAGCAAGGTTTACCTGGCTTATAACAATCGTGACCTATTAAATCGCAATTTATTGTCTCCGCTCCTAAATTCTTTACGTGACTGGTCACACCGGTCTTTCCACTGGCGATTCCACCTTAAAATACATATCTACAATTAAAATTCATAAGGATATAATCGAAAGTTTAATACCAGTAAGTCCTATTACGTAGGGTTCTTTAGGGATTTCGTTATTGACTTCAATTGGCTTCAAAACTGTTCCTAATAGCCTCATCCTTAAGGAACTGGAGCTTATCTTAGCTTCCTCTGGGGGTTTTGAATTTGGTTCATCTACTAATTCTACTGGAATGATGTCCAAAACGCCCAAGTTTCGTTCTTTCCTAACTACAAAAAGACGTTTAATAATTACTTATAAAAGGTAACTATAATAATTACTGGTGTTAATTTTTTCTCCTCCTCGTACGGTTTCTTTGCTTACAACGATTAACTCCATCGTGGGATCAACAATAGCAGGTCCGAATGGATCCTGTATAGGGACAATGTTGTATTCCAATTCAGGACAGATATCATATAGGAAATCTTTTACTGCGTTCATTCTCTTAACGCAGTCTTCGATAAATTCGTTGAGGATTTTCGAATCGAGCATGACTTCTTCGGTTACGCCTACCTTTCACAAATACATTAGTACAAACTCTTTGCGAAAAAAAATTACAACTTACTGTAACTTTTTTGGCTGCCCTTAAGGCAGCTTCGCTCAGTAGAAGTTTATGGGCTACATGTAATCGATCAAAAGTTCCTCCGAGGACACAGTGGTTATATTTTTTGTCGTTTGTTGAATAGGGTTCGATTTCTTGGTCGTTGCATTCAACAGAGTTTAGGGTAAGAACGTTGTACTCTTTAGCTACATTTTGGAGCTTGGTGTTTATGAAACTCTCTATTTGGCAATTGGAATAAGGTTTATCGAAGATGATTAAATCTATCGGTTTTCTAGTTTGAATTTTTGCTATTTCGTATTTTAGTCCGGATAGTAAAACTCTTATATCTAAGTTAATAGAATCGGTTGCAGCCTACAAAATATAAATTACTAGTTTTTACTATAAAATAGAAGTTATAAACTTACCTGAGAGTATGTTGTAAAAATTGTAGGACTGAACTTTGACCAGGAGTTATATATATTAGGACAAAAGTTCCCTAAAGGATCCTCTAGATTGGACAAAAATTGTACATAAAGAGTGTTTTTTACTTCTTTATTTATAGATCCCAATAAATGACCTATTTGTTTGGGATTAGAACAAATCAGTAAACCAGTTTTAACTAACATTTTAGATAGAGGTTTATGAAATTCTGAAAGATAATGAGCCATAAAATGCATGTACCATTATATCTACGGTCTAAATATAAAAAAAAGGAAATATTACGTGTTGTTAATTATTTACATGGGAAAAAATAATTAGAAAATGTGAACTTTGAAAACGTTGCTAACTTCTCTCTATTGATGTGTCATTTTTGTGCCAATTTTAAATGTCACTCAATAATGACAGATTTAACAACAATCAAGATCGAGAAGGACAGCGGATATCTTTTCCTTTTTTAACTTATGGGATTGATTCTGTCAATTGTCTAACTCTCAAGTTAAATACTCTTTTATTTTAAAATTTTTTAATTTATTTGATTTTATATAAATTTTAAATTTGAACAAAACAAAGCTACAAAATTGTTGTTATTACTCACTGTGAATTGTGGACAGAGCCAAGTTTAATTTCTACAAAATTCAGTAACATAAAAATATTGACCTTTGGTATCGCATATATTAAAATTTATATGCATAAATTTTCTTTATCAACATTGTGCCAATTTTAACGCAATTCATTTTCTTGTAGTCCAAAATTTTACTTTATACTACTAACAGTAAAAATAAATTTTAATTAAATCATTACAATGGTATTGAAACTGTATTACGATCTACTTTCCCAGCCTTCTCGATCACTTTACATTTTACTTAAATTGTCCAAAATCCCATTTGAACAATGTTTAGTGAGCTTAGCTAAAGGTGAGTTTTATTTTTAACATCAATAATACATTTATTCCTTTTTAATTATATTTTATTCTAGGTGAGCAATTGACTAAGGAATTCGCTGAAACAAAATCTATATTTCAAAAAATCCCATTTATTCACGATGGAGATTTTCGATTAAATGAAAGGTACCTTCCATCTCGTTTTTCTTTTTAAAATTAATTACTAGCACTTTTTTAGTGTCGCTATTGTAAGATATTTGTCCAGACAATACACTCTAGATGATAAATGGTACCCTAAAGAAAGTAAAAAACAAGCAAAAGCAGATGAGTTTTTAGAATGGAATCATTCAAATGTCAGATTGAATTGTTCCACTTATTTTATTGTAAAGGTAACTTAAATTGTTTATTACATGTAGCTTGCGTAATAAATTAATAAAATACCTATTTTATAGTGGAGGAATCCTCTGATATCTGGCAAACAACCTTCAGAAGATCGAATTAAATCCCTAACAAAATACATGGAAAAATCTCTAACAGATTTCGAAAATATATTTTTAACAAACGGCCCTTACATACTCGGTGATAATCTCTCATATGTCGATATCCACGCAGCTTGCGAAATCGAACAAACGAGTAAGTTCAAATCTGTCAGTAAAATGGCCTCTTCTTAATTAGGTAAACGTTTCAGGAGTTGCTGGATATGACGCCAGAAATTACTCTCCTAAGATCAAAAATTGGATCGAGCATGTCCGATCAGAGTGTAATCCTGTATACGATGAGGCTCACAAATTTATTAACAAATTAGCTTCGATGCATGGAGAAGAAAACAAATCGAAACTCTAATATTTTAAATCACCTAGCGAATACTTGGGAATATTTTTGTAGTAACTTGTGTTAAATAAAGGTGGAAGGAATGTTTTAATAATTTTCTTAATATCTCTCTCAAGTGATACAACTATTATCGTTTCTTTAACGCAGAAAAACAGAATTTAAAGACTGTAAATTTTCTAAGTACAATATAAAAATAATACCAACAATTTCGATAAGTGAAATTAATCAAAGTTTTGGTTTTACTTCAATTGATGTTAGTTCGTTGATAATTACATGGGCTTCGTCATAGGCGGGATTGCATTCTGATCTTACATTGTCCAACCAGATCCTGATTTTTGGAAAATGGTCTCTTGCATCGTAGCAAGCAGTCCCTGAAAAATATTCTCTGAGCTAATTTATATCTGAAATATTTTTAATTACTTACTCGTTTGTTCAATTTCTGTAGCCGCGTGGATGTCCACGTACGATATCTGATCTCCCAGAATAAACGGTCCGTTGGACAAAAAAATTCGTTCGAAATCTTTCAAACACCTTTCGAGGTTTCTTAATAATTTTTTAATTCGTTCTTTTGAAGAAAATTTGCCAGTGAAAAACGGTATATGAAACTACAATATCGTAAAAATATTATTTTTCTTGAATATATAGGATGTCCCGCATTAGAACCGACACAGGGCGTGTAGGGGAGCCTAAAATATGTTGTCTAACCCAATTTTTTAATTTCTAACTCCGCTTAGAAGGATTATAACTTCTCAGGAATGTCTCGGGAAACTTTATAATAATTAAGCTGCTTTAAAAAACATATTTTGGGCTCCTCTGCACGCCCCTGCTCTGTGTCAATTCTTATGCGGGACATCCTGTATTTGGCAGTGCATTTACTCACTTTTACAAGAAAATAAGTCGCGCACTCCAACCTGATATTTAAATGATTCCATTCCAAAAATTCATCTGCCTTAGCTTGCTTTGCACTGTCCTTTGGGTACCATTTATCATCCAGTGCGTACTCCCTAGATAAATACCGCACAATAGCAATACTAAAAAATAAATATACACTATGTATTAGCCAAAATTACTAAATTATATACCTTTCATTTAATTTAAAGTCTCCATCGTGGATAAAAGGAACTCTTTGAATCTTAGATTTTGTTTCAGCGAATTCCCTTGTCAAATGCTCTCCTAAAAAATATAAAGTGTATATTTTCAAGCTAATTGAATATAAAGTAAACTCACTAGTGGCTAAATCTATAACACATTTTTTAAAAGGAATATTCGACAATTTTAGCAAAATGTAGATAGACCTCGAAGGTTGCGAATACAAGTCGTAGTACAGTTGTAATACCATTTTAAAATTAATAACCCTCACTAAAATACCCCTTTTAGGTAACAGATGCTTGCCAAAATATACGTGCGAATTTAACTATAAGATTAAGTAAAATTAAATTACCACAATTAGATTTTCTGCATAATCAGTTATCTATTTTAACTCATCGAACTGCGCAAAATTATTATTTTTTATACCGTTCATATCTTTCGCGTTTTCTATTGCAATGACCCATAGTACCCAGAAGTTTTTAGTACAGTATATCGTCAGCCCCACCAGCATCTAATTCTCTTTTTTTGAATTAAGATGTTTTAAAGAATCTTATCACATTAAATACTAGATACTAGAATATGCATAGCAACAGGGAACATGGTTAACTATAAAGAATAATATATAGTATAATGTAATTCATTAAAATAATACATCGTTGTAAGGGACGTAAAGGCGGGAAATATTTTAAGTAATTTGCGTGTCTTGAATTAAGGGTGTTTTAAAAAAAAATACCCGTAAATTTTAAAATTAAATTTGAGCTGCTATACCCTCGAAAATGTGAATTAGGCTATATATTTTCTGATAAATAATTGTGCAAATCATTTAATTGGATTGCTTATAAAGTAAAATAAAAACGTAACTATGATTAGAGTTTTTATCAAACATTATACACCAATTTTTTATTTTATATGCATATGGTGCATTTTAGAATTAATGAATTTCCTTAACACTCATCAATATAATTTTTCTATATTTCTGTAACCAAACTTAATAGTTCGCGAATTAAAGGAAACGCATAAATTATAATTATTTTTAATCATAGAAAAAGTAAAAAACCTAGAAAACAACAAACTTAATTATAATAAATAAATTTATGTACTAACTTAAGTACAAAATTAAGTAGAAGCGGACACACGGTGTCCTCGTGAAACAAAATGTAACAACACATTCGCATAAGGTGTGCAAAACAAAGGGACTTTTTTACTATTACAACTAACAGTAAATCAATTTAGTTTCGATGAATAGTAAATTGATCCGTATTGACTGGAAAGAATTCATCTTACTTCGATTCGCTTAAAAATCTTTTTATACAAGTAAGTACAAAAAAATCGAACAGTGAATTTTGTACCGAAATTTGAGAAACTCACATCAACTAATTATAAAAAACACATCTTTTATCCTCGTATACACTTTTGATCACATGCTGAATACTGCGAAGATTACAGTCATTGTTCATTTGATATGAGATCACTGTTAATACCTATATACAAGCTTCCATCAATCGCACTTATTTTCCAAAATAGACAACAAATATCTCTTGAAAAATATTTTGATTCCGTTGGTATTGTGCATAGTTAGAAAAGTCTGAAAGGAAATCGGGTGATGGTTGTTCACTATTTGATAACCGGTAACGTATTTATAGAACCCCAAAAAATCCTTCGGCGCATATTTTTCAACCTTCTCGACCTCCTCCACGTACATCTCAGGTATCGATATGTAATCGTCCTTGGTGAAGTTAATATTAATCGGCAACGGGAACAAGTGGCTGTTCTCTGGAAGATCGCAGGGCGATATGAATATATCGTCGCCCATGAATCCGTCCACCCTCTCTCGTATCAACTTCAAAAAATCGAACACGCCCGGACTGATCAAATTCACGTTCATGTTCTGGATGAACTGCGAGAGCTGATTGTCATCGTAGTATCTTATGAGGTAGTTCTTCTCTCTGACGTAGCACAGCTTGCCTTTGGGGATGCAGTCCATCACGGACCTCTTCACCCGGTACCACTTCGAATCGATTCTTATTTTAAAATTGTTGTCGTCGGCGTCCAGGTTCGGGGAGTAGTCGCTGCCGACGCTGCTGATGGTCTCCACCGATTGTCTCCGGTGCATGAGCTGCCTGGAGTCCAGGAAGTTGTTCTTGTATTCCTTCCAGTTCAAATTGGTGCCCGGGTGCGAATAGGGATTTAGAGGGGAGAGTTCCATTGGGAATTGCAGGATTGTAGGCGATACGACGTCAGAAGTTCGGCTGGAAGTCGATGTTTGAGAGGTCAAAAAGGGCCTCGCCGAGTTGCTGGGAATTGGGAAAATGTCGGGAGATTCGAAAATGGGGTATTTTGGGGTTTTGGAATAGATCGCAGGTTTTTTTAAATCGTTTTTGTTGATGTTTTCTGGAGGATTCGGGGGAAGTTTGCAGGTAATTTGCGGTTTTTGAATGAGACTTAGTCTCGTATAATCTTCAGTTTCCTGCGGATAATCTCTCGTGGGGTATTTTTTCGAAATTACTAGCGCATCTTCTTTTTTCGATTGAAGGGTTAGAATTTTTTTGGTTGGAAAATAATTTTGATTCAAATCTTTGCTATCTTCAACATCGTCATCTATAACAATTACATCTGCTGCAGGTGCTGCAATTTTCAGACTTCTCGAGGATAAATCGTCAGCGGCAGATTGACTTTTTGTAAAAGATTTTCTATGGTTACGTTTCGAATCTGAAAAATACAAAAAAAACTTTTGTAAAAATACAAGTAAGAAAATGAATTATAGAGTTCTTACCTTCGTTGGTTTGTGTTCTGTGCGAATAAATAGCTCCTTTTACATGCTTGATTTTATTTATGATTCTGTTGTAAATAGTCTGGTCTTCTTGCTTCAAAAGTTCCTTGAAAAGGTGTAGATCATCTTTAAGAATTTCTTTCTGCGATTCTCTTTTTTGGTGTACAGTTATTTGATCCTTGTTTTGTTTCTCAATTGCCATTTCAACTTTGCCAAAACCTTTATCAACTTTAATATCCGTGGCTTTGGTGATTTCCATCGAGTGATCTTTAATGATAACGGTATTGTTATTTAAATATATTTGTTTTTTGTGTGGTGCTTCAGTCTCTTTGTCAACGCATTTCTCTTTTTTCAGGGGTTTATTAAGTGAGAAAATCTCCGCAGGTGTCGGAGGACTTTTCTGCAACTTAGGCGGGACGTGTCTGTTATCACCAGGATAACATTCGCTGCTAAAACTTTGTGCTAAAGATTTGTGCACGAAATCCGAGTAAGTAAGCACTTTCGATTGTTGCACGGGCTTTTTAATCTTGTCCGACGGCCTAAACCCTCCGGCCTCCGCCGCAGGGGGATACGCGGCCAAATAATTCGCTCCTGTCGAAATTTTATTCGACAAAGTCATCAACACGTGCTTCATCCACACGTGATTACTGTAATATGTGCTAAACAATCCTAACACGTGCTTCAAAAACGGAATGTGCAACTCCAAATCGCATTCCATCAACTCCTGCGTGTAGCTCCTGCAGTAGGGATAGTGGAGATCGAACAGTTTCAGATTCACGTACTCCAGGATTTCGTCCGCTCGTTTCCTCAAGTTCGTCGTGAATTCGTCGCGTACCGCAGTGGATTTGGTGAATTTCGTGATTTCTCGATACGCTTTGCTCAGTACCACCAGTATTTCCACGGAGAATTCGGAGAACATGAGAATGTTGGAGGTTGCAGCGATATCTTCGACTGGATTGAATTGCTTGGACTTTCGGCGGATCTGGTGCTGGATTTCTGGAAACTGGCAATTTGATCTCGCGGATGGTGCGGTAATGGGCTCGGATTTTTGGGGGGTTTCGTTGGGTTTTTTGATTGATAGATTAATGGGCTTGTCGGGGTGTTTTTCTTCAGTTGAAAGCGATGGGTTGCTGACAGGGCGAAGGCACAAATTTTGCGCTCCAACTGAAGGATGTGATGCAGGGATTGGAATCGCTGAAGTGTCTTTAGGCAACATTTTGCTAATAGGTAGACTTAAAGCGGGTTTCGTTACAGCGAAATCAATCGGATATTGATTTGATGTATTTTCATTGAACGTCGAATCGGGAGAAATTCGTTCTTGCTTTTGTTCCGGCGTTTTATTTCGTTGTTGTATTGGTTCTTCGTTGGTTCGTTTGTTATCGGCTTCGCTAAGGATGCTGTTCGATGTAGATTCGAATTTCCTTTGATTTTCTGTTTCGGAAATGCTCGCCAGGTCAGTTTTCTGCTCGTCTTCGAAACCGCTGCACCTGCTTCTTTTGGCCGGTATGTCGGAAATGACGGGGGGAAGATTGTGCTTCGTGGTGACGATTCCCGAATGCGCCGATTCGAATGCGGGAATTCTTTGGTCTTTTTTAAGCGAGCCCTCCATGGAGTTGATTATTTGTTCGGTGATTGTCTCTTTGTTGGCCGATTTCTCGTCTCTTCTGAAACCCGCTTTTCCTCGGCTTTCTTCGTAGCAATGTTGGATTTTCTTCTCGGCGCTCACATTGTACGGCTCCTTCGATTTGCACAAGGACGTTGGTATACCTGTACAAATAAACGTTTTACATCATTACGATTGCATTTATATTTTATTTGGTACAATCATGTGTTATTATAATAAACAGATAGGGAGGAAAATTCCCGTTTGTAACCGTTAATCAATAAATCCATTAGTTTCAATTCGATAATAGCTAGCAGTTGAAACTTGAATTGGTCTGTAGATAAATTGATTGATGTTGGAAATGGAATAATATTGTTTTGTATAGGTAACGAAGTGATTTAAAATTTTATTGTTATTCAAATGTAGTATTTAATAAAACGACCAGTTTAAAATGTTTTATTAAACTCCCATGTACTATATCTCTTAAATATTAGTCATATATCATGCTATACAAATAACAGAGAATGTATTAGGTGCTGAATAACGAGCAAAATGTTTGGTCATTATGATTCATTGTTCGGTGAACCATTTATTCTTTTCGTTTATACGTTTAGATAAGTTCTTTGGAAAAGAGTGCATTTCAGCAGTTATTCAAACAATTCACCAGTTGACCGATATGAACTGCCAATAAATCGATAAATAATTTATCGATTACAAATTCAGTTATTTGATTGCAGCAATGTTTATGTTATGTTAGGCTATTCTTTTTTATATTTTGTAACCAAGTGAAGGGTTTACAAGATTATACTATCATCACCTATATGTAAATTAGTCAAAAATGAATCTAATTCGTCCCTGCTTGTTGCGCCGATAAAATATTTAACTTTCCTATCTTATCTACAAGAGCAGATAATTTTATGAAGCTTTTGTTTACACCTAGATATGCGTTCTACGGCAAATGATGTGATTAAATATTATTGAAATGCATTATGTAATTTTTGAGCTGTTTTCATTCCAAGAACCCATTCGCAACTGCTACATCCATATTTGTACATCTGTACCTGAAATTCTAAGAATCCTATTCCCAAATTATTTATAGCATTTTAGCGGCAGGACATACCAAAAAATTAAATAACTATAGTTAGAAATATCAATTTTTAGGTCTTTATTATCATTTCGTCAGGTCAATGTTAAATGAAGGCATTGCACAAATTCTTCGAGTCAGAAACCCTCTACCGTGGAAGCTCCGATAAGATAGAAGAGCATTAACACCGACTTGTTAACAAAAGAATAAAATAAAATTCCTTTTTTTTCCAATTTTAAACTTTTAAACATTTTTGTGACTAACAGTAATGATCGGTAAAAGTAAAAACCCCGTCTATAAATAATCGTATTTCCCAACGGCTATTACCAATCGAAGTAATTTCGATAAGTCTATCTAATGAAAGATGTTCCCGTTTTTATCTTATCAATTTTTTTTCTAAAGTATAAATTAATGAATGCGAATTGTTACATAAACTTCTTGAATACAAAATTATACGATAACTGCCTACAATATAGTAAAAAAGTGACTCAAATTCTGCAAATAAATATTATCATTTATAGCAAATTAAGTATTTCATTCTAGCAAACCAAGAGAACTTTTTTATTTAAAAAATACCCTTTAGTATGGTGTTTATAGTTACTTACTAGATCCAAGTTTGAAGATTTTCAAGCTATTGTGCCGGAATTTGCTCCTGCAAACCGCCCTCTTTCTGGCCACTTTCAGCGATTGATTGGCCTCTTTCCTGCTCTCCGCGCGGCTCAAGCTGGCGCTATTCACACCGGAACCGGTCGAGGAGTTCGATGAGACATCTTCTTCCCCGTTGTCGAGTACCGGCTTCGGGGAAACCTTGCGGGCCGGCTTCTGGTGCTTATGTATCAGTCTTTTCTTGAAGTGCTCCATTCCGGGTCGGTTCCCAGCATATTTTCTCGAGAGACTTTGCGGACAAGAACGGCCTGAAAATTTTTATTTTGACAGTTATTTTGGTGGCTCCGATAACACGCAATAAAATCGCGCTAGTTTTAGGAGCGGTAGGAAATAAAGTGAGAAATAAACAAAGATAAATTAGGAGCACATATAAGACGTATTTTTGCAATTTATCGTGTCGTAAGATAAACTTAATTGTATACTTTGCCATAGTTATCAATAAGTTAAATTAAAAATTAGGCGCAACGGGTGTACTTGAGACTTTTATCAAATTCGCGCTGAAAGAAGTAGGTCAATATTATATTGCCATAGAGTGTTGTGCTATATTTAGGTAAATAGTATTTGCATATTTTAATAATAATTTTCTCTCAACACGCCGTAAATCATAACGTGATTTTAGATAAGAATAAGTTGCAGTGGTAAGCTCACAAAGTGCAGTGTTAGATCAATATTTGGACTTCGCAGCAAATTTTTTCCGATCCCTAAAGACAAATATTTGCGCATTTAGACTATTGATAAATGAATCCAAAGTGTAATTTTATTTCTCATCCAATCAAAAACACATGTGTAACGTCAGTAAAAATTAATTCATTGCGTTACCTTTATCGTTTAGCAATTGCGAATTTCTTCTTACTCAAGCATATACAGGGTGAGCCCAAATTCCGCTAATTAAAATTATCAATCAATTATTTCGGACACCCAGTACAAATTTAAGAATAGATTCAACCTTATCACATCTTGATTATACTTCATAATTTTTACGCTTATTTGTATCAAAATTGTTGATATCTCAACGTCGACTATTATACAAATATCAAATGTGGTACTTGAGTTTATCTTATCTCTACCTTTTTACTGTTATCTTTATTATCAGCGAGATATAGCGCCTATGTTTACATAGCAATTAATATATAAAAAAATACCAAATGGTGGGGTTACGAATACGGCATGACTCGTTAGGTTTTTAGTATCCTTATTTTCGAGTCATTTTGAGTACCTATTGCATCTACAATAATCTTCACAGCGATCTAAAAGTAGGTACTCCAAAAATTGATAGATTATGTACTATCACTCCAAAATTACGCTATATTGGCCAGAAAAACATTACAAATCCTGCCTCATTTATATTGTAATTTTTAAACTAAGAAAATACAACAATTACTTCTGGATATGGGAAGTACCTACAACATATTTAAATTCATTGAATACTAAAAATAGGTATTATGAGTAGAGATGTAATACAAATATTTGGCTTTAAATATATGTATATTGATGATCTTCCACCTTCATGTGTTTAATTATTTATTTAAGACACTCTGTATACATATATTGAACGCGCACTAGATTTAATTCATCCATTTTATAATCATTGTTGCTCTAAAGGCATTTATTGTTATAAAAATTTGAGACTAACCTGGTGTGGTTTGGCGATTGAAAATTTTCTGTAAATGCGATATGGAAAGTGTCACTGCTTGTGATATACTGGCGTTGTGTATACCAAGAGCTGTTCAGATTGAAGATGTTTTTTTATAATTATATCTTATCTTTGTTTAGATATACCTACCTATATATACAGATAAATACTTATCAAATATAGTATGGTAGTTATGTACATAAAATAGAGGTTATTGAGGTTATTAAAAAAGTTACATACATGTATAGGTAGATTCCTGCGATTTGATCATGCGGTCATTCCATAAATTTATGTTTATTGCCGAAATTTAATTACGTAAATTTTTATCAATTTACTTTAATTTTGTAATTTTCTTGTTAATGGCCTCTACTATTAATCCATGATAATATTAACAATAAAATAATAAAATAATAACTATTTAAACTACATTTTTTGTTTAATTATAAACATCCTAAAAAAGCGAGGGTTTTTATTTTAGTGAGAAAGTCTTATAAGAAACAAAGAAAAATATTTTAAATAATCGCAAAGGAAATACTTGTTAATTTATCAATTTCTTTTTGTTTTTCGCCAAACCACAATTCGTGGGAACCATGCTTTATCAAACTGTTAGTCCGGAATAGTGACGATTTAAATCTTTTTCATTTACATACATACTACTTAGTATACGTAAACTTGAAGTTTAACTTCCTATATCGATGATTACAGGTTACTCAATATGCAAAGAAATTTAATTTACTATAATTGTAGACCCAATTAGAAAATGTATATTTCAATAAATTGTAATAAATAACACTGCCGCTTTTTAAAGAACTTACACTGCTTTAAGTTATTTATATGATTAAATGTAATATTCGCATATTTACAATACATTATCAGATTGGTATTTTTTTCATAAATATGCATATGAAGCAATACCGTCTTTCAATTAAAATTAATATTTTCCGAAACTTAACGCGCAGTAATTTGTTTGCAATTCGCATACATTTGGGCAACAAAGTACTCAACATTGAACACTGGAAATTATTGTAAGGGAATGTAATTACGAAAAATGCCTAGGTATGTACCTACTCGGCGCGTACGAACAAATACTACGACCATGAGGATCGTTAATTAAGCAAATAACCTATTTATTTTAAAAACATTTATTCTTAACGTAAGGTCTAACTAATTTTATACATATATGTATAAATAATCATATAAAATATACAGGGCAATTGACGCAAATTATAGTATATTAGGACAGCTTCTAAGCGATAAGATTAACGTTAATTCGAGTCATTTGGGTAATTGAAAGACCTTACACTTTTAATTAATCACCTTGTATAGGGCAAAGGGATATGAAATGATGTAAAAAATGTTTTGTTTGAAAGGTTGCAATGTATAAAATGTAGACCAAATATGCCTTGTTTATGTTCACTAATTTTGTAAATATCTACGTATAAGACAGGTACATTTTATCTACTATAGAGCGCCTAAAATGGCATATATAAGCGGCAATTTAAAACTTTGAGATTCCTTTAACACAGATTGAACAACAATTTTTTTGAATAAAGTTGAAAGAGGTCAAAAATATTCTCTTGATTAGCAAAATTCTTTATCAGTAGTTTGCTAATATTGTAAACATTAATAAGGCAGGTACAATTTATTGTAAATTAATCTCAAAAGCGCCAATTTAAAGCTTTTCATTTAACACAGATTCGTTTAATGCGATTAGATAACTTATCCGCGATATCAAACTTGTCGGAAAGATGATGGACAGATAATTTTCACGCACCAATAAATTCACTCGGTATACATGTTAGGTTGTTTATCCCGTATCATTGCAGGAAATGAATAATCGCATATACCAGATAGTGAAAACAACAACACCAATTGCTGATGTAATGCACAGCCCGCAAAAGTTTACCATACCAGCTATGTTACTATCATCGCACTCACCTTAAACGAACATCGGGACAGCACGTGTTCGCGAATCCGCGAATCCTCATTCCAGATAGAAGAGATCGACACGCGCTGGATGGAAGCGAAGGCGACGAGCCGCACGTACAGCGATTTTCAGCGCGAGTTTCATTCAGAAAAAGCGATGTGAATATGGAGTTTCTGTTGGTGAAATGACTTACTTCACTCGTGGCTATTCGAAAAGACCACGTCAGGTGTTATCGATTTTTCGCCGTGTTATCGTACGAAATGTATAGCAGAAAAGCATTACTTTGATGCGATGCCAGGATACGAATGAAATGAATTCTACGTGTTGGAATGTTACCAGTTACCAGAGTTGGGTGGCTTTGCGTTTAATCTTATCGCGGTTAGATAACTTATCGTTTTAATGTTTGCCCTCCTTGAGCTTCGTCGGTGTCATTTAATGTGCTCGCTTTGTCAGTTGCACGCACTAATTTTAGCAAGTAAACAGCCGTTGTTGGATTGGAAAATGTCTGGAAAAAATCGGTGTTGTAGATTAAGCGTAGTTCTACTGATAAACGCAAATCAGCGAAATTATGGTTATAGTGCTATTTACAAACACCGGTTATTACCTGCACATGTACTTACTGTACCTAAATATAAACGTATAATTTAGGTAAACAGGCTTATTTATAGTTTCTGTATCAAATAAATTTTGAACGCGATTAGTTTCAAGTATTATAACATCATTTCTCTTACTTCGTATCTAAAAAAAATCCACTTTATTATAAAATAAAATAAATTAGAAATTGCAAAAGTTAAAAATATTTTGTATCTTTCGATTTAACGATTATATCCCATAACAACGATGACAAACGTGCGTATTAAAACGGCTCTATTGTTTTAACACTTACAATAGGCACATAAAACTGTTTGATTACAAATTTGTACGTAAACAATGTAGGTACTTATGCGGAATTAACTACAGATCAACGGCATAATAAAATTTTCAGTCGCCCGTTTTACTGTTTGACTTTGTTTTTTATCGAATCAATTTAGATATACTTACCTATGAATATAAAAATTTTTATCGAATTTCATTATTCCGTTTTTAAAAACTTGATTATAAAGTTTATTGGATTTAATTAAAATTTCGAAAGACTTTGGTGAAACGCGTTTACTTATAGTTTTGTGGGAAAGAGATTTGTATTTATTTAGAAAATTTGCCCTTTTCAATTCGCTTTATTTACTTATTCATAACATCTGGGCTTACTTATTTATGGCGCGGATATTTATGGCTGAAAGCTAAATTAATCGAGCAAAATGCTAAAAATAGGGCGGTTCGTAGACGTGTAGTTTCATTTCAACCTGCGTTAATAATTCATCTCTATGTACTTAATGAACCACTGACGCTACTGTAATGACAATCTTTCTTTCTCTACGGTATAATGACAGCGTAACGTAACCTAATGGCGAAAGAAAAGCCACGTAATTCAATGAAAATACTGAAATTATTTATCGAGTGCCATTACTATTTTTATTATTGATTGCAACATCAAATCGCATCGTATACAAAGCGTATGCGGAAGGTGTCGATATAGTCGAAAATAAGGTTTTTTCATGTTCAACTAGGTCATTTTTCGAGCGCAAAATATCAACATTCATCGGCCAATTGAGCGCATGGAAATCGAAACGAGGTTAATTCCACAAATTAGATGTAATAACGCACCAATGTAAAAATAAAATTCCTTGGATAACACCTTATAATTATTTTTATTGAACTATTATTTAGATTAATTTGTACAAAACGAAGGAGACGGCGAAGGCTAACAGCGAAGGAACGAAGGCGGTCGAAGCTTTGGAGTTTTCGTTGCATTTTTCCTTATCGCACACGGAACACTTGTTTTTGTACAAGGACATTTTAGTCGCAGGGTACATGTTTTGCATGTTCTTCAGGAACAGTTCGCACTCTTTTCCGCCTTGCTGTATGTTGCACGATTTTATTTCGTTGTACTTTTTCCCCGCAGCGTCTGGAAAGGATTTTTTTTTATTTTTGCGCAATTAATTAAAGTTATTATTCGATGACAGTCTAGTATGCGGTCTACCCTATTGTATCTGGTTTAGTATGGGGTCTACTCAAATTTTTTTAATCAAAATATTTATTACAAAATATAACAGCAGAGCAGCATGTGATTTACCGAGAATTAGGGAAGTACCAGTACCGGTATTTATTTAAACGTAAATATTTATAAAAAAAAACGAAAAGATTTTACTAGTTTTATATTATGTATGGAGTAGCAGGAATAAGTAATTCAATTTAACGAAAATAACGGAACTATCAAAATTATACAGGGTGAGTTTTTTTCGAAATTTAGTACAGGATCTCTAAAACTGCAGGGGATAGAAAAGAGTTTAAATGGACAAATATTTGCAGTATTATGAGACCTGTTAACAACCAGTTTCAGTTTTGCAAAATATGACAACTTGGGGGACGAAACATGTTGGTAGACCGTAAATATTCTGGTAGATCGCATGCTAGACCGGCATCAATTATTTTTAGGGAGTTTTTTTCAACTTAAATGGGCCCTAAAATCCACGTAAATACCAGATTATGTTAATTAGTCAGACAACCACGTAACTATTCATAATTTAACGACGTGAAAATTGTAAAATATTTCCAATAAAAACTAATTGTGTGAAAACAACCTTGGATAATAGGTATTTGAATCGTTATTAAACTAATGTATATTTCAATATTTCGTCATGGTTTCGATAAGTTTTGTCGACTTTTTCGTCTATACATACGCGTATTTTTACGATAATAATTTGAATATGGGGGAATTATACCTTCAATAACTAACACAGCCGAAAGACAAACAGCCGGATCCGTGCATTTCGTTACAGTTTGAAGATTCTTACAGGCATCGTCTCCTCTTTCAGTAACAAATGTTGCGTTACATGTGTAACATTCAAGGGATGCACCTGAAAAAAATAAGAAACGAAAATCAGTAATAAAACAAGAAATTATGTTGTAATGTTAGACACAGGTACGTATTTGGTGCATTAAAAGTACCTCAAGCATCTATACTACCTGCTTAAACCTTGTGAATAGTGCAATTATCTGATTATTGACCCATGCACTTACATGTTAAGAAGTCGAGTAATTTAATACATTATTTACCATTCGATATTTAGGAAGTAAATATAATACGTTATGGAATGTTACCAATCAAGATTTATTAAATAAATATATTTTCATGATGCGTTTTAGTTACATTCAGCCTGGTAAGATATAAATAGCCTCTATTAGAACAACAAGCTCCATATGTTCCGTTAATCTATAATTATTATACTAGAAATGATTTTAATTAAATTAGTAGAATAACTAATAGTGGAATTATTGTTAAATTTACCCAAGTTATTAACATTGTGCTAACTTACCCGTGTGCAAAACCGAAACGACGACTGCACAAGTAAATGCGAGATATTGGCCGAAAGACATATTTAATGTAAATATTTTTAACGAAGTAATGAGTAAATTAGTCGCTGTTTTTGGTAAACTGCACTTTCTGGCTAATAATAAGATTAAAATACCATTGACATGAAAGTTAATTTCGATAATGGGACGCGCATTCGCTTTGCTTCTATGCTTCTCTTACCAACCGCAACCGAACCAAAAGCAACCAGTCCAGTCAGCACGTGAATGTTTCTAGGTCAAATTAATTCTGCTTCCATAGTCGTCCCGTAAGCAATAAAGGCGGAAGGTCTCTCGAGATTTAAAATAAAAAAAGGTACCGCTTACCGGCATTTAATCCTAACTTTTTTACGAACGAGTTCACTTTCAAAATGTGAGACCCTTTTACTTGTTTGTAACCAATTCAGACCACAAAAGGGAAAGAATATGAGTACATAGACTCTATATTTATTATACAGGATGTTTTTTATGCCATGAAGTATGCAGGAACTATTCTTAAAATATTTGGTTTAGGAGTTTTTTTCACGTTTTTTATTGTATTACTTTACTACTAACAATTTGTGAATACATCAAAGCCTCCAAGAAATGCAAGTCTTAAGCCCGGAGATCAAGCAGGTCGCAAGTAATAAACAATTATATGAATTTTTTTACAAACTGCATCTACACTCAAATATAAATTCAAATTCGCGGTTGTTTTTGTTGTGTTTTAATTCCGAACACAACCTTTTGTTAAAATCGAACGCACCTAAAAATGACAGTAATGACATAATAATGACTTTGACAATGACATTGACAATAATGACACTAGTGACAGGCGGTATAATAATAAAAAATATTGATATGATTATTTGATATTCACTAAATAATTACAAAATTGCGAAATTAATCAAAGGCAAGTGATATCCATACTTCTTAATTATAAAGAGCAGAAATCCGGTGACGTAATAGTAACCAATAACATATAACACTAGTACATTTATTAATCAATAATGATTATGGACTGTTGAACAATGGATCAAAATAAAAGTAAGGTGATTCCCATATTTCTATTAAATTTCGATATTAATAAAACATCTACAATGTTCCTAGCATTAATTGCAGATCTAATTGTCTAAGCTAAAAGTGTTTGTCTATTATTTGTTGTAAAATCTGTTTAGCTAAAATGAAAAAGAAAGATGGCAAAATTACATTGGGAATGCTAAAAGGTAACAATAAGGTATATGTCGTGTATTGTGCAACATTCTAGTAGAATTTCGGCGTAGATATTTCTTTATGCACTTTTTTTAATTATTTTTTTTTCTAAATGGATTTAATTATTCCAATATCTGAGAACATAGAACGTAACACAGCTTCATTTTACATAATATTTTAAATAAACTCGAATATGCATTAAATGTGAAAACATGTAGAATAAATATAGTTCATTGTAGGTGGAAGATAATGTTAACTATCTATTCAAACTCAAAATCTAAATTAATTAAATTGTATATAAGATTTCGTACACTTCGGAAATAATTAAACCCATTTATAACAATTAGTAACAGCTTTTTTTTATCTATAATTATGTTTAAAATACACTCAAAAAATTATATTATAACATAATAAAAAGAGACTATAGTAGTATTTATTAAACGTTCCATGCCGGTTGATATTTTTTGCGGTCCGTGTAAATTGTACATACCTGTAATAATAGTGTTAAAATGTGTATGTGAATTCAGTGATACCAACTAAATAAATAAAATCGAACTTTATTTAATAATCATTGTGAAACGCCTTACTGAATATTTTGAAAATATATTTACTGTTTGTAATATAGTTCATAATCTGATAAGTACACCTTATATACTAACTATAACGAATTGCATCTACAACCCCACTTACTCCCAATTTAAACAAATACATCCTAACTTCCCTTTGACATTATTTTCATAAACTATCAGATTATGGCTCCTTGTTAACTTTATTTGTCATTTCACAGAAATCGCTCTAATAAGAAGAATGGCTTCGACAGCAATTTCCCACATAAAAGACGTAGACATAGACCCCAATGGCGTTTTTAAATACATTTTAATAAAAGTCACCACCCCTGAGGAGGACGGTAAATTGGAGAACAAATTAATAGTTCGCGGATACGCAGAATGCCCTTATCACTCAGACATTAACGATAAGGTTACCAGCGAATTGCAGGGATTGAAGAGCAGCAAAATTATAAGAGATTGGAGATCTAAAGTGCTCGGGGGAGGGCGGATTGATCACAATGCTGGCGATAAGAAGATTTTAGTTTACGGATATTCGCAAGGATACGGAAAGGCTGATCATCAGTTAACTGTGGATGTTTTGAAAAAGAGCTATACCGATTACAACATTTCTTTTTCCGATGAAGGATATTGATTTTAGTGTTTTTAATATACATATGAAGTGTTCATTATGCTGTATTACTTTGAGTTCGTGTTCCTACTGGAGTGAAAATAAATAATTAAGCAAATCTTTACTGTTTATTCTTTAATTACCTTCCTTTTGAACATGTATGAAAAAAATCCGTTAAGGTAATCGAATTAATTTAGGTAGCTGTTTAATTTATTTTTAGTCACCATTACACGCTTTTAGTAAGCTTCATATACTTTTTTTTAAGAAAATTGTATCGTTTGATGGAAGTATTAACGTGTACTGTGTTTAAGGCAAACCCGTAACGACGTCAGTACCGCAAATTTCTATAAAATTCCACGCTAACGCCGAGGAAATCGAAGAATTGTACGGCAGTGACGATGAAATTGCCAGTAAGAGCCACGAGAAATCCGACAAGATCTCTGCTTCGAGCACACCAACAAGTTTAGGTAAAAACTAACAGGAACTTCACATAATTTTGAGTAAAATTATAATGCAAAATATTCAGGAATCGGTAGCTTTACTTCAATCGTTTCCTACTAAAATATTTTCAGGTGAGCCAGATAGCAGTCCTCTGAAATATTTTAACAAACTTGGCAAGAGATCAACAAGTGTAGATGTAACGAGTAACCAACCTTTAAATGCGTCACCGCCATCGGACCCTTGGAGGTTTTTCACCGATATAAAGGTAAGAATTTTCCTTTGGGTATTTGTCTTATCATTTTTTTCTTGTACAAAATACCTACATTTGCGGATTGTATGCCACTAACCTGCGTATTTTGTTATGAAATATTCCCCATGCTGTTTATCTTTGGTCAAACGAGTAATTAAACATTGATAAATGTTGTATATTTAAATTATGTTATATGTTAGTTTACGAATTTCGGATGTACAGGGAACATCTTTAGCTTGAATGGCTAGTTTAGTTTTGCATCAAAATTTACAACATTTAGCCTCTCAGGTTAGTACAAAAAATTGTACAAATTTAATTGTTATAATTCCAACTTTTAACTGTCTTTATCCGGTTACAAATTAATGGTTTTTATTCTTAATTAATAACGCGCAATTTTTTTAATCATTCATCTCATTATTAATTTGACAAAACGTTTAACTTTTACTTCGCACAGAATTTATCTGCAATTTTTACACGCAATCGTTTATCAGATTGTTAGTGTTGCCGATTTTTAATCGTATACAAGCATCTAGATTAAAAACGTAATTACTAATTCACCAGTTGCAATTAAATATTTACTTTGACTTTTGCACTGGAAGCGGCGTGTAATTACATCTATATTAAATCGGTTGTCGAGAATAAATTTCCGTTTTTTTTTTCGATTCGTTATTTAAATTCAGTCGTTTCTATAAAGTGGTAGTATCAATACGAGTGAAAACTAAATTCTTGATAAAACTTGTGCGAAAACGAATCGACCGTGCAACTTAATTATACCGCGTGGATTTGCGTTGTGAAGGACGGCGAATCGCGTATTAATTTAAAGAATTATTCATTGTGTAAAGTACTTTGTCTATTAAAAATAAGATAAGCCCCATTGTTGTACAACATATAATTTTATTATTGTTAAACAAGCAAAAAGCGCGCATGTCAATATAAACAGCGATTAGTTGTCTGCACCTTTCGATTCATACGGGCAATATCGATACATTCGTTTAATCAACATAAATGGAGTCAAAAAAATCGTCACATTTAGATATTAAGTTCCCTAAAGCGCCTCCAAGGACGAAAAAACTACTGGTAATCGAGGCGTTTAATGTTTTATCGAATAAAAGAGCGCTGTTCTGTTGCAGGGTAAAATTACCAAAAGCGTCGAAGAAAAAATAACAGAGATCAAATCCAGAAACAATGAAGAAGGTTCACCTATTCACAAATCCAAAGGGGACACCTCCAAATCTGACTTGAAAACCGTCAAAGACAGCAAGGAAAACTCGAGCATTTCCGATTCCGAGGACCTTTCGGAAAGCAGCATTTCACGAACCTGCGGCGTTTTCTCCACCACTGAAGGTACAGTCCAATTATCGTTCTTTCATAGTCCATTAACTGAACTCCCTTCATTGTCCATTCATTGAGCTCCCTTCATAGTCGAGTCGTAGTTCTTTTATAGTCCATTCACACCCTATTATACACATTTCAATTTGCCTATTCCTTCGTCAGGAGTGGAAATGTCGAGCGACGAGGACACCCCCTCTTTGGACAAAGACAAAAAGAACGAGAAACTGCTCTCAGTAACGCCGCCTTCCAGCTTCAAGCAGAAATTCCGCTTCTTCAGGCGGCACCACCAGGAGGAAGGCGCCATAAAAATCAACGATCTCTCGAAACTCTGCAACATAAACACCGAAAACGCGGAGCAGGTGCTGCCCGAGGAATCCGAGGGAGTGGAGAACGCCGTGGACGCGCTCGAGGAGTCCGCTCTGCGATCGAAACCTCGCCAGGACGAACTCTCCAGCGAAGAGGTCCTGAAAGTGGTCGCGCAGAGGATATCAAACATCGAATTCGATAACGACAACGTGATTAATATTAGGGAGGTGAGCGGTAGCGAAATTCGCGAGAAGTATTTCGATTGTCGCGAGGAGGAGAAGGCCGTGTTCGCTCCCACGGGTTTCGTCGATTTGCGTCCCGCGAAAACCAGTAATCGTCCAGAATATAATTATTTGTAAGTACGCCATTATCTTCACAGCATACTCTAAATGTTTGTTTTATTGCAGTTCTGCAATCGTATTTGTGATATCTGTTGCTTCCTATGGACTTGTACAGTATTATTCTCCGTACATCGCTGGTTTGATTGTAGGAATCGCGGCGTCTTTTGTAGCGTTCAAGATATACTCTAAATTGTATCCGAGAAATATAGCGCCTCCGGTAGCATCTTCCAGTCCGTTAGTCACAAATAAAATAGTGGAGATCCATCCGATAAAGGAGTACCAGCCGTTAGAAAAATTCGAGGTAACCTCAGTTGGCTGTATTAAACATTCTGCTGGAATTAAATGTTATTTTTTAAAGGGCTGGGTGAACGAGTATCCGGACGTTTACAGCCCTTCCAGTTACCACGTCGCCCACACTCAGTCGGTGTTTTTGAGGCTGCAGGGGAACCTGTTGAGGATCAGCCACGCTAAGAACAAAATTCCCAAGAGGGCGATGTGGAACGAGGCCGAAATAAAAGCCAATTTCACGCAGCATAGAATTTACAATTTAGTAGGAGCCAAAGTGTATCTATTGCCCGAAGGATTGGCTAAAATTAGGTGCGAGTTTACGGTTTAAATGGCGTTCTTTCGTTAATCGATTGCTTTCAGACACTGGAGTAAAAAATACCCAATTTGCATCGCTTTAGCCAAAGACCAGTGCAATTTCGATCGCGACATGTTGTCGAAACTAAAAGACGAGTTACTCAAAGACGTGGATATCGATTCGAATCGTTCGACTGATAAAGTGGTAACTCCCAAGGATAAGAAGGTTTTCAACAGATTCAAAAAGAAAGAGTACCCCATGCTGGTGAGTTGTACTTTAATAATAGTTTCATTGGACTAAAATGATTTCATCACAGTCGCAGAGGTTCAGCAAATTAACGGAAGGCGAGGAATTCGATTTTTTCGATTCAGATTCACGCGCTAGCACCCCTTCCGCTGATATATCCGTAAGTAAAAGGCCAATATTGTTACAGGCGCGTGTTTAACATGACAGTTTTACATTGTTGTTATGGAGTAACTAAGGACATTGTTTAATTTGACAGATTTTCATTGTTGTTATGGAGTAACTAAGGACATTGTTTAATTTGACAGATTTTCATTGTTGTTATGGGGTAACTAGGGAGATTTTTTTAGTTGACAGTTAAACATTGTTGAGTTTATTGTTAAATTTCAGGACATTGCCGATTCACCCGCATTGGACGATGAAGATGTACCTCTTGTCAAAGACGAAGACATTAGCAATATATCAATAACCAACGCAACGGAAGAAGATTCGAGTGGTTTGTTACCGGAACAAGTAAGTCGAGTTTTAACGGTGATTACAGTATAATAAACATTTTTCGTTTACCCCACTAGAATAATCCCAATGAACTCAAGATATACCTATTCGGCCGGACTGATAGAGAGAAAGCAGACTGGTTCAGGAGATTGTGCTTGGCCACCCATCAAGGCAGCGGTTTGGTTTCTTTCATCTCGAGCAATCCCGATATCAAAGAGACCGTTTCCGAATCACTATTGAACGTCGCCAACACCGAACTCGAGTACAAACGATACATGAGCATGTTCAAGGTAAACTTCTTTCTATTCCTATTGCCTCGACAATATTAATTGGTAAATACCCTCGTAGGTGACTCCCAGATCTCCCGTAAGCGAAAAACCGGAAAACGAACAATCCCCTACCGATACCGATCAAAACGAGGAGCCTCTGTTGTGGATAAACGCGTTGCTCGGGCGAGTGCTCTTCGATTGCGTCCGCAACGCCACCTTCATCGACAAAGTCAAAGAGAGGATCCAGCGGAAGCTGTCCACTATCAAACTGCCGTACTTCATCGAGGAGCTGCTGATACCGGAGCTCTCCTTGGGCAAGACGTCGCCGCGCATCGTGCGAACCGGAACGCCCGCCATGGACGAGCGAGGGCTGTGGATCGATCTCGACATCAACTACGAGGGCATGGTGATACTCACGTTACAGACCAAACTCAATTTGATGAGACTGAAAAATCCGCACGCTTACGGTGGGAAATGGCGATTTTAGCTCGTAATTCGCGATGATTTTTAATACTTTTTTCGATAGATAAATCTACTAGTCAGGTGAAGTCGGCCATTTATCACTCGGACGTGGACGATTCGGCCGAGAGCAGCTCGGACGAGGAGGGTCTACAGGAGGTTCCCAACGCGCCGCACGATTCTACAGCGCCCGCCAAGAAGAGCTACTTGAAATACGTGGATAAATTGGCCGAATCGCGGTTCTTCCAAGCCGCTACCGAGAACCGGTACATCAAAAAGGCCATGGAAGGTAATATTCTCGTAACAGCTCTTATTGGCTGTTTATACAATCGAGCCAATGTGATTGGCTAGACTCACTGACAACATGAGTACTCATAACTACCAAGGCTTGCTCGATTAATAACCTTGCATACGAGTAAACCCCTCTAGAATATTGATCAATCTTTGGTAAACGAGTATCTGAACAATTCTAAAGATTAATTAGTATTTCTTTTTCTTTATGAATGAACAATTATAATATTTCTTGTAGGAGTTTCCAATACTGATTTGAGGCTAACGGTGGAAATAAAATCCCTAGTGGGGACTTTAGTGCTGAATATTCCAAGGCCGCCTACCGATCGCGTTTGGGTGGGTTTCCGGCCCATTCCGGAATTATTGTTGTCCGTTAGGCCAGTGGTGGGTGAAAAAAATATTAGTTATCAAATAGTAACGAATTGGATAGAGAAGAAACTAATACAAGAATTTCAGGTAATGTTATAAGTTAAATTAAAAGAAAGTTTATTGCTATGTGAATGCAATATAGTCAATTCTATGAGTTAAACAAGGAAATATTAATAAAATAACAATTCTCTCTTTCTTTTTCCTTTTTATGAGACTAATAGAAGTTGTCTTTGTTGCACACATAGCCTATATTGCACACAATTTTGCATAAATTTTAATAGATTTTTTCGGATATTTTTAGAAAGTTCTAGTGATTCCAAATATGGAGGATTTGCTGATACCTGTGATGAATTCAAAATTACCATATTAGTAGAAAGTTGTAAAAGGTGATAGGAAAGTACAGGGCAAACGGATGTTTATCAACGTTGTTTTTAATTGTTTATTTGTTGTGTTAGTTGCGAATTTTATTAGTGTTTTATTTTTGTCGTTTATGTGATACAGAATTTTTAACTATTTTTTTTTTTAGTATTTAATGGAAACGTTCGAGCTTTTGATATAAATGTTATATTACAACTAAGTACTAGTCGTGTCAGTTTTAAAAATAAAAATTTTCATGTTCGAATTTTGAGGACCAAATAATTTATTTTTGTTTTAAAATGTAAAACGGAAAACGGAAAATTTGTAAAATTGCTTTTACTTTGCTGTTAACCACGAGGCTAACCATATTTTTAAAAACTGACAATAATTATACATAGAATTTGATTTGTTTTTTGGAAATCACAAGAACTATTTCATGAATCAGCGAGCGAAAAGTTTGAGTGATGAATCGATCAGAAAAATAGCCAGCTTTTCGTTTCTCTGTTGATAAGTACTATTAATGACATGAATTGTGACAACAAAACTTTTCAAAAAGTGGTAAAATATATGTACAATTTTACCATTTTCGTACTTTAAAGAGAAATTTACAATCATTCCATTTATATTAATTTTCTTATAAATGTTCCTCGACAGGTTTATATTATTATTATTTCGAACATTCCTTCTTATGTAATTGTATTAAGAACATTCTCATACCGTTACTGAATCCATTATCCATTTCACAACTTCTAAAATTGTGCTGTAAAATTGTTCTATTGTAATCTTCATCAACTTATTATCACAATTGTTGTTATAATATAATATATATTTTTGTTTGGAAATAAAACCAGTCTGATTTAAACAGTTTTTTTACCTAGAAATTCACAGCAAAACAGGCCTTTGTAGCCGGTGAGCTTTCAAGCAATCAATCGAACAGAACAAATTTTCCATATATTCAAATGGTACTTTCCCTCCTATATCCGCAGCGCATAGAAAACACCTTTTTGTTACTTTCCCCGATTGACTAATTATTCTTCGTTCAGCTGCTAATGCTCTCTGAAATCATAATTTAATTAAAAAACAATCAAATTTGCACCGATAATTCTTCCATTACCTTCTCTCTATCGCTTAATTTCAAAAATCGCTCCTTTTCTTCATCCTCCTTTTTCTTAATATCGTTTTCTTTCCTCTTCACCTTTTCCTTCTCCTTTTTTATTTTCCGACTGGCCTTTTTCTTCTCAGCAATCTCTTCGTTAGTGAGCGCATTAATCGGTATTTGCGCCTACAACAAATAATTTTACGCTACTTGCAAAAGAACTTCATTCTGCCAGACTTACTTTATTGTAGTTATGTTTATCAGGATTCTCCTTGGCGAATTGCTTTAAAAACTCCCTAATATCTTTACTTTGCGTACAAGTATACGCCGTTTGTTGATTTTTATTTTTCATACAAGGATTCGCACCCTTTTCTAACAAAAACCCCAACATCGCAACTTGCTCTCTCATCGCTGCTACGTGCATTAAAGTATTAGATTCATCGTCTACAACGCGGTTAATAAAATCGTAACTCGCCTTATCGCGTTCGTCTTCCACAAAACCCACCCGGTGGTCTTCGAGCAATTTCTCCAATTGCTCCACGTTTCCACCAGCAATCACATCGAACAACTCCTTCCTTACAGCCTCCTCTTGCTCCCTCGATTTCTTCGCCTTGCTCTTCTTCGGCTTTTTCCTCTTGGCCTTCTTCCTCTGCTCGGGCGTCAGGCTGTCTCCGAACGCCTGGAGATCCTCCAAGGAAACGTCCAGATCTTCGGTGATCAATTCGCTCTTGTCGTTAGGATCGGTTTCGAATTCCAAATCGCTGTCGTCTTTCAGATGCTCGGTGGGCAGCGCACGCTCCACCGTTTCTCTCGATTTCGCCCGGTTTATGCAGGACGCTCGGACTTTGTTTCTCTTCGATTCCGCCTCCGGAGACACTTGCTGGGAGAACTTCGATGTAGCGCACTCGAGGGATTCTAAAATACACCAAAATTAGTATGTTAATACAACGATGCGATTGTTGGATCGAACCGTAGATTGTCGCGGAAGAGAGTAACTGGTGTACTCTTTTAACTTCGGTGAAAGTGGCTCTTCTGGTGGAAAAAGGAATGGTTCTCAATTTATCGTTGTACTTATCCAGTACCGGTACACTTCCTCCGAACAACACCGATCTGTTATAAGGCCCGGACGCTCTGTATATAATCAGCGAGCTCGCTTCGATTTCTTTTCTCCAAGCTTCCACGATCGACTTCACGTGCTGTAAATACCACTCAAAATTCAGCTCAAATAATAAAATTTCTCATTATTACCTGCACTAAAGCTTGCTCGTTGTATCTCCTTAGAGAAGCTCCGGCGCTCTTGGGCTGGCCCCCGCCGGATTTGGAATCCCTGGAGCTCTGCGAGCCCCCCTGCCCGGCCCTCACGGTGTAACAATGGAAGGTTTTGTGCAAAATCGGCTGATTGTCTTTGAATACAGCGCCGGCGAAGTGCCCGCCGCCCAGCATGAGTATCGTCCATTGATTGTTGGAGCTCGAGCAAGCTTTGAGGCGCTCTAGTAACAAGGCCTCGGTGACTTCTTGCTGGAAATTAAACGAGAATATTCGCCGGTAAATGACTTAATTTGCTCACCTTTTTATCGAATAGCAAACACTTGTAGAGCGAAAATACTTTGTTACTTTCGCTTTTTAGGAATATCTTGCCCTGGGCAGTGGCGTACGTGTCTAGGGTGTCTTCTTTCTCGGAATCCGAGCCCGATATGCTCGATAAATCGTCTGTAATGAATAGTTTCGTATTTAACGCGCATTTTGGGTTGTTTACAGGTGTTTACCATTGCCGGATTTTTCATTAAATTCCTCTTCAGTGACGGGGGGTTTGAGCAATAGGGAGTTTTTTAGATTATACCGATGCCAATCTAACTTATAATGATCTCGTTGAGTTTGATTATCGGTGAATTCTACGCGGCAGTAAGAGCACGATTTTTTGTCGGGATTAGGCGGGATCCATCCTTCTCTTGACGGGGATTCATCTAAAATTAGTTGAAATTTAATTGCTAAAATAAGGGATTAAAAATAATACTCCGTTCGCCATCAGGATGTTAGTAATAAAACCGTCTTGAAGCTGTAAAGCATAGGCGCGCCAATGAATAATTATAAAGTAGTAATTTTATTACAAGTAATTTTTAATTTTGTTATATCTTTTTAGTATATAATTTATATCCCAGAAGCAAGACTTCGTTCTGTGTTAAGGTCACTTTATCTGGGTTTAAAAATGGGGCTTTAAAACTTTCTTGATTTTCTCATGAAGTCACTCGATTTGCCATCAAAATTAGATTCTATTACTATCTCCTGATAACGAACGGACTATACTCAAATACTGGAATCAGTTCTATTTGCAGTTTTTTTTACGATTAATTCCAGTCGAGAGTAATATTTAATGGAACAAAAAAATAAGTTTTTTACCTTCGTTTTTTTCGCCGGCTTCCAGTTGCACAATTCGAACATTCCCGTTAATGAGTAGATCGAATTTTTCGGAAAAAACGCTCGCATTCTCCATCTCGAATAGCCCGCTTATCTATAAAATACCGATCTGAAAAAAAAGATAAACGCGTGCACAATAAAATTTAGATATCCTATTGGAACGAACGATTCGAATTGAATGCGGAACGGTCGCCGAATTTCTTGTACGATTTTAACGTTGCGCAACAATTCATAATCTTGTATTATAAAAATTAATAGAGATTTGTTTTCAACAAACATCTTTTAAACTACTTAAATAGAATAAAATGAAGGGATTTTTTGTACTAAAAACACACAAATTACATGTAAATATATATTTTCTCCATTTTGTACGATTGCTACAAAACTTATAATAATTATTAGTCTCAAATTATTAATACAAACAAAACCTCGACTCTTATTGTACGATGCCTTTTACCACAAATACTTCTGAATAAATATAAAATAAAAGTTACATTCTTATTGCATACCAAATAAATAAAACTACAAATTAGTGTTACAACAATAAATAAATTTCTCGAATTCCAAAATAAACCAGTTTCGATAAATAATCAGTATGAAAAGCGGTTTCTCAAAACTGTATAGAAGCCCCTCGGCAAAACAAATAGATCGCCACCCAGATGCCGACTACTATGGCAAAAACGTAGCTCAGATGAAAAGTGTACCCAGATTGGAGTCTAAAATAGAATAATAATATACAAATACATCTTTACTTTGTAGAAAATTAAATAAATACAGATATAAGTGCTCGAATAATCCTTTCTTCATTTAACGAAAGAATTGTCTTAATAACAGTAATAATAAACTATTAATAATTGCACAATTTTTACTACTACAATTACTTTTTAATGATGTATTAATTGCATTCAAATTACGAATAATTTCAATGACTCGCTTACTTATATTTTTGTGGTGATAGTGGACTCGGTGGATTTACACCTGGAATTTTCGAGTCCAAATAGACTATTGTCCAAGTGAAATAAGTTGTTAATAATCCACACAAAACGGGAAACCATACACTGCTATATTTAACAACGGTTTTCCAACTATAAGTGAACATCTCGTGGCCATCTTCTATTAAAACTTGCTGTATTAATTTGGGCTCTAGAAAGGCCTTCTCGAAGCTGCCTCCTAAAAATATTAGAAACAAGAATTGTTTGGTTACGAGTTAAATTAATCGATTTGTACTTACTGTATGTAGCGAAGAATTTAACAGTTAACACTATCAATGAGAAAATTAAACCATATACTCCTATTTTCCATTCGTTCCACAGGAGACCATCCTCATCAATGGTAGGTTTTTCGAAAGAAACATATGGATTCTTGGCGAGATTTTCGCTTTGCTGACGACGCGACATGACCGTTCTCATTCCCGTTTAAACTCACAAGTCAGGTTTTGTTTTCGATTTCCATTCGATTTCGAATAATTAAGAAATACAAATTGGCTTTTAACTTACCTAAAATTGACATGAAAGCTCTCTTTTCGATGTGGAGAGGTTGACACTTTTGACACTGACATTTAGAATGTTTTTTCTATAAGATGCGACACGCCTCCTTGACTTACATATGATATTGGCAGGAAGTGATCAACCGAACAGTAGCGATTTGAATTTATAATAAATAATTGGTATTAACGAAACCAATTGTTTATTAATTTTGAAAGGGTAGATAGGATTGAATAGTGTTATTTTAAATACGTTTTGTGTAGTTAATTTTTGTGTTGGTGTGCATAAAGTTTACGTGTTAGTAGTGTAGTAGCCACTACCATTGTAACGGACGTACGTCTGTGATAGTAAATTTGAAACGTGCTCGGTGCTCGCTGAGGTGAAGTCACTGGCTTACTACGAAAAAACCTAAGTAGGGATAGGGAACGTTATTTAATTTTGAAATTGAAACGGGTTACATCCGATCCGAATCCGTCCGCGGATCAATCAGTATTTACATTCACAGTGAGCTAGTCGGTGTAACAGGATAGTGCGGCAGTGCATAAATTCATTCATCGGGAAATTTATCGTGTTTTTCACGTTGACTCATCGTTGACCCCGCACTTTGCAATTGAAATGCAGTAGGATTAAAGACCCGGAAAACTAACCATGGATATGCAAAAGGAGCCCGGCGTTGGAGATTTTGTCCTCATGGACAAAATCGACCTGCCCCATTTCATGAAAAACCTGAAAATAAGGTAAGGATTTGTGTAATGAACAACCGTTGAATAATTGTTTAACGAGGGCAATCCCATGTATGCGACAGGTGAACAAAATTACAGTTGGAGAAATAAAAAAAGTTCAACGAAACATCGGTGGAAAAAGTTCACCGCTTGAATTTTAATTCCCGATTGTATTTACTTTTGCCGGCTTTTACGGTATGTTAATTTCTTAACTGGGTGCAATTAACTTAGACTTTTTATGAATACTAATTGAAGATAATATTAATTAGGCGAATAAGTAAATAAATTGCTCAGCGATATCTTGTTTCCATTAATTATAGTATCATAATATCGTTAAAGAATGTATCTAATTTTAGACTTCTTAGCGGAGGTATAATGAAGTACTTATAATTCAATTTATTTTTTCCTGAAATTAATTTAATATTCCTTATAGGTAACACCTATTTTGTCTAAATATTTCTCTATTAAATACAGGCAATTTACAGTGAAATAAAATGTTAATAATATATTTTATAAAAAAATCACGCTTGTATCCTCACACATGTTCATTTCGAAAATATATCTACAAGTTATTCCATGAAATAGGCATTAGATTAATCTACCCACTTAAAAACATCTCATAATTATTTTATAAGTATCTAGTTTTGATGAACAAAAATTTGCAAAGATAAAATTCACAATGTTCTGTCTATGATATCATTTAGTATATCGGAAATAAGTTACTTATCAAATTTACAAAGAGGAAGTAGTGGTAATATTAGGTGATTTGATCCTAATTTAAATTTTTGTTACGTCAAACACTGATTCGTAAAACGTTATTTTATTTTAAATATTTACCACCCACCAGGATAACTTAATAAAGTGAGATATGTAAACACCCTGCAATAATGATTAAATACAGGTAAAACTAAAAAAAGGCCGCTCGAGAAAAGTAGGTCGAAATTAGTAAATCTATAAACTGCATACCTACCTTAACCTAGATAGATAATGAAACAGGAGAAATGGACAAGTTATAGGACCTATTCCTTGGATGCCACTGATTTGATTGGGAATTTGTTAATAACAAATTGTTATGACTGCAATTTTAATAATCGCAGATAATCTACAACAAACAAATATGTCGCCTAATTAAAAAAATTACTGCCGGCTTTCGTCAATAACCTTGTGATCCTTGTCTTGGAGTATCTTGGTGATGTCATTTGCTCGGTATATGAATCATGAATGACCGATGACCGAACATTACTATTTTCTATGATCAATTAATACATATTATAATAAATTATTCCTTAGAAAAAACTACCAATTTCGAATTGTTCTAAGATTAACGTTATTTTTCTATTATTCAAATAGATTCCCATCTTTATCTATTATTGCTGTCATGAGAAATGTCATCAAATGTCAATGTTGACAGTTTCTTGTTAATGTATCATCGAACGCATCTTAAAGTTCCACATGGGCTTACAATGCAAAAAAGTCAGTAATTTTCAATAGAGTTAAGTAGAGTGGAGTGGGGAATTCTAAAGTATACTAGTATCTGTAATTATTATTATATTGAAAAAGAATATGTGCATAAAAACAGCTTGCTGTAAAAAACCTCAATCATCAAATGTGGTTTATTTATTATTTGGTTATCTACGACAGAGATGTAGAAAAAACTTTTTGTACACCTTGTATAACAAGGTGTATAACAATTCAGTTGTTGCTCGAGTTTTTCGAGCTGTAAATGTGTGACTCAACTTTACAGGAACTTTCCTATTTCCCATTATTATCTGATATTTTCGTAATGATTTAATAAAACTTTTTCAAACAAAAAGAAAGCGCATCGATGTAATAAATCTATTGTGGATTTATTCGTATGTTTTTTCAGATCAGAATTACGGGCTCCTTATACGAGTATAGGAATATTAGAAAATATTATTCAATTATTACTTTAACAATAAAAACGTGCATAATTAAACTCTCGGTAATCGGTTAAACATCTCGAATAAAAATAACCATTAAAATTGTCTAGTGAAATTAAAGCGATTTAACAAAAATGCAACGAATGCACACTATCGTATGGAAGCAAATGCACTTTCTCTTAAATGATGTAAGTAAACATTCGCGAAATGATTGTTACGTTTTTCCGCAAAGAGCTCACGCACGAATTGATTTGTTTACTTTCGATTTTTCTTTTCAATTCCTTCCTTATTCCCGCTCGGCTTATTCAATCCCTTCGCTTAAAAATTAAATCTAATTATCGCCAATAAATATTTTAAACAGAGCAATTGCAATTATTAGACTATTACAACTGTGTAATAATTGTTCCCGCAAATATTTGAGCTGTACCTTGCAAATGACTCATTTAGCTCTAAAATAAGCGCAACAAGTCTGTGCAGTTTATGAAATAAGTATTAATAAGATTAGGATGAATCATACACGAAATCATACACAGATAATTTCATAAAAGTGTTATACAGGGTGAACTAATAATATCGTCTCTTACTGTAGAAAGGTGTTAAAATTGTTTTTTGCCACTAAAGAAAATTCGTTACCCAAGTAGCGGGGATATCTAATAATTTAGTAATTCAGTCCTAAAATCCAATAATTACTAAATCGTTGCTCATTGAAATGGTTCGAGTTAAATTGCATGTTATAAAAATGTGCTTTAGTCAAATTGGAATCATTACGATTCCTTAACTGTAAGTAATTCTATTTTTTCTGCCGCAAATAAGTCGAAAAATTCGGCTTAGATATGAGTTGCATTCGAACAATAAATTATTAACGTTTTCGAAATTTGGAAAATTTCAGGAAAATATTCCGCTGATATCGTTGTACGATTAAATACTAAATTCATAATAATTGGGATTTCATAATATCTTACCAGTTGAATCAGTTACAGTTTTTATCAACATTTAGAATAACAATGTACATTTTTGTACTTGGTAGTACTTTGACTATATCTCAACTTTCAACGCAAATACTAGGAAAAAATAATGAAAAGGGCACACAATCAGATTCTTCATAATTACTTAGGCACTAAGACCAAAAACAAATTGTACTACATTAGGCTTAATGGGAAGCGTGTTATTTTGTCACCAAGTCGCGATATTTGTTCAACCACTGAGTAACAGGTAGCTATTACCCACCCTTTAAAGATTATCACATACAAATATTGACAGTTTTGTTTGGAATTTGAGATAAATAACACATTGCTTACTTTACTTATAAAAATCGACCCAGCAAACAAAATGAGAGGTAGTAAGTAAAGAAACAGAGTATTTAGAGAATTGCGAGAATTAAGAGAATAAACTGGATTTTTAGATATGTTTTTGCTTTAAGGGAATCATATACCTAAGGGATATAATAAATGATAACTTTATCTTATTATTTTTTTAATGTAAAGATATGGTATCATGCGGATTAATGTCAAGTGCATGAAATTTTTATCTAAAATCGATCATTTTGTTCTCTGAGATATAACTACATACTTTCAATTAGACAAATATGACTGCAAACATCTCTTATCTCCAATCAAAACGTCAATGTTGAAATTTGATGGTTTAATCAAGATTCACAGTCGTTGCTTCATTTATGCAAAAATTATTTATCAAATATTAATTTCCTAATGAATTTTTTATTGTAATATGAATGCATTTTTCATTGGCACAGCGCGCATTTCCAAAAAAAACTGTTAAGAAATTATAAAAACATTAATTAGTAGAATTGCTAAAACTTAATGACATTAAACTAGTTTATGAGCAAGTAGAAAATGACCAAGTACTTACACTTAGTATATATTTTTTACCTATAATAACAAAACAGTTTAAATATTTGTCATTTTAAGCATATATACTTATTCCCATCCTTCATTTATACATCCCACACTCATTACATTCATTCTTGCGATTTTAATGTTTGTAGATACTCTTTAAAAATTTTCCTAAGGAGATCCTTGTTTTGATCAGATATTTTTCTTCAGAAGATTTACAATAAAGAATAGTCTCATCATATCGCAACGTGGAACAAATCGGGTGCGGTCTAACAATCCTATATTGTTTTTTTGAACTACTTTTTTATAAACTCGCAATAGAGATTTTATTTGTTTCCATCGAGTTCACGGCCAGTCAAATGTCTTGACTACTTTTCAGCTAAAACTGTGACCACGAGACAATTAAATCAAGCCGGTGAACGCTTCAAGATCGTCTCGAGTTACTTTTATTGTTCATTTAGAAATGCAAAACCAAGTTCATAAACAATTACTTATAATATGATTGTATTACATACTATTTTTGTTATATAAATTATTAAGTGAGAATTTTACAAAATATTTTGGTAGATTTTATATAAAAATGTACTTGTGGTCATTGACCATACTTTAACGTTACGTGATTATTTAAATTGCAGAAACAGTTATTAATTTAATGGTGTACGATTTTGTAACCATTATATGACAATTTATTTCGAGTACAAAATTAAAATATAAAATATAAATTTCCTCCGTTTAAAACTACACAATTTTACCTTAACATTTTTCCTTATTTGCATTACTAAATTGTTATAGTACCTATATCTGTTACTTAATCTAAGTACATTTCCGGATGACGAAGATATTTCAATAAAATTTCCATAATCGTTCTAGTAAAGTAACAGGAGGAAATAGACGAGACGTGTTTAAACATTTTCACGGCTGGTTACCGTTTTTGTAGAAACAATTAGCTTACTAATTGAGGTTTAATGGTCTGAGTGCTGCTCGGTTTTTATGCCCATTACAGCGAAATTAATCTAATTTAACAATCTGTTTGATTCCATTTCTATTGATTGAATTCACTCTAATTATTCGTATTTTTATCAGCATCGAATTTACACTCGTTTGATTATAGTAATTTAGCGTAAATACCCGTAATTTGCGCTCGCGCTGCAATTGACTTTTTTTCCCAAAGTATTACTCGTAATTAGCCTTTTAAATTTTTCTGTTAGTCATAATAATTACAGAGCTATAAATAAATAAATAATTTCTTTTACAGGTTCAACGAAGGCTACATTTACACCTATATCGGTGAAGTATGTGTGTCAGTAAACCCGTACAAAAACAAAAACATTTACGGCCCTGAATATGTATCAAAGTATAAAGGTAATTAAATCGCTCAATTATACAAACTTTTCTAAGTCTAATGGATTCTAAAAAGTTGTGACGAATAAAAATCCAATTAAAAAGGGTTCATCCGTTATTCGTGCGTCTGTTGACGTAAATAATTAAAAAGAAATGAGCTGTTAATTGTTTTATAACGTTGACATCGAGAAAACATTTCAAGCCTAAATAAACGCTGTTATTACGAGGCGCAAACTGATGATAAATCGGGACAAAAATCGTTTCTTTTCAAGCATAAAATTATTACCGTGTTATGACCAAGACTCTTGTTGATAGTCACAATGCTTGGTTATATTATACGCCTTGTGGATTGCAGTAAATAATATTTGGAAGTGTCATGTTTAAATACCTCGTTCGTCATTCTATTGAGGAAATTATTCAATGTAAAAGTCATTTTTATTGCTTATTTGGCCTGTTGAAAACGCGAGTTTACAATCGTTTTAGAAGATATTACCATAAAGAGACAGCGTATATAACATTCGTGTGTTTATATTTATTATTTCATAATATACGTGGACATTTTCAGTAATAAAAGAGAGTAATTTCCAATGCTTATTTATTGGTTTAAAAAGACATTAAATTATTGAATTTTTAACGGGTTAAGCGCTTACGAATGTTGTATTTTAAGTGTACTTTTTTTACCTCAAATGTCACACCTATTTTTATCTATTTTTATTTGCGTAAAAGCGTCACAGAATTTGTACTAAATGCTATAAATATTGCATAGGGGAAATTTGATGTAGGTAGCTTTTTGTGCGGGTAACAGTTACTTAACTTAGAGAAAATATGATAATTTTAGAAAGTTCCTGAGGAAATTACCGATGCAAACTACCCGAAATTATGATTTTTATTGCCTTTTTTTCCTCGAAGAAGTTGTTATTACATTAAATAAAATTTATAAGATTACGATATATTTTGTTTTAAAGATTATCCTGATTAATTTTAGATGTTATTATAATTTTTATATATTTGAAGAATCGATAAGTTCTCTTATCTAATCTTATCTGGTTACTAACGCTTCGATTTGTTGATAAATTATATTCGTTGTATAGGTTTTGTATTATCTTTTTGAAGATGCTTTGTATTATTTAATAATTATTTTAAACTTTATCTAATACCGCTGTTTAGGAAATATACCCGCAAAGAGTCTTGTTTTATATGAATAATATGTTTTATTTCCTCTTTATTCCATTACTTTTAAAGATCATGGGACCTTTGAAAATCCCATTAGATATTTTACTTCAAAGCCCTTATTTATGCAATTATTGGGGGATTTTAAATCGAGATATCTTACAGGGAGGGAATTGTTCGAAAACCCGCCGCATATTTTCGCTATAGCCGATGCATCCCACAGGACCATGAAACAACAAGGAAAAGACACCTGCATCGTTATCAGTGGCGAATCAGGATCGGGAAAAACGGAAGCTTCCAAAATCATAATGAAATATATTGCCAGCGTGACGAATCAAGGTGAGAAGAAATTTCCACTTTCCACAGTAGTTATTATACTTTTATCAGTTTTATCCATGTCTTCTGCACAAGATTTTTTTGAATTTCATACGAAAAACATTTTTACAGACTCAAAAACATTTTTTTAATTATTGAAAAATAATTTAATTGACGGGACATTTCTTATATATTTATTTTTGTTATGATTCTAGACTTAAGTTCATCGAAGAGTAAGTATTGTGTTAAGAGTGAATCAGTAAATTTTACTAACTTTTTTGCCGTTTATTTGGCTTTATTCACCTTACTTACATTCAAATTTTTAACGCTAATAATGTTTTAGAAAAATTTAATTTAAATCCTTAATTCGCTATTAATTGATTCAAATATTCGAATGTTTGTCATTCTATTCCATTTGTTGAATTTTTAGACGGACAAAACGAAATCGAGCGAGTGAAAAACGTCTTAATCCAATCGAATTCCATACTGGAAGCCTTCGGTAACGCGAAAACCAACAGAAACGACAACTCGTCCAGATTCGGAAAATACATGGACATCAATTTCGACTTCAAAGGCGACCCGATCGGCGGCCACATCAGCAAATACCTCCTGGAAAAATCCCGGGTCATCCACCAACAGCAAGGCGAACGAAACTTCCATTGCTTCTATCAGGTAACTCTACTAGTACACGCCGAGTTTTACTAACTAAACTCACATCGAACTTATCCAGCTTCTATCCGGCGCCACCGAAGACATGCTGAGGAAGTTCCACTTGACGCGCGACTCCCAACAATACTTCTTCGTCAAGCAGGGCAACGCCGCCCGCGTCGACTCCATCAGCGACAAGAACGACTACAGGACCGTCCAGAGTTCCCTGCTAACGTTGAACTTCACCGCCGCCGATCAGGACACCATCTGGCGCATCATCGCCGCCATCCTCCACATGGGCAACCTCGAGTTCGTCGTCGACGAGGAGAAGCTGTCGATGAAGAAGTCCAAGTCCATCGAGTCCGCCGCCAATCTGCTGCAGGTCAAGAAGAGCGAGCTGGAGAGGGCGCTCTGCGAGAGAGTCATCGCTGTGAGAGGAGATATTATGAGGTAATGTGAGATTTATATGGCGCGTCGGGTAGATTAATTAGACGGTTGGGGTTCTTGTTTAACTGGTGGAGAAGCAGGAGAAGTTCACCACTCTCTTCTATTGAAGGAAGGGGGAAGATCTGGGTGAGGTTTATGTCAGGAAATGGGCGCTAATGAGTGGCTGATGATGATATAGAAGATTGGGATGATGATATAGAAGATTAGGATGATGATGTTGATGATTCTGTTACTTGTTTAGGAAGGAGCATACTGTAACTGAAGCGAATTTCGGTCGAGATGCCCTTGCGAAGGCGGTTTATGATAGACTCTTCTCCTGGATCGTGGATAAAATCAACTCCGCCATCGACGTGGACAGTAACAAGATAAGGAATCGCTTCAAGAACACCGTCATCGGGGTGCTGGACATTTACGGTTTCGAGATATTCGAAAACAACAGTTTCGAACAGTTCTGCATAAATTATTGCAACGAAAAATTGCAGCAATTGTTCATAGGTGGGTAGTGGATAGTTTTGGAAGTCTCAGGTGATTTTTACCGGTGTCTTTTTAGAGTTGGTTTTGAAGCAGGAGCAGGAGGAGTACAAAAGAGAAGGGATCGCCTGGACGAACATCGATTATTTCAACAATCAAATCATATGCGAGTTGGTGGATAATTCTCGCAACGGTATTTTAGCGATAATGGACGACGCCTGTAAAATGACGGCGGAAAAAATAACCGACGAGCAGTTGTTAGAAGCTATGGATAAGAACCTCAAAGGTAAATAATTTATCTCTTTACTGTACTACTTAGGCGACTGATCAAAGGTTATTAACCAATGGCCATCGAGTATCTTCTAACTAAAATACTTAGAATAATAATAAGGCTTCTAGTAAGACTATCTACAAACTTTTATTGTGTTATCAAGGTCACAATCACTATATGTCGAGGCAGATCAAACCGTTGGAAAAAAATTTGAAACTCAAAGAAGAATTCCGCATTACTCATTATGCTGGAGATGTAACCTACAGCGTCATCGGCTTCCTGGACAAGAACAAAGACACTTTGTTCCAAGATTTCAAGAGACTGTTCTACAGTTCGATGGATACCAACATCAAAGAAATGTGGCCAGAAGGCGCCCAAGACATAACGCAGGTAAATATCATTGATACGAACGCTCTGTACATTTTGTTTACGATATAATTGCGCGGTTTTAGATTACCAAGCGACCGCCTACGGCCGGTACGATATTCAAAAACTCGATGCTGGCCTTGGTGCAGAACTTGCAGTGCAAAGAGCCCCACTACGTCCGATGCATCAAGCCCAACGACGTTAAATCGTCGTCGCTGTTCGACGAAGAGAGAGTGAAGCACCAGGTGAGCTACCTGGGACTCGTCGAGAACGTGCGAGTCAGAAGGGCCGGTTTCGCGCACCGACAGAGATACGATAAATTCCTGAAAAGGTGAGTGAATCGAGTCGGTTCGATTCGAAATTAATTCACGCATTTCTCGCACAGGTACAAGATGATATCGCAATTTACATGGCCGAACTTCCGGGCCGGTTCGGACAAAGACGCTTGCAAAGTAATCATCGACGAATATCAGTTTTTCAACGACGTGCAATACGGCAAAACGAAGATTTTCATTCGTTCGCCGCAAACGTTGTTCGCGCTGGAAAAGGTCAGAAATCAACTGATGCCCGGCATCGTGACGTTGATCCAAAAGACCTGGAGAGGGTACGTTGCGCGACAACAGTATAAACGAATGAAGGCCTTGATGACATTGATTAAGGTTTATCGTAGGGCAAAGACGAGAGAATATATCGGGGAATTAGAGCGTAGATTTAAAAACGCTAAAACGATGAGAGATTTAGGTAAGAATATTCAATGGCCGGCGCCGCCTAGAAATCTCAGGGAAACTGATAAAATATTGAGGAACGCTTATAGAAGGTAAGTAAATTCCCACATCTACCCTTAATTATACTCCATTCGCCCTCAAAAGATATGCACTTTAAGGCTTTTATCATTGTGGCCTTCTTCTGGGATAATACATTATTCTTAAAAGGTTCTAATCAAACTGCTTCGAGAAGATTTCATTACTATCTCCTGATGGCGAACGGAGTATAGTTTAATTAAAGGCGAGACTGAGTGAATTTACACATGGATTTTTTTCAAGGTGGAGAGCTTCCATGCTTATAAACCGAATACCGAAGGCGGACGTGCCTCAGATGAAGCTGAAAATAATGGCAGCCAGCGCGTTGTTGAACAAACGCTACGATTTGGGGCTGAAGCGCAGATGGGAAGGGGACTACCTGGCTTCCCCCGCCGACAATCCCCAATACGTTGTATATAACGAAGCGGTCAATAACCTCAAAAACTCCAAGCACTTCAACAACATACTGTTTTCCGCTTTTATCACTAAATTCAACAAATTCAACAAGGTAAGTTCGAGATATTTCGTACCTACAACAGAAAGAATAATCTCTTGATTTGTTCATTTACTGATTAGGTAGCGGAGAGAGTGATGCTGATAACGGAATGGAGTATTTTCAAATTGGACACGATCAAATTCAAGAATATGAAGGAATGCGTTCACATCAAAGAGCTGTCAAGCATCAGCGTCAGTCCTGGAGCGGATCAATTGGTGGTTTTCCACATTCCCAATGGAAACGACCTGGTGGTGTCGCTGCATTCGAATAACGGCGTGGATAAGGTCGGAGAGTGCGTCGGCGCCGTTTGTAGTAAATATTCCCAGTAAGTACTCGAAAAATCTATACTCTCTTACCTATCTCCTATAGCTCTGACTACTATACACTATTCGCTAGGAGATAGATTATCTCCTGATAGCGAACAGACTATAACTTTTCTGTTACTGGAATATCGGTATATTTTTGGTGGATTTTTTTAGGCTAACTCACACGGAGCTTCCAGTCAACGTCAGCAAAACAATAACGTGCAGTCTCGGCAGCAAAAGGAGATTGATCAACATCAAGGTCTCATCAGCTGAAGGTTCGCCCACGTTTAAAAAGTACGAGAATAATGTGGATTATTTGATACCGCCTAGTTATTCGATCGTGGAAAACGGCAACAAATACATCAAAAATTAACTCTGTTCTAGAGGTTGTAAAATGAGCGAGGCGAGTTGCATTTCCAGTATTCAAATTTGATAAATACTGGTAGTTATTTTGATGGTATTTCGATAAAGAATATTCTATCGGAAATGTTGTTACTTTGAAATATTTATGCGCTGAAAATTTTACACACAAACGATTCAAATTTGTTTAAATGTACCGCTTGTGATTATTCATCAAAGTGCCTGTAAATGCAATATTTTTATAAGTGCCTATACACGCAAAATACGAAAAGGTAACAACAATATATTTTATGGATACAATTAATTTTTATATTTCTCTACAAACCTTTATAAAATATACTGCTGGTAAAATATGTGGCTACAAAAGAGGATGTACTTAAATTTTGTGATTTTACTTATAAAGTGATAATCAGAACATCCATTTTTATGAAATATAAAATCAAATGAATATGAAAATATTAGTAAAGCTTTTAATCTACTTGTAATTCACGTTCAGTTCTTTAAGATAGTGACTATTAAACAAATGTTTAATCGTTTTCTATGTTTATTGAAATATTTATACTTATTTGCTAAATGTCACCATTGGAAGAACGAAAACTTTTATGATTTTTCCCATTTTCTTATATGGAGGCAATTAGATTAAAAAACTGAACTCTGCCAGTATTTCAATTATGTTTAAGACTGTTTTACTCATGCTTTTTTATTACTTAAAAATAGTCGTACTGAAAGTAAAAAGATTATGAAAGTCGATCCAAATGTGATATGTGAAAGTTAAACTTAAGTTTTTTATAAACTGCACGTTCCATCATAAACTATTATTTTTTATAAATCGCGGTTAAAAATGACGTTGTATATAACTTATCCGTACTTATTGTGTATTTATAAATTCAACGTGGCATTTTCTATTTTTCTAAGTTGTAACAAACAACGAATGCTTTTATTATTAGATATATTTTATATATTATATTTACATATTTTTGAAAATGTAGATAATATAGTGCCATTATTTATGTTTATATTGTACCTGTTTGGACGGTATTACAATTATTATTCGCATTATAGCTAACATGTGCCTTATTAAAAAATAAACTTTAACTTTGTTTTCTTTTTATCCTATAAATTTCTTTACCCCATGGTACATTTCAGTTTGCAATATGGTCATTTCTATGAGTTGAACAAAGAAAGATTACTAAAATAAATGTTGTTAGAGTAAAAAGTCAGTTACACAATATCACTCTTTTTTTTTCCTTTATAAGTGTCTTTATCGCACCCATAGCCTATATAACCTATATTGTAAACTAAAATGATCAATCTGTATACTTTTTTATACTAGTAACTAACGACTTCTTTACTCAGGCTATTTCTTACTTACCCTCTCAGTTTCATTTTGACAACCATTATCGATCAAACACGCGCCCGAAGTTAAACAGTTTTCATTTTGTATGTCAAAGAAAAAAGTGTAAAATATGGAGATAAGCTACCAGTACCAGAAAAAAAGGAGCGACTTCGGGAGACAGCCTTTGTTCTCCGACAAAGGACCGGATTTAGTAGACCACTATCCGTCGAACAGGAAAATTCACAAAGAATTCATCCTAAAGTAGGTACATGCTTCTGATGAAGGCCTTCATACTCTCATTTATACCAAAACATAAGCTCTCTAATTTAACTGAAGAGACATTTCTTCATTTCATGGGAAATTGTGTTGCTACGAAGATAATTATTTTTGTAGAGATCCTGTCTCCCGGTCGACTCAATTAGCCCCCGTATATGCCGAACATTACCTAAACACAATGAGCACCATATTCAAAAACACCGTATGCAATCACGCAGAGGGCGGCTGGCCAAAAGACGTAAATTGCTTCGACGAAGAACAAACCAAAAGGTACAGAAGAAAGATCGAAAAAGAAGACAATTACCATCACATCTGCATGCAGCTCTTCAAAGTAAACAAACCGACCCCAAACTGTAGTATAAATAAGAAACTGTATTTGTATTAGAACATGGAAAGTTGCGTTTTGCAAAACAACGCCATCAACATCTACCAAGAGTACTTCGAGGATCTGCCGCAATGCCCGATGATCGAAAAGAATTCCGCGAGGACCGTGAACGTTTACCAAGACCAAACCTCCCCAGTGAGGCCCGTCAACCACATCTCCTGGTCGCCCGACAACCAGACCAAATTCGTCGTGTCCCATTGCAATCTGGCCTTCCAAGCCATCATACTCAAACAAAGCGCCAACTCCTACATTTGGGAAGTCGGTGGGTAACTTCTAACGATTATTTTCCCTTTGTTTCGTTACCGGATTTCTGCCACAGAAAACCCCAACCGTCCTCTGCACACGCTGAAGCCCGAGCAGCAATGCGTAAGCATCGAATACAACATGAAGGACCCCAGTCTGCTGGTGAGCGGCCAAATCAACGGCCAGGTAGCGCTGTGGGACGTGAGAAAAGGCGTGGAGCCCGTCGATGTGAGCTTGAGAGAAACCAGTTTCCTGGATCCCGTGCAAAACGTGATGTGGATCCACTCGAAAACCAACACGGAGTTCTTCAGCTCGTCCACCGACGGCATGGTGAAATGGTACGGCGCTCCCCCGGCGATTGATTAACGATTAAATCGCGGTTGACCGTTTAGGTGGGACACCAGAAACCTGAGCGAGCCCACCGACACGCTGATCCTCGACTACGCCAAGGAGCCGCGGCTGAGCAACGCCTTGGGCGCCTCGTGCTTGGAGTACGAAATCACCATTCCGACGCGGTTCATGGTCGGCACGGAAGAGGGCGTGCTCGTGATGGGCGTGAGAAAGGGCAAAACGTCGATGGAGAAGATGACGTTGAGGATACAAGGCGCCCAATTCGGTACGGTGCGAGGTTAATTTCGATGCGATAATCTTTATCCGCCGCTCGTGCTTAGGGCCCATCTTGAACGTGCAACGGAACCCGGCGTTCTTGAAAAACTATCTGACGGTCGGCGACTGGGGCGCCAAGATTTGGTCGGAGGATTGTCGGGAGAGTCCCATCATGTGGACGCCCTTGCAGAAGGTCGAGATAACAGACGGAGCTTGGAGCGCAACCAGGTAGAAACCTATCTTGTTTTACGATCTGGTCTAGCGTTGAACTGTCTTGCAAAAATTCCTAGGTATTTACAGCGAGTGGTTTTTCAGGGTGTCTACGTTTTTCACGACGAGAGCCGACGGAACGTTGGACATATGGGATTTCCTGCAGCATCAAAAACAGGCCACTCTAGCGGTGAGGATTTGCGATGAAAAACTGACCAGCGTCAAACCACACGATAGCGGAAAATTAGTGGCAGTTGGCAACCGCATAGGCACCACCTATTTGATCGAATTGTCCAAGAACTTATCGTCTTCCACGAGGTCCGAAAAAATGCTATTCACCGGGGTAAGTTTTAGATTTATCCAACAAATTTTTGCTCGTTTATTAAAGCTTCTTTTCGCATTAATAGTGAGAGTTTTGTAGTCGTTTGTAAGTTTATTTAGTTGTCCTAGAAGCACAATGATGTAGAAAATGTAACGCTTATAACCACGGTACGTACTGTTTTAATTAATATTTTCTCCAGCGCGGAAACGTTTTATTATAACTAACGGTGTTAAGGATTGGTTCGCAGATGTTCGAAAGGGAAAATCGCAGGGAGAAGATCTTGGAGGCCAGAAACAAGGAGATCCGCTTGAAGCAGAAGGCTTTCAAGCAGCAGGCCGCCGCGAAACGGGACTCCGATACGCCTGGAGTCTCCGGAGATCATCCGGCGTTTTTCGACAATTTCGTGCAACAGGCGGAAATCGATTTTCATCAAAAACTGGCCGAAATCAAGGAGAAATTCGCGGAAGACGATCGCACCATCGACGACGGGGAATCGCTGAGAACGGACGCGGATGCTGCAAGTCAATCCGAAAGAATCGATTCCGAAGACGTTAAACCGACCAATTAATAAGAGCATTTTGAAAATAATTTGACTGTTTATGAATTTTATTTAAAAATTTAAAAATTATATTAAGAATAAAATATATTGGTGGTGAATTCTGGTGCACCGCTAATAAATAAGCTGTAATATAACGAAATATTGAATAAACATTACTCAACAACTGCAGGAAAATTAATACACAAATTGACCGATTTTTCAAACATCCTTATCCACAAAATAAACAGAACAACGGTGAAAATTTTAGATGCTCGAGAGGGAAATCCGGCGCGAGAAGGTCCTCGAGAATCGCGCCCGCGAGATGCGCCTGAAGCAGAAAACGGACAAATCGGCCCAAGCGGACGAGGGCGAAGAAGGAGAGGCGGGCGGCGGCGAAGAAAAGGCCACCGAAGAGGAAGAATTCATGGACCGCATCGTCCAGAACTTCGAAAAAGACTTCAAGAAGCGCCTGAACGAGGCCATCAAGCGGGCGAAGAGCAAGGCGGGCGGCTCCATCAGCGGGCAATCGAGGGAATCCAGAGTTTCCAAAACGTCCAAGGCGGAATCCGTGAAGAAGCCCAAGACCGAAGCCACCGAAGAATTGGAGGAGGAAGAAGTAGAAGGCGAAGAGGAAGCCGAGGAAGAGGAGGACGAATTTGATGATGTGTAATGAATAGACTACTACCGGAAACTGGAAGGTTAAAATCCGATTATTACTTTACATTATACTTCTACATATGAGTGATATTTCTTAGAATAAAATATTCTTTAGACTGGAAATACGGATTGATTTGTGAATACGCTGTAAAAATCGATAATTTCGAATTGTACACTAACGCCGCCCATGAGCGGCAGGCAACCCCTTGACACTATTTCAAACAACCCTCACCAAACACAAAAGTGTATACCAAATTTCGATAAGTGGTCGAAATAAAAAAAAATCGACCAACGCGTAACGTGCACCGCCGCATCGACGACGTCACAATTTCATTCAGGAAATCCCCGCCGGCCCGCCGCCCCCGCCGCCCCTGCCGCCGAGGGTGAGTATTGATTTCGGCCGCGAAGTCGGGGGCGAACCTTCCGTTATCGACTGGGAAATCAGTTGACATCGACGGGACGGCACGCCACGCACGTAACCCCCCGACGCGTCCGAACACGAAGGGTTAGAGTGATGCCGTGACCGGAGGTCGCTCTCTGCCGAAGGCGACGGTCGAAGATGTCGTCCATATCGGCCCAGGGGGTGGTCGAGCGAGCGTCCGCGGAGCTCTCGAAGCGGATCAACGGGCTCGGCCTGCGGAGCAGCAAACACCATGCGACCAAGGGAAGCGTCATGGAAAGGGTTACTAATGTCTTCTGCGGTGGCGGCAATAACTCCCTCGTCGGTATGTATTCGTATTTACTTAAAGCTCTTTATTTTACTACTGTTTTGCTAAAGCTTTCTAAATGATTTGGAGAACTTTTAGCCATCAATAATAGTCATTGGTAGTAATACTATTTCAATATTTTACTCCACTGTTTATTTCTTCTATAGTAAGAAGCTTCCATAGTAAAAATCCGTAGCAAAAACTGTTGACTAAGGAAAACTAATAGTCTATATTATCTGAAGTACACAAATTTCTTTTATATTTTCTTATCTATCAACAATCTGCCCCAAATAACTCAATAATAAAAATTCAACCTCGTGATACTGTTTCATGTCTCCAATTAATTTATTAATTTTATTTTACTCCACTGTTTATTTCTTCCATGGTAAAAATCTTCCACTCACTGTTGACTCAAGTTAATCAAAAAGTCTATAATAATGAACAAAAATATCTACACAATATTTCTTATCCAACGTTCAATATTCTACATGTTCCTTATTTACGAAAAATCTCTCCCAAATAATTCAATACCATAAATTGAGCTAGTAAAAAGCTTCCATAGCAAAAACCGTCGACCATAATCTAATCCAACAATCTACATTTGATATTTCCCTCAACTTCAAAGTAAAAATTCCACACTTTTCTAGCCTTTTTTACAACCCCACTCTCATTATAATTACCTATCCTCCGCATATATAATTCCCCAATTCGTGCGCCTAAGTCCAATCGATTTTAACCGAAACGGAATTTTCTCAGGTGCCCCAGAGAAGCCGTCGCGGCTGCTACCAACGCGCGGGCTGTCGAAGAACGCGAACCAGATCTCGTTGACCGGAAATTCGGTGTCGACGCCGCGAAGACACCGCTCCTTGCCCGCTTATCTCAGCTGGGAGCAGCTCGTCATGGACGAAAGGTTCCTCACCAATTTTTTTATGTACTTCAACGCGTGCGAACGGTGCGTTTTAGCACAGGTAAGAGGCCCCATCAAAGTCCCTTTAACTCTAAAGTAAAGACCGCATTTATTGCGAGCGCCAAATTTTCCCTTCTTTAAACGTTTCATTCCTAAACAGGTGTGCACTCGATGGAGAGATATTTTATATAGGTCCCCGCGATATTGGTCTGGGCTCGTGCCAGTTCTGCAATGCCGAGAAATGCGCGGCACTCAAGGAAACGACAGGGCGAGGTATGTTCGAATTTTACGACGATTGCGTATCCACATTTTTATTAATACAAAATAAATTTGTCTCGCAACAGATTATACGCGTCTTTGCTGCGCAGAGGATTCCACAGTCTGTCGCTGATGAGCGCCTCCGACGAGGACGCGATGGATCTGGTCAACGCGTTTCCGTTGGCTTCGAAGCACATACACACGCTCAGTTTGAGGTGCTCCAGCATCACCGACAGGGGATTAGAAGCTCTCTTAGACCACCTTCAGGTACTGTGACTCGACGCTCGATTTTCCCCAACTTACCGGTTTTGCGCAGGCTTTGTACGAGCTGGAATTGGCCGGTTGCAACGAAATCACCGAGGCGGGATTGTGGGCTTGCTTGAACCCGCGGATCGTTTCGCTCACGCTCACCGATTGCATCAACGTGGCCGACGAAGCGGTGGGAGCGGTGGCGCAGCTCCTGCCCGGCCTCTACGAGTTCTCCCTGCAAGCTTATCACGTTACCGACGCCGCTTTAGGTTACTTCTCGCCCAAGCAGAGCAACTCGCTCAACGTTTTGAGGTTGCACTCTTGCTGGGAAATCACTAATCACGGGATTGTAAATATAGGTAAGGCGTGGTGTGCGAAAGGCGCGTTGAAGATGAGATGTGTTAATTTTTCAGTTCACTCCCTGCCGAATTTAACGGTTTTGAGCTTATCGGGCTGTAGTAAAATCACCGATGACGGTGTAGAATTAATAGCGGAAAATCTACAAAAATTGAGATCGTTAGATCTGTCTTGGTGTCCTAGAATCACAGACGCTGCCTTGGAATACATAGCGTGCGACCTTAATCAGTTAGAAGAATTAACTCTAGATAGGTAAATTTAATGCCAAAATGGATTCGTAAATACAATGTTGCGTAATTTTTGTTTGTTTCGTAGGTGTGTACATATAACGGATATAGGAATTGGATACATTTCCACGATGTTGTCCTTATCTTCCCTTTACTTACGTTGGTGTTCCCAAATTAGAGATTTCGGACTGCAACATTTGTGCGGAATGCGCAACTTACAAATACTCTCGTTAGCGGGTAAGTCAATTCGTCCCATTTTAATAATTCACCAAAAGGAGGTTTCTACATTTGAGTTATTAATTATCAACTCAATACCATCAAAGGCTATTCGGAAGAGTTTCGTTTGAAACTGGAATCAGGTCGTTTCAAACAGCGATTTCAATGGTAGTTGATTTTCCGAGACGTAAGAGGTCAATAACATTTTGTTTTGATTTTTGACATTTAAGTAAGGTTGGAATCCTTTTTCATTGCCGGTTTCGAGCCAAATTCCATCTAAAACTGGGCTTATGATGAATATTTATAATTCACTGTATTATTATAAACAATTCGATGTGTCCATATTATGGAATTGGCTATTCCAGGATGCCCATTATTGACGTCGAGCGGCCTGTCTAGCCTGATCCAACTGCGACACATGAGGGAATTAGAATTAACCAATTGTCCAGGGGCGTCAAAGGAGCTGTTTGACTACCTCAGAGAACACCTTCCTCGTTGCCTCGTTATAGAATAAGTCGCCAATTGTCCACTTGTTATATTTGATACTAGACTGTGCAATAATACGTGATTCGGATCATTTCGACTCGATTATAATTTTGATTGGCTTCATTACGAATATATTTACGTATTTATTCGCTATTTAATTAGCTTCAATAGGAAAGTCATAGCCGAATAATGCTCTCCCCGGAAGATATTGCCCGAGTTTTTAATATATTTGATATAATACACCTAAATGTAATATCGAGAATGCTTGAAAATTTTCAAAATTTTGCTCTGTTGAAGCAAATTAAATGAAGGAACAGTTCGTTAGTGTACTAATAACGAGTAAAACTTTACCTCTTTAGTTAAATGAAAAAACCGTTAAATAAAAACAAAAATAAGACTAATAAAATAAAATTACACAATTTAAATTTACCATCCACTTAATGAATTTTTCCTTCAAGTCAATTCTTAGTCTGCAATTTTTATACATAAATTAGCTATGACGAAAATTATACATCACGATTAATTGCATTATAACGTTGTGTCCTTAGCTAAGAATTGAATAATTAGTTTATACTAATTTAACGATTATAATATTTTTCAATCGATTATTTATTCAAACTTTTCAAATGGTCCATAAAGCGGAAAAATTTTTGAACGAATCGAAAAAAAAACTTTGTGCGTTGGTAAAAAATTAGAATAATAAAGGTAACTTAAAATAAGACAATCTAGTAAGAAAAGTCTCAATTAAATATTACGTTGTAGACGGATAAAGTATGTTAACCTGGTTACAATTAAAAATACAAGGTCCTTTTTACATTAAATTGAATAATTAATTGTACAATTTTCTTGTACAGAAAAATTGGATAATCTAACATGGACTTACGAGAGATATTTTGCACAATTTTAATACATAATATAAGTATTAGTTTGGCTATAAATACACTTATTCTCGTCGGGAGTTAAGCAAGCACTGTTAAATACTGCATGTAGAAAATAAAGCCAAAAATAAACGCTAATGCAACAATTAATAAACGCATATCTGCCTTTAAAATGAATCTAAAACAATCAAGTATTAAATTTAGCGCATATCATTTTGCAAATCGAATAATTTAAGTAAAATTGCTCATTAAAGCAATAATTTTCTAAACAATTTTTGATATAAGCTGCGTCAAACTAATTCAATTATCACCCTTTATGCTATTAATTAAACCTTATGGACTATTTGAAATTAGTGTTTATGTGATGTGATCATTGAGATTTTTATTATATGTTGAAACAACCCGTATTTGTGTCAATAAAATATTTTGTAAAATAAATTACTTAATTTTATTATCTCGCTCCATATACAAAAAAAATAAAAAACTTAGTTATATTAATTGTCCCACCACGTCAAAAGTCCTAAACCAGGTTCATTTATACTACCCTAAACACAAAATTATAATTACTCTCCTAATAATCTTCATATTCCAAGCAAAAATTATAAAATATTAACTTACCGTTAACGTATAGGGCACTTTATTCTCATTTCCCTCGCTGCTTTCCTGTATATTAGTAGGCCCCGCCGGACAGGTCTCGGTGAAATTCTCAGCAATGACTCTGAACCTAATTATTTCGCCCGAGTCCATAAACAGGTCGTGTTTGCTACCATCTCCCGTATCATACTCCCATACCCAGGCCTGCTCGGTTTCATTGAATTTAGAAGGGTGCTGCAAGGCCGTGGGCGGTATTAGGATATCCTCGAAGAAGCCCAGAGTCACGTGGACGCCTTCTTGACTGCAACTTCGAATTTTTCCCGTGAGAATTTCCTCGATGAAGGGTCTGAACACGATGAACCTGAAGTTGACTCTGGTGTGGGAGGCTCCGTCGCCGGGTATTATGAAGGATTCTTGTAGACTGACGATGTCGTACAAAGCAATACACAGGCCTACGTTAAGTACCACCTGAAAATTGGTAAGTTGTTTATTTGATTAAGCCTAATAATGAAATCGTTATATCGTTAACTTTGTTTGCCAGTTTGTTGTTCAGTTCTCCTGCTATTGCATCGTTCAAGTGTAAATTGAATAACTCTGGGGGTATTCTAGTCACATTTTTCATTTCGGCTAAGATAAACATTCTGATTCTCAACTAATTTTTAAAACTAAACATGAAAACACCTGAAACATAACCTTAACCAACAATTTTCTTCTTCTTTTTCATAAAAAATATAAAACATGGTGCTGCATTTTCCAAGTAGTTCCAAGTTCAGTTTCCAAGAAAAAGAAGAATTTTATTGACATTGACAATTGACATTTCCTTCTAATATGGATGTTTGTTTACTAATTTGATCGTTTAAAAGTAGTCACACCGCTTTTTAGTGTTATTTAAAATTAAAATTATACATAAGTAGTGAATAAGCACAAATCCGGTAATCCAGAATGTTTAACCAAAGCACTTTGGGCACCTTCGGGTCGTCTGCCGCACCGAGCACGTCGAACCCCATGAAGGATTTCGAAGTGGTCTCACCTCCAGATGACTCCATAAGTTCCATGGCATTTTCCCCAGCGACATTACCCCAGAATTTTTTAATCACCGGCAGTTGGGACAATAGCGTACGGTGTTGGGAGATCGAACAAAACGGTACTAGCGTTCCGAAATACATGCAGACATGCGGGGGTCCTATACTTGGTATGTTTTAATAGTTGATTTCTAATTTATATTCTATAGTTCCTAAAAGTGAGTAGATATATTTCTATAGATATGTTTTTTCAGATGTCTGTTGGAGTGACGACGGTAGCAAGATCTTCATGGCTGGTTGTGATAAGCAGGCGAAAATGTGGGATTTAGCCAGTAATCAAGTAGTGCAAGTAGCAATGCACGATGCTCCTATAAAAACCTGTCATTGGATCAAAGCTCCGAATTATTCCTGCTTAATGACAGGCTCCTGGGATAAAACCCTGAAATTTTGGGACACGCGCAGCCCCAATCCCATGATGAGCATAAATTTACCAGAAAGGTGCTATTGTGCTGACGTCGATTATCCAATGGCTGTAGTAGGTACTGCTGGAAGGCAGATTATAGTGTACCAATTGGAAGGTAAACCACAAGAGTATAAGAAACTCGACAGTCCTCTGAAGTATCAACATCGATGCGTGGCCATTTTTAGGTTAGTTAAAATCTTTTAAAATCGATAATAATCATTAAATTCCTCTTATCTCATAGGGACAAGAAGAAATCTCCGACTGGTTATGCATTGGGCTCCGTAGAGGGCCGAGTAGCGATTCAATACGTCAACCCGACGAATCCCAAAGACAATTTCACATTCAAATGCCACAGGTCGAACGGAACGCCCAACGGGTACCAAGACATTTACGCGGTTAACGACATTGCGTTTCATCCCGTGCACGGGACTCTAGCCACCGTCGGCGCCGACGGATCTTTCAGTTTTTGGGATAAAGACGCCCGAACGAAATTGAAGCCGTCCGAGCTGATGGAGCAACCGGTGAGCAGGTGCGCCTTCAATCACAACGGGCAAATCTTCGCGTACGCCGTGAGCTACGATTGGAGCAAAGGGCACGAGTTCTACAACACCCAGAAGAAGAATTGCATATTTTTGAGACCGTGCTACGAAGAACTCAAGCCGAGGCAATCCTCGTAAAATTTCCTTATTCCATTTTAATGTAATTAATAAATCGACCTTTGTATGTTCATTTTTGTTACTTTTTTTCAATTTATTTAATTTAAATGTAAAAGAAATATTAAAATGCTTCTAATTTTATTTCTAAATACCTTACATGCATTTCATTCATATTTGAAAGGTTTATCTTTACTTATTCTTTCTTTGGAACGTACTGAAGAACTAAAACTGACTTTGGAGCTAATGGAATATCGGTTACACCCTTCTTGGCGCTGCAATAAAATTTCACATTATCAAATGATACTTAAAAGACGAATTTACATACCCGATATCCTTATACTCCGTGACATTATAATTTTGACTGTAATACTGTATGGTAACCTCCTCTAATTTCGATAAAGGCGGTATATCTTGGTTGATATTAACAGTGGCCAATTTGTTGGCAGTGTTCAGTAAAACGAGGACACCAGGATTACCAGCTATTTCCCTGAAATACGTAAAAATCACTTTAATAAAATAATTATAATTCTTGTAAAAATACTAGCTAAATCTGTGTATGAATAGCAGAATCGTACCTTTGTCTGTTCCCAAAAGTAAAGCGTGAAATTGATTATGGATACATTAGAAAAATGGTTTAGTAAGTAAACGAATTATTTTTTACCTGATAAACCCGAACACGGTGTCGTTGTTGATGGAGTACATATCGCAATTTCCCCTCATGATCGACGGAGAATCTCTGATTTTACTTATAGCTGCATCAGTGGTGGTATTTACATCCACAAGTGTCGCACCCGGCAAAAGGTTTGTAACAATTTCAACCACATCCGAAGGTAAAGATGAATTATTTTCCTACACATACAAAATGTATAATTATTTATGAATTTATGTTGTACGTTATAAATACCTTCCACAGAGGCCATTTAATGTTATCAACTTTAAACGTTTCGTTCAATTTCTGAACGATAGCCGTCACGTTGGGTTTACTGAAAACGTTCACCAACAGCGGCAGATCCACGACGACGTTCTTAAAAACCGTATAAGAATTTATTTTACTTATCTCTTCGTCTATCATCAACGGGCCGCCTTCGGTCACGTTCTTCACCACCTGAAACGAACGCACTGCTAACCAGCGACTAAAACGCGCCATTACAAACCCACCTTATTCCAATTGAACAGCAAACTACCCACGTCGGGCAGATCGCGGGTCTTCGACGGCACGAAGAAGCCCGGCTCGCCAATGTTGATGCCCACTTTGTTCGTTATCAGCGTCTCCTCCTCGAAATTCGGATCGACCAGCAGCAACGGGGCGTTCCGGACGCGGACGCCCGACGCCCCGAGCTTCGCGAACTTCTTCACGACCCCAGCGAACTCCTCCGCCACCGCCGGATTGCGGAAGTTCAGGTGCGGGGCCGACAACGGAGCGTAGTAATACTGGTTGCGTTTCGGGGAATACACCCACGACGAAGTGTTGTTTAGGTATTTCTGAAAATATCATTTCACGAATCGAGCGCGGTCGGCGAAAAATCGCGATTTTTCTTACCCAATTGTTGGGCGGTTCGCGAACGTCTCCGGTGTACTTGGGCTTCTTCCATATGTAATAATCCGCGTATAGCGAATTATTGTTCTGGCTTTCTTCGAACCACATGTTAGTTGTCGAGGGATCCAAATCGATTATCACTTTTTTACCGGCCTCTTGCGCATCTTTGATCAGCTGAATAACGGCATGTGAATCGTTCACCGATTGATAGGGGTCATCATTGAACGATATTATCAACCCTAAAACAATATAATCGATATAATACGCTCGAATTGTAATGCTTATTAAGTAATACCTTTGATGTTAGTCAAAGATTTCATCTTCTCCGAGCTTATGCTGTCCTTGACTTCAGCGAGCGGTCCAACTTGCCACCTGCACCAAAGTAATAACGCATTAACCACTACTCTCTAAAACATTCTAACTAATACAGACTTTAATATAGTAATTGGGAATTAAATAAATGTTATCGTACCATGTTCTGGGCGGTGGTGGATCGCATTTAGGCGCTGCGTAGATAATCATAATGGCTCCGAAGAGCATGGCGGCCCAGAGTACCCAAAATGTGATGAAAAGGAACCAACGCAATCGCACCCAAAACGGATCGTTGGCGAATTTCATGAGTTCCTCTTTGGAGAGGCCCCCGAACTTTTTTTCGTCTTCTACAACAACAGTTTCAATGCTTTCGTCTTCCAATACGATTTGAAATTAAAAATCAATAAGTGAGTACATTAGTCAATATCAGTTACAAGATACAGTTTCTCCTGAAGAAAAACGTTAAAAAAAAGGTTCGAGATTACTGGTATCTTAGTACAAAACGATTTGTTAGGTGTAGTTCATAATTTCTTACCATTTTTTACAGATGCATTGGGAGTTTCAATATTTTCCATACTGTTACAAGCAAGACTGGTTCGTAAAACATACAATGTTACTACTGAGGGTTAGTACAAATATTTTATAAAATGTTTACAGAAGGAGTATATTTTACAAATATCCTTCACCGCAAACAATATAGTTTATATATTAAACATATTTTAGTAGATTAACATTCCAACAGAGCGATAACGGAAAATATCAATAACATTTAAATGCAGTTAAAAAGCAAACAAGCACATTGTATAACTGTTCGAACCAACTAATTGAGTAAATAATTTGAGAACCAATGTACAAAACTTATTAAGTGAATAACTTTTGGGTGAGTAGTGCAATTCGCCCTTGTAGAGGCCTAGAGTTTATTAGAATTAATAAGTGAGCTAATAATAATAATTACCTTCTTCGACTTTAGCATCCCCGTTCTTCTCGGTCATTACAATTTTGATATCTTTCATGGGAATCTCGGAATTTACCGAAACTTTGCTGTCTTCGTTGGACAACATTCTTTCGTCTGCTCCATCAGGTTCCTTGAACTTCGATTTGTCAGTTTTGCTTCTCGAGGCCGCTTCTTCTACACAAGTAATTACTCAAATTAAAAGCACTAGAGAGAAAACGTAACACGTACCCTCCATTTCTCTTTCAGATATGGGCTTGTAGGTTTCACTTTGTAACTTGGTTTTTTCATCGATTGGCTTGTTCTCGGGCATTTTTAAGCCGTTAATCGCCGCAAATTGCCGCTAAACTGGTCTTTCCTGTCGCTGTAATTGAAGTTTTTAAATTAAAATGGTTGGTTCACTAACACAAATTTAACTATATAATCGATATCTTAAGATGTTATTGATACTACTCCCAGTCAACTTGCACGAATGATGCAAGAATTGAAGGGCTTGCAGTTGATGAGAATAAGATTATTGATTTATGTTAAATGAAGAATAACAAATATTTGAATTAAAACTGCTTGTGTAACATAATTGGCGTGTATTTAGGATAGATTGTTATCATTCAAATTGAGTTTTAATGAGATTAAACGTGTTAATATTGTAAATAAATTTCCAGTCATACCTTACTTTTGAGGAAAATTGAGAACTGGTTCCTCGGCGCAACTCTCAACGTGACCTTGATTGGATAAAAAATCGAAAACTAACTTCAGTACATATTAAATTACATATTAGTGCAACTTACCTTTACTTGTTGAAAGAATTTGCACTGTAACGAAACTGAAATACTCCAAATAAAATTGTTTTCGCACTCAAAAAAATGAACATAACCCTCAAAATCGGATTAGTGGCTGTTTGTTTAAAAAGGGTCTAGTCAAGTAGTCAAGGACTAAGCTGGGCAAGTAAAGAAGAAAAATTGATAGTTTTGTGGCGTCTCCCAGTAGCGAGGCCACCAGCAGCCACATCAGCGCAGGACAAGGCCAAGGAAAAAGAAGAACGCTATCTTCAGGGCGCGACGGAAAAAACGCGGCAGAACCTAACTTTTTTCGCTTCTACGAACACGAGCGGGTTTCCCTTACAATCGAACTTTACTTTGTTGTTATATCGTTTGTCTATTTTAAAAATAAATTGTTAGAAACTGTCTACAAATTGGTGACCCCGACGTGATTAGGCAAACGTAGCCACACGGTGTATTACCCGGGTTCTCGCGTTTTATTCCGAGTTTTGTGCGACGTGCCGGTCGAGAATTCCATCGTACACGAGTTCTACACGTCTGACTCAGTTTATTGAACAATTGTGAGTGACTGAACCCTTATCGCAACTACGAAAACACGGTAATCAGGACTTGATCCAGTTAATGTGCTTTAAAAAAACTTTCGTACCGGCAAAATGGAACATAATCAAGGTGCCGCCGACCCTTCGGTACCCGACGAATCGTTAAACGGACTGGTAGGCGCAGTAAGCGTTGTCAAACTTCCTCTACCGTTTTGGAGACACAATCCATCGAGATACTTCATGGTTGTCGAAAACACCTTCGAGCTACATCGGATCACGGCTGATCTAACAAAATACCGGCATCTCATTAATCATTTAGAGGCGGATCTGATTGATTTAGTGGGCGATATAATAGACGATCCACCGGAGTTTGGCAAGTATAACGCACTGAAAACCCGACTAATTAATATCCTTGCAGATTCCGCTGAAACTCGAATGAGGAAATTATTGAATGGCCAACCATTGGGCGATACGAAACCAAGCATGCATTTACAAAGAATGCGGAATCTGTCCGGTGGGCAATGCAGCGATGCTGTTCTTCGACCCATATTCTTGGAACAGCTGCCTGAACAGGTACGATCAATACTAGCTGCAAATAGAAGCGCGGACCTCACCGAAATCGCCGATATGGCCGACCGAATTATGGATACGGTTAGATTACAAGTGGCAACCCTCGCTACGACAAACACTACTCCATCCACCTCACGGGAATGTACAACCCGCACGCCCGATCGGAGCATGGAGTTGAACGAGATAATGCTAGCCATTAACCAGCTTCGACGCGATTTTGAAAACGAGAGGAGTAGTCGGAACCGACAGCGGTCCCAACAACGACGAGGACGTGGAAAATCCCAAGACAATGCTCGACAGCCGGACAACGACGGAACTACCTTTTGTTACTACCACAAAAAGTTTGGAGCGGATGCGTACCGATGCAGGAAACCGTGCGCCTGGAATCAGACGGGAAACTAACATCTCCGGTGTGCGTAGAGGCGGCCACTGGAGGAACTACGAATAAACGCCTCCTCATAGACGATAGGAAAACTGGTATCCGTTTCCTCGTCGACACGGGCGCAGATGTCTCCGTGTTACCCCGCTCATACGTGGGACGCACTAGACAAACAGACAAACTCCTATACGCCGCTAACAGAACACGGATCCGAACGTACGGTGAGAAGCGTTTGACTTTGAATTTTGGTTTACGACGACCTTTTACGTGGGACTTCCTTATCGCCGAAGTTACCCAACCGATCATCGGAAACGATTTTCTACATGAGTTTAACCTCCTGCCCGATCTACGGAATCAACGACTCGTCGACGGCACCACAGAATTGAGCACCAGGGGACAAACCGCTTTTTCCGATGCACCCACTCTAACGACTATAGACGCCGACACCGATTTCCATAGAATACTGAAAAAACACGTAGAAGTGACACGGCCAGCCAAATATCGAGAACCTAAACATCCAGTACAACACCACATCTTAACAAAAGGACCACCATGTACCGCCAAAACCCGACGCCTCTCGCCTGGCAGATACAGGGAAGCCAAACGCGAAATCGAACGCTGGATCGACGACGGAATCGTCAGCCCATCGAAAAGCCCGTACTCCAGTGCAATCCTTCTGCGGAAAAAGAAGGATGGGAGCTGGAGAATTTGCGGCGACTACAGGGGGTTAAATAAAAGCACAGTACCAGATAAATATCCTGTGCCAAACCTGCAAGATTTCACGCATAAATTACAGGGATGCACGATTTTTACGACACTTGATTTAGAAAGGGCCTATTTCAGCATACCAATGGCAAAAGAGGATCGAGAAAAGACTGCAATTACGACACCATTCGGACTTTTCGAATTTAATGTAATGCCATTCGGTCTTTCAAATGCGGGCCAGTCATTCCAGAGATTTATGGATAACATACTCAGAGGACTCGAATACGTTTTCTGCTATATCGACGATATACTGATCGCCTCTACAAACGAAGCTGAGCACCAAGAGCATCTGGACGAATTGCTAAAACGACTCGAAACTCACGGACTCAAGCTGAAAACCGACAAATGCGTATTAGGCAAACCATCGGTAAAATATCTGGGACACGAAGTAAATGCCGACGGCATTAAACCACTCGACGAGCGGGTACAGTCTATCCAGAATTTTCCCAAACCGAACACCGTAGCAGAACTTCGAAGATTTTTAGGAATGATAAATTTCTATCGACGATTCATTCCTCATGCAGCCAAAGCCCAAGCATGTCTACACACACTAACTGCAGGAGCAAAAAAGAGAGATAGGAGACCTGTTGCATGGACTCCTACCGCAGAACTCGCATTCACGGAATGTAAAGAACAACTCGCACAAGCAACGTTACTTACCCATCCGGTCGAACGTGCAAAACTTGCACTAGTCACGGATGCATCCGACTCATCCATAGGAGCTGCACTCGAACAATTCATCGAAGGACAACGAAAACCTTTAGGATTTTTCTCAAAAAAACTAACAAGAACGCAGTCAAGATATAGCACATACGACCGTGAACTCCTCGCCGTGTATGAAGCCACCAAATTCTTCAAACACATGATCGAAGGCAGGGACACCACGATATTCACGGATCACAAGCCGCTGACATTCGCGTTTCAACAAAACCCAGAAAAAGCAACACCGAGACAACAACGTCACTTAGATTACATCGGTCAATATACAACTAAAATTCAGTATATCAAGGGAAACCAGAACGAGGTCGCAGACACACTGTCAAGAGTTAACAGCATTAACATGCCAGTAATTGTTACAACCGAAGACATCAGCGACGGTCAACGGCAGGACCAGGAACTCCAAGATATTCTACGGGAACCAAGATCACTAGAGCTCAAGCAACTGAGAGTGGACGGCACAGAAACAACAATTTACTGCGACATTTCCACCGATACGATTAGACCGTACATACCTTCCACACTGAGGAAAAGAATTTTTGATGTTGTCCACAACTCTGCACATGCTAGCAGCCGATCAACACGGAAGCAGATAGCTGATAAATTTGTATGGCCAAACATGAATAAACAAATAACTCAGTGGGTTCGAACGTGCTTACCCTGCCAACGGGCCAAAATCGGCAGACATGTTAAAAGGAAACCAGCGCATATTGCCATTCCCGACGAAAGATTCCATCACGTGAACGTAGATCTCGTAGGACCACTACCTATATCACAAGGCTACAGGTATTGTCTGACGTGCATCGATCGATTTACTCGATGGCCTGAAGCGGTTCCGCTAAAAGACATTACCGCGGAAACCGTGGCAAGCGCTTTCTTCGAGACTTGGGTAGCAAGATTCGGGACTCCTGCAGTGATAACGACAGACAGAGGAACACAGTTTGATTCGAGACTTTTCGAAGCATTAGCCAGGATGATAGGAGCCCGAACAATCAAAACGACCAGTTATCACCCACAGAGCAACGGGATCATTGAAAGGTGGCATCGGACCTTGAAAACAGCGATAAAAGCACACGAAACCACGGATTGGGTGAGAAGTCTTCCTATAGTCCTATTGGGCCTACGAAATAGTCACAAAGAAGATATCAACACGTCCGCGGCAGAATTGACCTACGGCACTACGTTAAAACTTCCTGGAGAATATTTTCTTCATGAAAATACAACGCCGGACACACATTCTTTCCTAGAACATCTAAGACACACGATGCGAGAAATAAGGCCCCAACCAACCGCACACCACAACAAATACCGAATATTCAGCCACAAGGGATTACAAGACTGCAAACAAGTATTCGTGAGGATCGACCGAGCAAAGAAACCGCTAGAGCCCCCCTACGAAGGACCCTTCGAAGTCATCGACAAACCTAATGATTTCTGTTACAGAGTCGACGTCAAGGGGACTCCAATGAACATATCCATTGATCGACTCAAACCAGCCTTTACGGAGACCGAAGCCACTCCAGCAAACCTGACACCGACGCCCAGCCATGGTCATGCAAGCTGTTACCCTCCGAGACGAGTTTTTTTCCGCTCCCCGGAACCAAGTCGCTAGAGGGGGAGTACTTGTGGCGTCTCCCAGTAGCGAGGCCACCAGCAGCCACATCAGCGCAGGACAAGGCCAAGGAAAAAGAAGAACGCTATCTTCAGGGCGCGACGGAAAAAACGCGGCAGAACCTAACTTTTTTCGCTTCTACGAACACGAGCGGGTTTCCCTTACAATCGAACTTTACTTTGTTGTTATATCGTTTGTCTATTTTAAAAATAAATTGTTAGAAACTGTCTACAGTTTAATATAGTGGACTTTTCCTTGGAATGACTTTAAGCCTAAATAATTACTAAAATTTTAAAATATATTTTCCAACATCGTTCTAATATTATAAACATTGTTATCTAAACATATAAAATTGTTTTAGTTACTATTTTTAAATGAAATTTCGTCCCATATGCAAAAAATATGCCAAGTATGATTCTACAGAGAACAATTCAGATTCAGACGCACTTGTATCACAGAACTTGTTTAAATAAAATTGAGTAATTTTAGGGAGTCAACGAACCATCCCGGGACCGAAACGTATTTCTCTTTCGAATTGTTCTGCTTTGAGGGTTCCGTCTATGCTTTTGCAATCTTTGTTGAACACGGAGTAGGCGCTGATTTCTCCCTTTCTTTTGGGAGATGTTCTGGTGTTCAAGTAAATGCCCACTAGACATGATACTATAAAAAATACCGTTCCGAATTGTAGTTCTATGAAAATAACGTAGAGGACAATCCAAAAGAGGAAGCACAACCCATAGTATAACTTGTTGGCTAAAGTTAAGTGATTAGGGGATTCCTCGATAGAGTGTTGCAGATCATCGGATAGTATCGAACTGGTATCATCTGTGTCTAAAAGCTTTTCAAGGTGCTCCTAAAAATCGAAAAAAATATTGTTTATTAGTACAAAATGTAAGAATTGTAACGATATTTTACTTTATTTTGGTCACCTCCATTTGTTACGATTGGTTTTTCTTCTACGATTTTAGCTTTCTTTTTTCTATATTCTTCAATTTTTTTAGTAATATCCATTTTGTGTTTAAATTTCTCACTCTAGTAAGTGTAAATTGTATTTTATCTGTGCTAACAGATTATTGGATTTATGATTTTGTTTCCAACTAACAGGATATTTGTTTACGTCTGCAAACTTTTTTAGGTTATGTTATAATGAAATAAAAAGATGAAAGATTTTTTTTAAATTGTCAATATCTGATCTATGCTAATAATGTTTTTCAGCCACAAAAAAATTTGACCGAATGAATTCAACGATTGAAGTTAGATATTCTTTCTTTTTTGATGCAGGTAATTTCTTGATTCTGATTTTTTCTTATCCTCTATCAATTTGTCTCAAAAATATATAGACATTTTTACTAAAATAAGCAACATCATTTTATTACAATTACCAATATTGACGTACAGGGTGAGTCAATATAGAGCGTCGCAAAATTGATTAAAAATATGTATGTATTTATACTACTAACAATAAAAAACGTTTTATTTATATTTTCTCAACACCCTATATATGCTTTTATTCCCACATTCACAGTGGATCAATATGATTTTTTCAACTAAAGTAGTTTCCACAACAGGAAAAAATTACCCACATCATTATGTTTTCGAGAAAGTACGAGACTCGTGAATGAACTTTTTCGACATGAATATTTAATTTACCAATTTCCCGCACGAGCGGACGTAATTACAGCTAAATACCAGTGATTTCGAACTTCGTGTTAAATGCAAAAGAATTAATTCACGCTTTTGAAACCGACTGTGGTCGAAATGAAACCGAAAAACGGGGACGTTAAAAGAAAAAGAGGCTTCGGGCCGATTTTATACGACACATACAAAGAATTCGCGGAAAACACGAGCTTACACGGATTAAAGTACACTGTGATGAAAGATATCGGTAAATGGGAAAAGTAGGTTTAATTCATATAATCCCATTCATGTACCTACCTAGCTATTACGGGTAAAGTTAGATAAACGACTAACTAAACCTAGGTTTATCCGGGTAAAGTGGGTTCTCGAGGCATAATGGGAACCCAAGAAACCCAAAAAATCATTCTTCACCTACCCGGGTAAACCTAGGTTTAGTGGTTTATCTAGCTCCATAACATATACATAAAGCTAAGTGATTTGTTTCAGAACGTTTTGGCTACTGGTACTATTTTTCGGTTTCGCATGCGCCATATACTTAACGATTCTCTTTTGGGGCCGGTACGTTAGCAACCCCACTCGTACCACCATATTGAGCTATTATGCCCCTACAACAACAATACCGTTCCCAGCAGTCAGCATTTGCAATATTAACAGAATTTCGAAAACCAAGCTCGACAACTTCGTCGATAAGCTGTAAGTATGTAGGTCGGCGGACCTATCGCTCACCCCCGAACTCTCGCTCCTTTACTATCTATATAAGTGGAGAGGTGTACTAAAAAAGGAACGAGTTACTACACCCAGAATTTTCTTGTCTCAATTATCTCAGCCCAGCACTTGACTGTAATACTCTTTCAGAGGAATAGACGATGAGGAGGAGAAAAAAATCCTCATGGATGCGGTTCCGAAGGTTTTAATTATATCAGGCCAAACGGGGCTGTACAAAAGAATCGATGTCGAATGGGCTCAAATTGTTTTGAGAAGGCATAATATTAATAACCTGACCCAATTCCTGGGGGAAGTGACGCATAATTGCAGCGAAACGGTGATGCTTTGCTTGTGGAACGAGGAAATTTTAGATTGCTCCCAAATATTCAATGAAGCGCTCACTAGCAACGGTTTCTGCTGCTCGTTCAATTACGGGTACGATGGGAAGATATTTGAGTATTGAGTAGAATTACAGAGAATTATACTTTGTGTTTTAGAGATACTAAAGTTAAGTATGCTACTACCGAATTCAATGGCGTCGGCAGCGGTCTAACAGTTTTATTGGATCCTAAAATCGAAAAAGTACAATATTCCAATTACAAATCATCAGGTTTTAAGGTAAGCAAATTCGATATTATCGCTTCTTCAGAGATACTTCTGCACGATCTAACGAACTCACATAAAACCAGCAAACGCTATAATTTTATATGTATTTTTTTGGAAACTATCAGGTTATTATCCACGATCCTGAGGAATACCCAGGAGGTAGGGCAACTACCAGGATGATAACCCAAGGGAGCGTGGCCTATATACAATTGTTCGGCAGCAAAATGATATGCAGTGGAGCTGTGAAAGACCTTCCCATAAGCCAAAGGGATTGTTATTATACCGATGAAATGGAACTCGGTTCTTTCGGTGAATATACGTATTCTAATTGTTTAACGGAATGCGAGGCGAATTATTATTACAGTAAATGCAATTGTGTGCCGTACTTCTACGATTTCACCGGTAAATTTGGAATAGTTTTGTAACTATTTAATAATTGTTTAATTGTTTATTCAGATAAAACTAAATGTGATGTCTCAAGTTTGACTTGCATATTCGATATTCGTTCGGGTGAGGTTCAAGAAAATTGTATTTTATAAAATATAACTGAATTTGTAAAAAGTAGGTGTTTTAGACATTGCGAATTTGTCCAAAATCTGCGATTGTCCTACCCAATGCGAAGATGATTTTTACGACATTGTTTCGGAATATTCGGATTTTGAATACACGAAGAGCATGTTCATGTTTTCTTAGTAAGTAGAACAAATGCACTAGTAGATAATTCATTCATTATCATATCCTATTTTTTAGTGAAAATGCCACAATAGATAACGAAACTATCCTTTTAAATGTATTTTTCAACGAACAGATTCAAATAGTGTTCATGAGGGATACGATATTTTCAACAATATACTTGCTATGTAAGTACAATTTTCACTAAAACTGCATTGTAATATTATTTATTTTAGCATCATTTGGGGGAGTGTACAGTCTTTTCCTCGGTTGCAGTTTAATTACAATAGTAGAAGTTTTGTATTACTGCACCTTTCGATTATTCATAAACATGAAGCACTCGAGTTTAACGCCAGCAGATGAAAAACTATTTAACAGTAAACAAATCTATACGATATACAAGGATCGGAAAAACGATTTTGTTCCGCAATTTTTGCCGTAGGAATTGACTTACACAAACATTTCTTGAGAGGTTGAGAAAATAAAAATTGGCTATGAAAAAAATCACTTTTATTTATTTTCGAAATAACTTGTAAACATCTGTACTGACAAGACATTATGGAAGATTACAAACATACCATTACAAACATTAAAGTTACGATTTCCAACCGAAGTTTCAACTAAAATGTGTTTATTGATTGACTAATCGATACACTGACATTGGACGGTAATTAATAATTTAATCCAGAATGAAATTAGCGTGTTCTGGTGTCTTTTACGAACGAAACGAACTACACTTGCTGCATTTTCTCACTTGTAGTGTAATGTTGAAATAATAAAATAACATTTTACAAAATATCTAGATATTTCATTTCTCTGAAGACATTTATAAAACTACTCTCGGTGTATGTAAACTATTACAATAAGATATCACAATGTACAATCCCAATTTTAAAAATATTTCTAGCTGCCAATTAATGTGGTGAATCGAACAAAAATATCAAAATTGATTAGTCTCTGTAAAAAGGTAGATAAAATATTTAACTAGGCTGTTCACGCCCCTACAAAATTCAAACAACGCGTAGAGGGAACAAATCCGATGGATTTTCGCATTAAATTAGTAGTAACAACATTTTTAAAAAGTGCCTATACTGTTACTAGCAGTAATCAAGTTGGCTCAATGTTCCCAATGTTTGGTTTCGTTGAAATAAAAAAGTTATCTCACCTTTACTAATTTGCATTAGCAAGATAAGAGGAAGACAGTAACGAAAACAAGACTCTTAAATAAGACATTTCTAAAGTAAACATTTACTGGCAATTTTTTTTGGCTTGATTTCTCACAAATTACGCTAGTACTTTTTTTAACAATAGCCTTATTTTCGAAAAAAATGCAGAATTCAAATTATTATAATTCAATTGGAACTGTTAATATAGCGACTCCTGTAAAATATTAGCTTTATCGATTGAGCATTCATCAGTATGACACGTACAAGTTAACAAATTTTCCCATTTGATTGGTTTTAATCGGTAGAACTGTAGATTCCCTAATATTGGACTTCAAGTAAGATTATTTACATTTACAATATTCAGTCTAAATCACCGCACAATTATTCAACAATAACATAACAACTTCACCAAATAATCGTCGATTAATCAACGCTCGATTGCTAATCAATCCAGTCATTGAGAACGTAATAGAATTTCCTAGCGAAAATTTTCCGCACAACTCATTTTATTGCGATATAATATTTTCATTTTAGTTGCCTTTAACGTTTAAAAATTATCCCGCGTTATCCATTCATCATGTTAATTTAAAAGTGTATAATTGTCTCAAATACTAATTAATATAATGCACAAAATCATAAGTCATCTTGTTTTTCATTACAATAATTTGTAATAAACACGTTTTAATGCTTAATGTACACAATCTACACAATTGAAATTGACAATACAATCGAAAACGAAGGTTCAAATTACCTTTTATACTCTTATAGTCAATCCGGACTGTCTTTAGTCCTTCTAGGTTTTAGATAGGTCGGAATATACAGGGTGTCGCAAAGAAAAGTAGCCGTTTAGAGTAAGAAGATACGTTTTATTGAAAAAGTGGATTGAAAAAAGGGGATTTTGATAAAGTACACTGTACAGGCGATGCAAATTAAATATATTTGCGAACACCGCATGTTTTTATGATTAGACGATTAAAAATTACAAGCCGATTAAATGGGCTACTTTTCATTGGGACACCCTGTATTGAACATTAGTAATTAGTCATTTTATTCAACGTCAACTAAGTCTCAGTCTTGGCTTTTGTTTTTATTCTGACAATGCGGCTGCGCAATTGAAATATTAATTATTCCCGAATTAATAGATGTGTTCAATTGGACAACCGTTATTTAGAAATTTGGCATGCCTACTCTCGCAATCTAAACTTTTAGAAAATATACAAATTAGGAGGATTAGTTTTATTAAAATATCGTTTATTAATATTACTTAAATTAAACTCGCATTCTACAGATGTGTTCCATAACAAATAAATTAACAATCTTCATCCTCCTTTTGATTAAACCTTTTTCACTTAATAAAATTCAGTAACAGCGAATTGCACTAAGAGTTTTTTAATAAAATAAATAGTAGTTTTTCAAATAAATTAGCACGTTAATTATTAAAGAATACTGATCTATCCTGCAAACGTATGAAATAATTATACTTATGCATTATTTCACATATACTACAATTGAATAAAACAATAATTTCAAACATAATAATAAGTAATTATATACTGGGCGAAATGTATTTCCTCGACGAGTAGTGTAATGTTAAATTAAACAATGTAGTTACATAATAAAGAAATGGAACAAAATCAAATCGATAATAATAGGTATGCTACAATAGCAGGATGAAACAATTTTGATACTTATCTGTATTTTTCGGTTAGGTTGATTAGGTAAAGAAACTTTAAATCAGTCCAAGGGCGTATGTTAATGCAAAAAACGAATATTCTCACAGAAATATGCACATAATCTATCTGTAGAATTATGTATGTATATATACAATTGTTGTACAAAATACTATATAAAACATTTTTCAAAATTTATCATCACTTAGGCCTTCAAACATTAGATACCATCTGACTAGAAGAAAAAAAAATTAAATCGAAGAATGCAATTTCCTGGAAACGCATTAAGTTAAATTTGCATTTCTAATACAGTAAACGGTGAAGCTGCACATTTTCCTACGATGTTATTTCAAAAATTATCGAAAACGTCCTAGAGCTCATCAAATGAACCTATGCTCACAAAGAACAACATTTCGAGCACACTGTACATAGGAATAATAAAAATAACAATCAATCAGTCTTTTACGCGATTTCCTTAGAGGCTACGATTACTATGCATTCGAATTCTGACGAAAAATTGTTCTGACGACTTCTGATGAATCGTCCGAAAAAACAAACTCCTTGTTTATAATAAGAGTGTTTAAACTGACAACGACAAAAACCTTCGTCAGAACAAATTTTCATCAGAATTGGCATGCATAGTAACTGTAGCCTAACTTGACTACCACATTTCCAGAAACGCCAAATACAATCAGACGTTTACTTCTTATCGAACAGCGGCAATTTAGACCTGACCGCTCCCTCGCACACCACCAACCTAGAACATTTCGGCCGTTGCGGCACCAAGTACGAACCACCCGCACTCGAATTTCCCGCGTTGTCCAACGACCGCCTCAAGCTGGCTATCCTCGAGCTCAACTGCAAGCCGCCCCTCACGCCGCCCGTGTGCCGCCGCAGGTTCGCCCCCTTCCGCTCGAAGTACTCCACGATGCTCGATATATTGGGCTTCAGATCGTTGGGCCAATCGCAGCTCGTCAGGCTCGACACGTCCTCGCTGCTGTCCGTGTAGATCGACGAGGCGCGCTTGCAGAGCGCCTGCAGCTCGGCGTGCTCCAGCTCGTCGAGCGATCGCAACGAGCTGACGGCGGTGCCGCTGTCGCCCCACAGGCTGTTCGACGACAGGCACTCGCCCACGCTAGAGTAAAAACCCGATTCGCACGAGCCGCGCCGGCGCAGCGCCGCGCCCGACTCGCCGGCGAACTCCAGCAGATTGGAGCCGGAGCCGGCCCTGTACAGCGGATGGACGAACAGCGGCGATTGGGCGGCGCCGGCCGCCTTGCGCGACGCCGACGGCGAGCCGGGCAGCGATTTCGGCGCGTCGGCCGTCTCGACGAGCGGACAGGGCATCTCGCAGCAGGAGGAGAAGTTGCCGAGGATCTTGCGGACGCCCTGGAATTGGGCGAGCGCCGCGAACGGGTTGGTGGTGCTCGGCTTGTAGTGCGGATCCTGGCGGCACATGAGGAGAGCGTGCCGGCGCGCCTTGTCGCTGGGCGTCGCGAACAGCGACAGCACGGACGAGTCCTCTGAAAGAGACCGTCGGTGCGTAACTGAAACAGAAACGCGAAAGAGGCCATTAGCTACAATCGAGGTAATTCGTACGTTATGCAAGGTATTTTTTTACGTGAGTTTTCATTGCGTTTTCTTTCCGATACTTCTTTATACAATCATACTACACAAAGGTGTATACAATAACACATTGTCTAGAAAATAAAGATGTTATTACAAAAAAAATATAACGCATTTATTAAACATTTTATCGTCAAAGAAAAAAACGGAATTTTATGAATCAAAAAACAAGGCCCAGCACGCAATCGCGACGACGACGAACACCGTCGCGGCAACCAAGAAAAAGTACCATCTTGGAACAGGCATACATACTTTTTCGATGTTGCGGCGCGCAACATTGCACCGAGAGAACGGGCAATTGCTCCTCGCTCTTCGCCGCGCAATTCGCTATTCTGACCTTCTGCTCTTCGACGCTCTTCAGCTCCTTCAAAATGTCGCCGAGCGCCTGGACATTTTCGCAGAACGTCGGACGGCTTTTCGGCTCGACGGAACAACATCTGAACAAGGAAAAAAAATCAATCAGTAAAATCTATACACTCTCTACTCTATTCTACTCTACGATAAATTATTTTTTTTGCATTGTTATTGAATAAGAAAGATTTTAAGATGCGTTCGATGCATAAAAATAAACTGTCAAATTTGACATTAATGACCTTTCATCTGACAGAAGTTTAATAGAGGTGGAAATCAATTTCTTTGTATAGAGGTGCAGTAGAACTGTTACAAAATAAGCATTATTTCCCAAATATCGTTCTTCTACTCTATAATATGGCCACTTCTATGAGTTGAACGAAGAAGGATTACCAAAATGACAGTTGTCAGTGAAAATTTACAATGACACAATATCACTCTTCCTTTCTCCTTTATATGTGTCTAACAGAAGTTATCATTATCGCACCCACAGCCTATATAATCTAGATCACAAACTAAAATAAATCAACCTGTATATACTACTGGTAATTATTCGAGGTAATTGTTGCTATTTATCAAATTATCAATTATAAACAGTGCGTATTATTATTTATTTGCACGTATTACATCTTCGAAAAGGTTATATCAGTATCACCCGATAGCGAACGGAGTATTATATAAAATCGATACGTACCTAAAGGCTAGGGTTAAAAAATCAGGTACAACGTTGGGGCCGCAAAGTTCCGAAAAAGCGAGATAATCCAAGCCGAAGTTATCGGTCCTGGGCAGGTAGTCGGGATCGGCGTCGACGCGCGCTATCAATTCGCACAGGACGATGCCGTAGCTGAAGACGTCGCTGCGCTCGTCGTAATACTTGCCTTTGAGGCCCTCGGGCGATATCCAATAGGGCGAGCCGACGATCGGCAGCTTCCTCTTCTCCTTGGGATCGGGAATGTCGGTGGAGAGGCCGAAATCGCCGACGATCGCTTGAAATTTGCCGATGTCGAAGTGCTTTATTAAAACGTTCTGGAAAACGAACAAACGCAAATTAACAGAGCTCTTTCAAACGTTGATACTAATGTATAAATTGCTCTTAGGGATCTTTTAGACGTGGATAATGCGTTTGAAATACGACTGTATCGAAGTGCTGTAGATAACGATGTGGAATCTTTTCACATTACCAGTGTTAAATAGACTAATTATTAATAACATACGCCACTGAGATACCTAATGGAAAATCGGTATCCCAGATACTTTATTAGCTCCCGGCGTATCCCGGATTCAGCATCCAGATTGTATTTGCTGTATCCGAGATACGCGCATCTCAGACGCAGTATCCACGTCTGAAATCACGAGATTTGCAAAGAATCAAACAAAAAAATTTGGTCATTGCAAATATTTTACGCTCGATCAAATACGCAATTTCACCTTCAACAAAACGCCGACCTTATTCAATGAGACAATTAAATAAACCCAAGTTCGCGTCGCATTCGTTCCAATTGCTCATTATCGAGTTTAATCATCGCATTCGAACAACCCGATTTGAAAACTATAATGCGAAATGGAAAAATACTCACCTTACTGGTCAAGTCCCGGTGTATGACGCCCTTCGAATGCAAATACTCCATGCCGCTGGCGATGTCTTTGGCGATTTCGATGCGCCTCTCCTGCTCGATGTCCAGCGATCTGGTGTGGATGAGCTGGTGCAAGGAGCCGCCGTCGATGAACTCGGTGAGAGCGTGGAGCTGCGCCTTCAGGACGCAAACGCCCATCAGGCGGAGGATGTTGGGATGCGACAGGCGGTTCATCAGTTGGATTTCTTTGAGCATATTTCGGCGGTTCGAATGGCGGGTGTTCACTTTCAATACCATCACTTGGCCGGTCGTCTGATGGGTCACCTGGATGGAATTTACAGCGAATATATGAGGAAACGTTTAATTTGCCGGGAACGATGCGGAATGGGAATTTAAAAATTTTGTGATGTAATATTTTTTTTGTTCTTCCGTTGCGAGAAATACTTTACAGGTATGCTAAAGATGTAATTATGATGAATATTTCGTAAATTACTCATATGTGTTATTTCTAATTGAAAAAAATTTTCCAACATTCTGCAGCAGGTTTTGTTTAAAATGTTTCAATGATTAATATAGATTATTTTTATTTTACAGATAAACAAAATAGCTTCGAAAATATGTAAATGGAATACTTTTCATTTAAATCAATAAGTCATGTTTTTATTGCGTCGCGCCCCAATTTATTATAAACCTTTTATATTTTCAATGGGGAACTTAAAAGCTTTCTGGAGAAATTTACCACAGGGAATTCTCTGCAAATGAAGTTTTGGGAAAACGAGAGGATACAGTTTTCAGTGCAAAGTTGTTTTAATTAAACGAACATTGAGCAACCTGATATACAAAATTTTCGAGTTATTTCATACAGACCACAGTGAGAATTAATTCGGCATAGAATTATGCATAATATACTTACGTGAATTAGTTAATTGGGAAAAAGTAAAAGTAAATTAACTGACTCTTTCAACCAAAGAAATTAAGACTTGTTTGAAAGAAATGTTAAGGAAATAAAAACTTTCAGTTATTACGTATATGGATTGCTTTTCTTTACGTTTCAAAAAGGAATGTAAAAAATAATACAATTTCAACAATATACTAGGGAAGTAATATTTTATATTTCGTATTATCTTCATACGAAATTGATAATATTAACAGCTTTTGTCACCATTTAAAATGCGAATTTTTCTAATAATTTTATACTTCATATACACATTTACATAATGCATAAAACAGTTCTAAATAATCACCCTGTTTATTAACAAGTTATATGTTTTTTTGCAATACATTTATAACAAACATCGTATTATATCACAATTTTTACTAATTAAATACATAATAAAGAAACAGTTGTGACTCTCGGCGTAAACAAAATCTCGTAAAAGTGAAACAAAAGCACCATTAAAATAAATATACAAATCCACTTTTCCTTTTCACCAAATTATTTTAATGCGAATCTCCACAACGGTCGGTTTATTTATTTGCATTAATTTAATATTGTTAATTTCGCATTTAAATCCAACGTGAAATAGAAAATTTTTCTAGACGATCACGTGGCCCATAAATAAGCAATAATTCGTTCTAAAACCGTCAGGTCGAAATAAATTACGGGCAGACGTGCACAAACATGTGTAATAAAAAAATAGAAAGGCATATCTCGCCTATCTTACATATGCTAAAACTTAAACGATGACACGAATTAGCTAAAAAAAGTGTGAATGTAATAAATTATTAATTTTAATAGAGCGTTAACATTTACAGAACCGTACCGTTTAAACAATCGAGAGGATTTGAGTAATTTTTGCACGACAATATTCATTAAAGATGCTTCCTGAAAATGTCGAAAGGATATTTCAGCAAATGCCAGAGATAAGTAATTTAACGAACAACGATGTAGTCAAAATTTTTCGCTTCTGTCATAGTTAATAAATGATTATATCGCAATCATTATGTCTAAGTAGATATTAAACAATTTTTCTGCCTTAGACGGCATTTCAATTGTGATTCAACATTATTATTGCTATTAATTAATTAGCATACACGCCATCGTAGTTACATTTCATTAACTACACTCAGTTTTCGAGTCATAATGTTGGATTTTATTATGAAATTCCTATCGAAAAATGTTAAGACTTAACTGGCGCAATTTTTTTACACCGGACCTGTTACGTGCACATCATCTTCTAGAAAATTAATACAGTGAAATCTAAAAGGTCAATACACTACAAGAAATTCGTTTATCGGCTATTGTTTTCTTTACCTGGCAGAATTTAAAACCTATTTTTACCAACAAATATATTATTTACAATGTTTTTACAATGCAATGGCAAATTAAATCGAAAACGAGCGACTGCTTGTCTTCGTAATAATGTACGTATACAGGGTGTCCCTTAACAGATAGAAAGAGAAATATTTTCGGAGAATACTAGATAGTAGGCAAGAAAAATCTCAACTGGTAAATCTGTATAAACTTCTTAATACATCCGTGTCAAGTTCATTGAAATAAAACTTTTAATTCATGCCAATCTAATTCTGAATCAATTACTCAAATTAATAGAATTTCATTGTAAGCAGCATGTGTGCATCATCAGTTTGATTTCGAATTGTTAAAAACTGCATAAAATGTGTAACTGTATATTGCATTGTTGAAAAAAATAATAAGATACTTTACTATTAACTATCAATAATTGTGTAAATTATTATAAAAATAGTAAGATGACTATTTTATGAGTACCAAAATAGTTATTATATATTCGTAACGAAAAAATATTTTTTTGGTACTCGCGAATATGGAACATAAATAACTTAAATAAATCGTATACATTATTTTAATAACGACGAAATCCTTGCTGTACGAAAAAAAGACATTGAAGCATGAATTTTATCATAACTTAAATTTGCGAAGTTCATTAAATTTTTATCCTGTACCTGTTTTTAATTAATGAATATACAAAGTATGAATAATGAATTTCCTTGTCGTAATACCATTTTTTATCAGAATATAAATTATGCAAAGCAGTCACTCAGTCAACTGAGATCTTCTTATCTTTTTTCCTGCAGGGAAAACTACCAAGGTAATATGAAAATTTGTTAAAATTAAATTAACGACAATTTAATATAGGATCATATAACAATCATAATATAAATTAGGAGATTTTTGTTTATGGAAATAAGTAATAAAGTTCTGTTTTTGTAGATTAATTGTTAATAAGTCCCATATTGACTAATGAATTTGAATTGAATTGAATCTCCTGCTTTTCCATTGCACAATACTTTTACAATAGTTACATTTGCAAGATACATGCAAACAATATAATAAAATCAAGATACTCTTATGATAAGGAATTTTTGCATCCATATCTCAATATTACAATAATAATCACAACAAATACAATTAAAAGGTATTACGGGTATATATTCGTGATGACATACTTAAATTTATATTTTTTATTATAGTCGACAGAAATTACTTTTGGCAAATATTCCAATGTATGCTTGCCCCGAAAAAGCGAATATATAATTAATATAACCCGAAACCAGATGAATTAACAACATTTCAGAGCTACGTGGTGTAATATAATTTCGGAAACCGATTGCCCGATTTAAAAATAAACCAACATTTCTGGCCAAGCTATTTACAGATTTTTGTTTACTTCATGTCACTTTATTGTTCGAGTTTTTTAGCGTAAAAAAACAGCAATATTAATCACTCGAAACATGTACCGAAGCACCTTAACAACTCCTTTATGGTATTGTCGAGGTTGTAACAACCATTTGGTGACCTACATTTTATCAATTTCGCGAAAAATACCGAATATATTCAACGAGGCGGCGTTGGGTTTACCTTGAAGACCTCCGAGAAGAAGCCCTCGCCGATTTTTTCCTTGTGGAAATCGTCCCAAGGATGGAGAGCGGCCACTGCATGCTTGAGGGCCTGACAAGAGGAGCCCGTCTTCAGTCTGTCGCACCTGGACCGCGAGGGCTCCGACAGTTCATTATTGGGAGCGAACAATTTCTCGTAATCACTGTCCTTCGGGTCGCAGGGACTGTCATATATACACGAATTTGTCGATTCAGTAACCGCATCATTTTTATTTTGAGGGTACATATTACAATGCTTATGTTGGAGACGATCGTTTAAGGTTTAACCAATTTCGTACATATTTGTGCTCAACACTGTACTCGGTTAATGTTTTCACTGAACATGCTGTTGAATTTTAAGTTAGAAACATCAAAAATTATTATTGTAAAGGTCCTCACTTCACTCACGTCACTTCGTAAACAATATACGATCACATCATATTTTTTTCGTTAAACATTCCGACGGTTTCGCGAAACATATTACCGAATTAAACGGTTTTCGGCTATCGAGCCGTCGAACACGGGTAAATAAAAAGTTCTTTCTGATTCTGATAAAAAGCTTTCTACTTTTCTACACTCTAGCACTCTCCAGTCTCCGTCCATCCGTCATATGCTTATAAAACTACCGAATGAGCATCGACACGCCTTCACTACAACTGTCAAAATTCCAATGCGTGGAAGAGAGACGGAGATATGAACGGCGTATGTGAAATTTTTATTGTGCGGAGACATGCGCGATTGACCCAATAAAATTACTTCGCGAAATTTCTTAATACTTTTGTGTACAATAAATCTAATGTGGTTCATAAAATACAAATAAAAATATATGGATAAAATGGTAATTTATGTATTTTTTTGAAATTTAATATTCTACCAATAGAATGCGAGAATTATTGACATGAGTAACTGTCATTGTCATGTCATTATTCGTTTCTTTAAAAAAAAAGAAAACCAAGTCTTTAATAATTCATTAATAATTTTCAAATGAAATATAATAACTAGTTTTATTCTAGTTTCTTGTTTACATTTTTCCAAACAATAAATTAAGAGAAAGTACTTATTTTGGTCTTATAACACTTATGCAAACTAAAAGAAACTTTCCTTAATTTTAATTATTGTAATTTTTAATAATTTATTAACATTATTTATATTATATGTATTATTTATCAAGGGTGAACGCTCTTTGTTATTGTTTTAAACAAATTTACGATTTCCAAGTAAATTCTTCAATATGATTTCGTGCACTATAAAAATTTACATTACACCTACTGTACTGTATTTATTCAAATTTATAACTACACTTAGAAATTTAAACAAAACTATTTCTTTTTTAAATATTTCAAATATTTCTTGGAATCGAAAGAATCCTCTATGTCATCCACTATTTTGACTTTTTTCTTTGGTTTACGATCCTCTAGTCTTGCTTTTCTTTCGGCTTCGCTTAGGGTCCATATATTTAGGGGTAACTAAAAATAAACATTCATTATTGTAGGATCGAAATTAACAAAATATTCACAGATATCAAATTACTTTGATCATCTTCCTTGGTTCCTGATACCGAACATTGATAGTGGAACCATCGGGATTTACTAAAACTGTGGGGTAAGTTCGTCTGTAGATATTACGATGGGGTTTTGTAATACCAGCAGATAGGGAATTCAGATTTCGAATTTGTACAAAAAACTTTAAATTGGCCATTTCGAAATTGTTTTTTAACTTAACCTAAAACTTCTTCTTTCATCTTTCGTTCCAATTTTTTAACTACAAATGAACTATTACTGTTATTGACATTCGACACTTTGTGACATAAATGACCGTTGCAGTTATTAAAAACGAAGAAAAGTTTAACCATAACTATAATATTTTTTTAAGCGAATGTTAAAATTATTTAAAAAAACAAATAGTTCTTGCATGAAAATTAGCTGTTAAGAGGAAATCGTGTTATTTATATGCCAGTCATGATGGCCAAAGAGCAAGATAATTTTATGGTAAGCAAAAACTTAAATGCAACAGATAATTTATCAAGTTTGTTTCATTATCTTTTTTTTATAGGCCGGCATTCGACATGCCCTTAATTTACCACTAAGAACCCGTTGTGCTGAACTGACTGTTCTGTTGGACAGAGGAAATTTATTGGAGTTGCACAGCTTTTTCCCGATATTAATCGAAAACATATTTGGCTCCCAAGGCAGTATTTCTTGGGGCCTTCGCAGCACAACAGAATCCGAAAGTGAAGATTTTCGCCAGTTGCATCATTTCCTATCACCTTGCGGTCCTGTGTTTAAGTTAATTTATACATTGTTGAAAGATCCAAACATACGATATGAATTTCCGTTGGGCTGCTTACCGGTTAGATAGAACTATAAATAACTTGTATTAGTTAATAAATGTTTTTTTTTGCAGTTGAAAATAAGGCAGTTTTTGGAGAACTCTCAAATGCATCCGTTTTACTCTGAATTAGTGCATTGCAATTCTCAAACGAAACAAATTGTGTCTCTTATGTTAAGTAAGTTATTGTTTAAATACACGAAGGAGTGATTATATGTTTTGTTTTTAGATTCCTTCGATTATTACATGTTTCATTTTGCCTATCATTTGATAAATCCATGGCAACAACGAGCAGGTTCTACATTAAGTTCTTGGAATACAGTTTATTACTTACTGTGTTGTGATTATATTATACATTTTCTTCCTGTTGATCCAGCTGTTACAGTATTACCTCAGATTTATTACAACGGAAAAAATCCTTTACAAGTCGCTAAAGCTAATTTATTGTGAGTTCTTTTTTATTTCACTATATTAGCCTCGTTAATTTATATCTACTTTGTAATTGTAGAGAACACCCGCAAAATTCTGGTTTGATATCAGGTAAAATATCCCAATCCAAGGATGATTCGTTTCAGAATAATCTGGACATCCATCACCCGAGGAACGACATCTGGCGAAGCGAAACTGTTTTAACAGTGTTTACCGATATGTGGCTGTACAACAATCAAGTCATTGATAATAGAAGTAATATTAGTTCGTTTAATAATCCAGCCATGGCGCCTTCTGCATCGGTAATTTGCGTATCTAATCGTAGCACAAAAAAATTATTTTTGAAAACTTCCAGCGATTCCTTCAACACAACGAATTGCCGACGGGAGAGTACATGCGGATTGTTCGTGTTCTGATTAAACAACTCCACGCTTTCTACGCAAGCGCCAAAGCAGACGATACTCACCTGGGAGAACTAAAAAAGATATCTGTACCGATGATTCAAGGAAAGTTTTACACGTTTATAAGAAACTTGATACACCGATGGCCTTTGGACGGTTCGTTTCGGCTGGTTTTGGAACTGTGGTTAACTTACATCCAGCCGTGGAGATATCCGCCTAATAATTTAATTAAGCAAGTGTAAGTTTATTCCGAATAAGCTTCTGGACGCAAGTTAATTTGTTTGTTCAATTTAAGGAATAAAAAAGAGGTAAACCCGGATTTGGAAGACATTTCCATGGCGCCCCAGCAGGAAGTCGACCCCGAATTTATACCATTTATCGCCGAAAATCTATTGGCTTACGTCGTAATTTTCCAACAACTCTTACCGAGATTCTGTCGAGTGGATTTAGTCAGTCCGAAGATGTCGCTCATGTTGTACAGGATTACCAAGGTTAAATTCGTTCATTTTAAAACGACAATGACATCATTTTTAGTCATTTCCGCGCAGTTAATAATTTACCTATGGATCTGGAGCGTTCTAAATGATTCTAGACAGTTCTAAAAGATTCTGGATCTTTCTAATTGGCTATAGACTAGACAGTTCTAAATGGCTCTGGAGCGATCTTAATGGTTTTATACAGTTCTAAATGATTTTGGAACGTTCTAAATGATTTTAGAGCGTTCTAAATTAATCTGGAGCGTTCTAAATGATTCTACACAGTTCTAAATGATTCTAGACGGTTCTAAAAGATTCTGGATCTTTCTAATTGGCTATAGACTAGACAGTTCTAAATGGCTCTGGAGCGGTCTTAATGGTTTTATACAGTTCTAAATGATTTTGAAGCGTTCTAAATGATTTTAGAGCGTTCTAAATGATTTTAGAGCGTTCTAAATTAATCTGGAGCGTTCTAAATGATTCTACACAGTTCTAAATGATTCTAGACGGTTCTAAAAGATTCTGGATCTTTCTAATTGGCTATAGACTAGACAGTTCTAAATGGCTCTGGAGCGGTCTTAATGGTTTTATACAGTTCTAAATGATTTTAGAGCGTTCTAAATGATTTTAGAGCGTTCTAAATGATTTTAGAGCGTTCTAAATGATTTTAGAGCGTTCTAAATTAATCTGGAGCGTTCTAAATGATTCTACACAGTTCTAAATGATTCTACACAGTTCTAAATGATTCTAGACGGTTCTAAAAGATTCTGGATCTTTCTAATTGACTATAGACTAGACAGTTCTAAATGGCTCTGGAGCGGTCTTAACGGTTTTATACAGTTCTAAATGATTTTGAAGCGTTCTAAATGATTTTAGAGCGTTCTAAATGATTTTAGAGCGTTCTAAATTAATCTGGAGCGTTCTAAATGATTCTACACAGTTCTAAATGATTCTAGACGGTTCTAAAAGATTCTGGATCTTTCTAATTGGCTATAGACTAGACAGTTCTAAATGGCTCTGGAGCGGTCTTAATGGTTTTATACAGTTCTAAATGATTTTAGAGCGTTCTAAATTAATCTGGAGCGTTCCAAATGATTCTACACAGTTCTAAATGATTCTACACTGTTCTAAATGATTCTAGACGGTTCTAAAAGATTCTGGATCTTTCTAATTGGCTATAGACTAGACAGTTCTAAATAGCTCTGGAGCGTTCTTAATGGTTCTAGACAGTTCTAAATGATTTTGGAGCGTTCTAAATGATTCTACACAATTCTACATGATTCTAGACAGTTTTACGAACTTTATCTTTAGTTTAACAAAGTATATGAGAGATGTTTCCAAAATTCTGGGAATTGCGCTCGATATTATTCGTGGCAAACAAGCCTGGACATGTTTATGCAACTATCCAGTGCAACCTTTTCCAGTCTATATTAGTTGAACAACTGTATCGGACTGAAAAATGTTGCACGCGATTTACAATTGCCAGAACTTTGGAAAGATCCCTCGTAACGCAAAATTGAACTCCACGCAGGTGTTCGACCAACCGAACTTGCCGAAATACCTCAGAGAAATCGAGCAGTGCGTCGACAACAACAGCTCCCCAACTCACAAGTACAACAATCATTGGGTGAACACGCTACCGCCATTATCTCCGACGTCCAATTGGAGCGTTAACGTGAGCCACAATAGAAGCACTGGTAATGTCTCCACCGATTTTGCATCCAGCCAATCGAGAAGCGGGCCGAACGCCACTTCGTTTCTGACCAGCATCAGAGTCCCAGCCGATAAAAAATGGGCGCCCGTTATTAGACAGAAAATTTTTGATCTGGAAGGACCGAACTTTTGCTACAAATCCTTGTTCACCAACCCGCCGGTTGCAGAGGTCCGTTATTTAGGGAAATGTAAAGATGGAATTCGTTGTTATAAATCTGTTACAGGTGTACGATTTAATATATCTAATCAAAAAATCGATCAGTCAAGCCGAAGAAATCGTGAGAGCGAAGGAACGGGACGAGCAGGAAATGTTCTCCGGCATATGGGGATCCGTTAAATACTTCTTCAAAGGCATCGATACCAACGACGAGTTTACGCTGAAGGACCGCCAGAAAGTGCCGCTTCACCTGCAAGTGGCCCTGCAGAATTTGGCGGACATGTTCAACATACATAACGAGGTACGTGAATCGATCCAACGATCGTATTGTATACGGAACGAATCGCGTTAGATTCCAGAGAGAGATTCGGAACCGTCGAGCTTCGTTTCGAACGCCGTCAGCCCTTGCAGCGATTTCCTCACGCCCGAAAGGGTCAGGGCTCGAATCAAGAATATCCGGTACGAAGGGGATCCGGACCTTCATCCCATTCAGAGCCACGAGAATACGTTTTTGGTCAGGACGCTCTACCAAATTGCTCTTAAAATCAACGAAATTGTGAGTACAATATTAACTACTTTGAAAATCGGTGGCGGTTAATTGGGCGCTGAGATATATTTATTACCCGAAAGTTTAAAAGGGTATTTTAACACTGTATAAGTAAATGTATAAGTAAATTGGGCGCAAGAATACTTCAAAATGAAGATTTTTAGCGTTGTGAGATTTTTAGAGTAGAGTAGTTTCAGAGTAGTGTAGAGTAGAATAGAGTAGTGTAGTGCAGTGTAGAATAGTGAAGAGTAGACTAGACTTAGAGTAGTGTAGTATAGTGTAGTTGTAGAGTAGAATAGTGTAGTGTACTACAATGTAGAATAGTGTAGAGTAAAGTAGATTCAGAGTAGAGTAGTGTAGCATAGTGTAGTGTAGAGTAGAATATTGTAAAAATGCGTGTAAAATTGCGTAGAATAATGTAGAGTAGTGTAGTCTGGAGTACTCTAGAGTAGAGTAGAAAGTAGGGTAAGTATAGAGTAGAGTAGAATAGTGTAAAGTTGAATAGATTCAGAGTAGTGTAGTCTAGAGTAGAATTGAGTAAAGTAGATTCAGATTAGTGTAGAATAGTGTAGTGTAGAGTAGTTTATAGTGCATGAAGAATTCCAATTTTTATGCATTAAATTACTTTGCTGTAAATAAAAATTCTCAAATAAGAAAAAATAATTATGTATGGTTGTTTTCCGGGAATGCTGCGCCCAATTTAAATCCATCCTAGAAAATATAGTCAAATATATAGGGTGTCCGTTTGATATTTTTATGAAAATTTGAAGAAAGCCATTTCAACTGAAATCTTAATATAATTTTCCTAGTATGGGCCGACGTTTTATCAACTTTATCACAGTCAGTCCTTCGTCGGGCGATTATCGAGGGAAATTTTGTGTCCTCCGATAACGATCTACCGGTACGATAAGAGCACGCCCGGATCGCCGAGATTGAGCAGCAACTTACCGCCCAGACTGAGCCTCAGATTCATGGCGAGTTACAGCTTTTTGAGCTATCTAATTTTAGGCGCCTTTTTAGCGTGGATTTTCGGCTACAGGATCGAGGTTTACTTCACGTTTTTAATAGCGGTATACGTTACGTATAAATGTTTGAGGGCGCTGAGGGGGAGAGAAACGCCCGTGAGGCATAACTACCCGACGCAGGGCTTCGGAAACATCAGCTTTAACGATTCCTTCTGATTTTTTTTTATAACAATAAAATTCTTTTACTCGGATATTTTGAGGTTTTTGTCGTCGAATTGGCCTTTTGTTTCGCGGAATTTTCGTATAAATGCCCTGTAAACGCGTCGCAACGCGACAGGCTAAATAAATAATTTTGCCTGTCAAATTCTTCACCACGATGCGGCTGCTCGTTTAAATTTTAAGTTAATTACAAAATTCCCAGTCAATGTTTTCTATCCCGATTTTGCGAAGCGCGCTATCAAGAACAGTCCCGTCGAGCCGGCTCGCCGCCCTATCGAGCAAAAATGCGCCGATTCGGGTGGCCCTGAAGAATGCGGTCCTTCCGCCCAATCTGCGGGAAACGGTCGAGCGCAGAATTCGAGAGCCCGTCGAAACAGTCACTCCCCATGGATTCCCGAATTCGCTGGAAATTTCGCCGGTCCCGCCGCTTTGGTGTCCGGCGCTCGGCGACGGCGCGGCCCCGCTGAGCTGCTCGTGCAAGTACAAGAGGAAGTACAGGAAGTGCAAGTGCAAGCTCAAGAAGGCCAAGAAGAAGTTGAAGAAGTGCAAAAAGAAGCGGAAGAAGTGCAAAAGGAAGCGGAAGAAGTGCAAGTGCAAGCTGAAGAAGTACAAGCGCAAGTATAAAAAGTGCAAGTGCAAGAAGAAGAAGTATAAGAAGATGTGCAAGAAATGAAGCGCTTCAAAGAGCAAGCAACTCCGCAATTGATGGTATGCCAATTGGTGTACAGGTGACAAGAATTTGACAAGCAAAATTTCTAATTACATTAATTATGCATCTAATTAACTAAACATATTAGTCTCATTTCTTTGGATAAATAGAATAATAATGCCGTAACGATATTTAAAGAAATATTATTTAAACATTAAATAAAAAATTGCAATACAATTTTTCTTTATTTTTTTATTCAAACGTTATTCAAACCAATTACACCAGAAAAACCAAATGCACAGTTCTGAATTTCGTAAGTTCTTGATCCATTTTTTTATATTGTTGGCCTCTTCAGTACACTACAAAGTTCACTTTAACTTACAAAACGCGCTGTATGCCTCAGGAAAGAGGTCATTATACACTACAGTTAAAAAAAGAAGAATCGTAAACCGAAACATAACCCTACTTTTGTTGTGAATTGACAATTATTTTTTGAATTTGTGTATTAACAATAATGACCCTAACTGTGGATCAAATGGAACCGTCAAAGGACAGTGATAATTCAAAGGGAGCACCATCAGCAACATCTCAGTTTAAAGTTCATGTATTCGAGTCGGAAATAATGGAAAGAAGGCTGCTCTTTCAAGTGGTTCGAATGCAAGATTCTATTCTATTGTACGTTAACTACAAGGATCAAGCAGTATTCAATGACCTGTCGTTAGCGTTGGTTAATCGTTTTAATAACTCGCCGGTGGGGTCGAGGCTCATGGGAGATTTTAACGAAGAATTTTCTCAAGGTGTGGCTTGCCGATTGTCGAAGAAACTGGGAAAAGTGGTGTTTCTAAGTTTAAACGTCGAACAGAACAAAACTTTGGTGCCTTTCATCGAGAAGAGAATATTCGAAGAAATTAGCAAATCATTGGACAAATTTTAATTAAACGCTTTGCTCTGCTATATTCGATTTAAAAGCTAAGAGACAATAATAAAAACGTGAAGCAAAAAACTTTTATTAATCTCAACAATAATACAAATGGATATGTATACAAATAATTTAAATTTAAAAATTTGTATCTAAAGATAAAAGGTTCTATATTTGTTTCTAACAAGGACCGAATACAGTAATTTGACTTCTGTGGTTTGCAAAATGCATGATATACGTTATAAATTGTGATATGCAAGGAGAATTGCTTTTTTTCATGGAAATACGCACAAAAGATACAAGCACGAATTTTATTAAAACATTTCAGTTTACTTAGATATCACAGTTTTAAAATTAAATTTTCTAATTTTTTTTACTAATTGAAGATAAACTCGATGTACTAATTTATTATGCTTAGAAGTTTCAGAAAGTGAGTTCTTCAATTAATTTGTAATTAGGATGAAGTTGGTTTAAATAGAAAAGTAAAAACATCTTAAAAAGCTTAGTATAATAAACGTTTGATTCTCAGGTACTTGAATTTTTAAAACTGTAAATATGCCCAAAAAACGATATATGTAGTCGAATAAGGTCACCATCATTTATTTTTAATTAGGGTATTTTTATCGTTTTTCCAATAATATACATTTTCTCAAAAAATTTTAACTTATTGATAGTCCAAATACGCTTTATATTGCGATAAGATTCATTATTTTCATATTTCTGTAATAATGAATCCATTATTTGAGCAGAGTAACTTAAATATTTAAATTATAAGTTGTAAGAAATGAATTTGTAGATAGAAGTGTACTAATAAAAGATGAAGGATTCGCTAAGTAGTATATCATTTTTAACATCAATTTTATACACTCGATATCAAAACACGCATTCTCTACTCATGTTTTTGTTCGATTTTTAATTTGGTACTTTTAATTTCACCAAACATGATATTTTTCTTGGGTTCTACCACAGATTTTTCATAATAGATTTTTTTATCATGGCAATATAAAACAAAGAAATTTTACTGAGTACAGAAAAGCCTACTTTGTTTATCTCATGTTGAAGGTTGAATATTCCTATTGGAGTAGATTCGAAGATTTCCCTACTTTTCAAAATTGTCAAAAAATAATTTCCTACCTTACAAAAACATTCATCGCTCTACAAAAGAACTTTGCTGTTATCCTGTATTCTGGTCGATAACAAAGCGGCGATTACAGCTAACGATATAGTTAAAATCGCGGGAAAAAGCAACATAGTATGAACCAACATACCGTATATAGGGATGGCACAAAGGGACGCTATAAGAAACAAACAACGCATCATTCCGTGCGCCGAACACCTAAAAACACACATAATTTAACACAAAAAAAACCACAAATCTAGCAAATTACCTCAGATGGCAAGGATACCCTTCAATCACCACCATCGTCAGCCCATTCACGGCGCACATCAGGAATATCTTGATCAACAGATCCACCGTCGACGCGATAAAAGCAGAAGTAGATACCAAAAATATCCCTCCCGCCGATATTCCGGCCAGAACAAAAGTAGCGATAACAACAGGCGGTCTCGGAACCGTTTCCAGCACGAATCCGATGAAGAACAACGCCGGGAACATGAATCCCGCCCAAGCCAGCGTGTCATCGTTCAAATCGTCCAGGAAAACATTGTAATCGAAATCCACGATACAATCAGATATGAGCGATAGAAACGTGTTATTTACCAGGCTGCAGTTAATAAAATGGCGATTCGTCAGATCAGTATCGATAAACCTGGAAGCGATGCGTAGGTAAAATTCACGTATTCATAAGAAGTTTCCAACTCACCTATTATCCTTGATGAGGGATTCCGTAAAGAACGACACCGAAGCTTTAACGTTTATAAACTCCGACTCGTCCACTGTGCAGTTAACGAAATCCACGTGAATGAGATTCATGTGCGCGAATGTGGCGTTTTTGAAAATCACGTTCTCGAACAGAACGTTCTCCACGGTGGCGTTGAAGTGGCCCCCCGTGTAGTTCGTGTCTCTGACGTGCTGCCTGTGCAGGAAGTAGTCGTCCTCCTTCAGGTGCTTGAGCACCGACGCCGAGAACGCCGAGACGCCCATGTAGAGGAATCCGCTGAGGAAGTGCAGCGCTGCCAGCAGCAAAGTCGTGCGAAAGTGCATCGGGGATGACACCCGCTGGAAGGCTTCCCGGAACTGGGGAAGAAATTTTGATTGTAAACGAAGCGATCGCGTCGAACGGTGCACCGGAATTTTCCGCCAAAATAAGAATCACAGTAAACAGTACGATATTTGAAATATAACGCTTATTTTGTAACAGTCGTTATTGCACCTACAAAAAAATCGATTTCCACCTCTATTAAACTTCTGTCATACGAAATATGTCAAATTTGTCAGTTTTCTCCACGGTCGTATATTTCTAAGGTCTGGAAACTGCCTATACTTATGCATTAGAGAATGTATCTCGTTACTTGAAGACTTTTTGATCTTCACTTTTGCGCCGCATTGAGGCGAACGATCGGAGGATATAAATCGCGGTTGTGTGAAACGACAGTTCGAGCTGTCAAAACTTCAAAAAATATTTTTTGATATTTCGAGGAGAAAATGGAGAAATACATTTACCGAAGATAAGTGAAGCGTGATATTAACAACAAAATCATCGCTGATGTAAGTATATTTTTATATTTTCTATCTATTTTTAGTTTGAATAAAACCTTTCTTTGTGCCAATTTTATATAATTCGTACGCAAAAAACCGTGGCCCTTAACAACATCGCCTCCTAGCGGCAGTTTTAGGAACCCTGTTTTATCCTCAAATAACGGGATACTTTTTCGACCTATATGTTTCCAGACCTTAGAAATATACGGCCGTGGTCATACGTCATACGAAATATCATGTCAAATTTGTCAGTTTTCTGTTAATGTATCATCGAACGCATCTTAAAATCCCACATTTTTCTCCGGTGCGGAGTTCCGGTGCGCCCGCGTCGTACCGTTCGCTATATACCGATACCACCCCGTGATTGAATATGTTCCTCGACGGGCTGGCGGATCTCTCCCTGTAGGCGCTGCGATTCGGCAACTCCAGCTCGGTCAGGCCGTATTGGGTCCGCGTCTTGTTGAGCCTGTGCAGTCTCTGGTAGACAGCCAACGCCTCTACCTCTCTGGAAGCCTCTAACAGGTATCGAGGGGACTCCGAAGCCCACATCAGTCCTATTATGCAACTTATCGTTGGAATGATACTCAAGAGGAGGAACCTACGCAAATTGTTACTCTCTATAGTGCAATTATTTTGATGTAAAGGTGTAAATTACCTGTGCCACGAGCTCCAGTGCTCCCGATTGTCCTGAACGATTTCGGCTCCGTCAGTGGGCATGGTAGCGTGTGATACTACTGATATGAAAATCGCGCCCAGCGGCCACGCGGAATGCAAAATCCCGGCGTATCTCGCCCGCGTCGACCTCGAACAAGTCTCTGCTAAGTAGCTGAACGATAGCGGAAATGCCCCTGATATGCCCAGACCAGAGCAGAAACTGCAAATGGAGAATACTTTGTACTATAGCAATTTTAAGGGAATAGCGATGTAGTATTATAAATTATACCGTGCCGTCATGAAGGTTCCGTAGGTCGGCATCACCGAAGCCACTGCTGAAAATAAGGCGGCTACAGACAGGGCGCTGATCAGCGCTCTTCTGCGCCCCAAATGGTCCCCGAGTATGCCCCAGGCCAGCGAGCCGCCGGCCATCGCCAGCAATGTTATAGACACTAAAACATTTCACCGATTATATTCTCTCTACGATAGGCGTGCGGGACGTACCGAGCCAGCTCTTCCTGTGCTCCCCGATGCAGAGGTGCAGCTCGGCGGCGGGCATGAGGTAGCCCAGGATGGTGACCTCCGAGCAGTCCGCCGCCAGGGCCAGGCCCAGGACGGCGGCCAGGAGGAGCTGCGCCTTGCCGGTGGCCGCCTGCGACAGGGCGTCCTCGTGGAAGCCGACGAGCGCCTCTCCGTTTTGGGGGACGGTCCCGTTTCCGGATGGAAACCCGAACGACGCTGGAATGATGGAAATGAGAGCGAATCGATCGGGAACCGATTGGGTAATTTCGAAGAGGTAGCGAGAATTGTTAGAGGGATTTATACTCCGGCGTTCGCTATCAAGAGATAATAATAAAATCTAATCTACAATAAAATAAAAGAATCTCTTTCATTGCTGCCTGAATTGCTACCAATAATTATTAGATAGTGGCTAATGTTTTACTGTTTCAAGAAGGTGTTGTTACTATCTCCTGATGACGAACGGAGTACCTATAGTATTCAAAATTCATTGTAAATATGAATAACAAAGTGCGGTTGTATAATTATAAGATGTTAATCATAGATTTTTAAAAACTGGATAAAACATGCGTCATGAGGAGGCGATGATGTGTAAAAAGGGCATGCAAAATCGCTTACGGAAAGGTCAGAGTGCCATTTGCTTTAACTTTCTCGATACCTTTACGCGAAATATCACGGCGAGTATGTAATGATTTTATCCAATATTTTAATCAACGCTCTTCCAAAATTAATTCAGTATTGAATAATGAGTAGATTAATTTACCTTATTCCCCATATCGAATGGTACAGATCGAAAGGAATACCCGTAGATGAAATTTTGTTATTCCTGTAGAACTGTACTCATTTTTATCGTCATTCCATTTCTCTGTTCGAGAGACCACAGCATTTAGAGAAGTATGCCCGGCATTTATGAAGCGATTATTTCACTCTTTTTTCAATGAAATATATTTAATTAAAAAATCCAAATCTAAAAAATCGTACTTGGCATGCAAAAGAACGGCAACCGGAGTAACCTACGTCTCGTTTCCGCAGCTCCATTCTGGCTGGAGGTCTCCAAAGGCGGTACAAGACAAGCCGATTCCTCGCACATCCTCTTGGTATCTTATACACTTTTTAATAACAATCGAACATGTTTACTTCAAGTACCTATACAATAAGAAAAAAGTTAATATACTTTATCGAGTGTTATGTTAGTTTCCACAACTCACCCGAATATTTGGATATTTATGAGATCACTGGTTTTCTAGCGAGGCGTAACCTTTCCCGAATTGCGGTAGCATTTCAGCAAAAATCGCCTCGGACTTTTAATTGCTCGCGTACTCGCACTAAAGTCACGCTAAAATGCAAACCGTCCGCCGGCTCGCCTATTGATTTTCCCCGATGCAGGATCGGCTCGACCTTCGCTGCATTTCCGCGCACGAAGGCGCCTTTCGCGCCGCTCCGGGGGCGGTGGTGACCTGGAGAAAAAAATCGATAAGCCTACCCCGAGTATACAGTGTTGCCTAACACGTAAGGGTCCGTTTTTAGCGAGCTCTCTCTCTTATAGGCCCTCTAAGTTTGTATTTATTATTCCGAGCGATATAAGCAATATTTTGCTACCCCTCTTAGCGCTTTCCAATTATAGGTAATCAAAAAAAATCGAGGAAGTAATGATACCTATGGGGAAGGATATGAGTACTTGAAGAAATTCGTCGGTGCCAGAATGTCCTCACATGTGGCCGTATTTCAGGGCGTTTTATTAGTAGGAAATTGAGGCTCCCTTATTAATATGACCACTTAAGAATCACTTAGGAAGGCAATTAGCCACCTTCGTTAAACATGCGCTTCCGACTTTTTTTGGCTCGAGATGGCTGTAAATTGACTATTTATGTATTCGAAAATTTCGGTAGATAATGCTTATTTGTGTAATAAACACCCTATTATCAGATCGTTTGGATAATAATAAATTGATGAAGAGTGTAGAGTGCTGGAGTATCAATTTTATTGATATAAATTCTATTCGTAACCCTCAGAAAGAAGTCTAAAGGTGTCAAATTAGATAATATTGATGGCCAGTTGACATTACCTCCCTTAGATAACATTACCATTGAATGTTTCTTCCAATAACAAAGTGAAATTTCACAATTTCTACCCTTTGTTCGGTCATGTAATTTTCCATAAAGGTACCTCTATGTTCACCACGAAAAAAATGGAGGCTAATTTAAAATGTTAGTTATATTATAAGTTGTATAATACGAATAAATATTGTATTCATCCATTAGTTCTATTGGAACATCCAATGAAGTGAAAAAATAAATAAAGCTTTCCATAGCGTCGAATGGAAGCATATTAATGCAAAGTTATATCAATCTTCGTTCGTCGGGCGAATAATAAAATTTAATTCGGAAAAACGGGAGGCCGAAGGGTAGCAGCTGTAAAAAGCTGGTGCGAATATCCGACGCATCAACTCGGCATAATTCTTATCAATTAACCGGAATGACAAATTGTTTATTTTCGCGTCTGATGGCCCGTCCGGACTCGGACTTTTATTGGCGCAGGTCCCGCCTAATTCCCCGTTGGACAATTAGCGCGCTTTGCCCCTTTCGCGTTCGGATGGACTCTTCAATCCGGAGGGTCTTTCGTCATTGTCCTCCGGATTAGTAAATAAATGGTTTAATGATAGACATATTTTTTTAGAAGGGCTTCTTCATCGAGATGCTGAGCATTGTTCGTTATTGATTACAGAATGAAATATATTCTGTAGAATATAACTGATTTTATTATTGATGATTTAATAATAAGATAACTAAAAATAAGAGAATGTCGTATCATAATTTTAACAAAAGTTTGATTATTTCAAATACGTCTGGAACCTAAAGGGAATTCTTACATGGATTGAAAGGGCTTGAGAATACCTATACTGGTCAATTTCCAAAAATACGAAGTGATCATGTTGATCAGAAAATTTTATACGCCCTGTATATGGAGCATCGAAACCCAGTTTAGTTTCATTTAGTAGGAGTGTCTGGACATTATAGATTACTAAATTTAAAACTTCCAGGTGCATTACTACCAGAGATATCATAGAAAATGCATTTGACCGTTTCTCCAAAAAATTTCGAAGAAAATTAAAAAAACTTAAAAATTGTGCATTATTGGCATATTGTGTTATGATCACAGTAGTTGGAAAGGACCCCAGAACCCAAAAATAAAGTCAAAAGTGGTATTTTTTATTATGGTAATGGTAAAAGTTGTAATGAAAGACTACAATACCCTGAAAAAACCTGTATAGACTGGAATAACACTGCTCTTCACATATTAAACAAGAACTTATCCATTTTATACCTTTTATTATTTAAATTTGTTCACTCAATCTTCACTCAATGAATCCTATTTTGATTATACATAGTACCAAGTTTCTAATAAATTATAAAAACAAATAATCCTTTTGCAACATACTCGTAGATTAACCCTTGCCTTGTGGGAGCGATCAAAATTCGCTCGGTAACATGTGTAAAACCTATTAAAACATAATCTAATAAATTATTAGGCGTATAAAATCCCTCTCTATTGTTGTGACAATGTGAAGTCGATTGCAGCGCGCCGTGATATATTAAATCCCCATTATGTAAGGGGAAAACGTGTCCTATTCATTTCGACGGGCCGTATCAGCGGCAATATGCTCAACATTTCGGAAAAATGGGCCATTTATGTTTGATAATTGCGAAGATATTCATATTCGGTTGTTATACGCGCTCTATATTAATTCATGATACAGGGAGAACTGCTTTTGTATACTAATAACAGAGTTTAAACGCGAGGGAATATAGTGAACTCAATTTGGAGTATATACAGAATTTTCAATGGGGTTTTTACGTTTGAGTGGTAGTAAAAATTAGTTTCGGAAGTTTCGATGATGCCCATCCGATGTATAAAGTCAACTATTGAAGAAAGTATACCTATTTATGCTTTTATGTTTTTACGATCCGATTTCGTTTTTACAGTTTCATAATTTAGCTACTGAATGTGTTTCTGTCGTAAAATTTTATTGCTCTTACTTCTTATTTTTCGGTGACGGTGTCTCCATTTCGAATACATCTTGTTTATACCTACCAATATTAACATAAGTAGGAGCCAAATAACGCTCCGAATCCAAATATAATTATTCTTTTAGTGTCAGGTACTTATAAAGGGGGTGTTCCGGGAGTTTTTCATTTGCTTTAGGAAAAACCAAATAACATTAAACCGCCTAGTGCCCGTAGTAACAGTTATTTACGGGTTAATAAAGGCAAAGACTAGCACAATGCGCGCGGGTAAATTAAATGATCGTACCAATTTATTGGGGCTAAATAACAGCCAATAAGTCTATCGCGGTGATGCTGTTACAAAATAAACGCCGCTACCGCCATAAAACACCTAGAATTAAAGCATCCGGGTAGTTTATTAAACACCTCCGGCCTTATTGGTGCGGCTGGAAACACTATAAATTTAGTGGCTCATTTCAGATTAAAATAAAGGAAAATCAACCACATTTCCGCATTCATTACATAAATATTATTGAAAGTGTATTTAAAAACGGAAAACGTCGCTCTAAAATAAGCTCTTTGGCCTTTGTTTGATCCCTTTTTTAGGAAAAATTTTAATGCGAAGGTCGAATTAAAACTGTACCTAACGCCCAATGTCATGGCATTTTAGTCCATAACAAGCTCTTCGAACTGGACTCATTCAGCGAGAGGTTCCCGGTATTTCGAACAAAAACTCTTTATCTACGGCACGCTTATACCGGCTAAAAGAATATGTTGTAAAATATTTTGACACGAGTCCTAATAAATCGTGCGTACAACGAAAACATTGATGTTCTAATAATGTCCGGCGACAATGGGCGATTCTCTCTGCACTCGCAGGAACTAAAGGTTTTTAAATAGAAATAAGAGAATGTTTCCGAAATGTCGAGGTCGAGGACCAAGGAGCTTATTAGTTTGAATTTTGGAAGGATCTGGAAGCTTAATAAGTTGTCCTAATTTTATATTTAGTCATAATACACCCGGTAACTTGATTGTTTTTAAAAAATAATTACTGATTTTCGTTTAAATATGGTAAGTACACAACAAAGTACAATAGGCTTCAAAAATTATTTGAGTGTTTAGGTGCTTTGAATTTTATTGAAGGTTGTCATGAATAATTGAGAGAATATTTCCGAAATACCAAGAGGTCCATGACCAAGGAGCTTGTATTATAACTATAGAGGTTGTAGTATAAATTTTGGAAAAATCTAGTAGCTTATAGTAACTATACTGGAGACGCGAAGGTTTAAAACGATTTACAGAAGGTTTTTTAGAAGAATATTGATAGCATATTTCCAAAATATCAAGGTCCAGGACCAATGAGCTTATTAGTATAAATTTTGGAAAAATCTATTAATGTCGTGTTCATTTACCCCTGCAACTTTTTTAGGTAAATAATTTTATGCTTATTTTCGTTTACCACAGCATCTAATTATAGGCATGCATCAAAAGTTATATTATTTTTAATGAAACACGGGATGATAATAAAGATTTTATCTAAACTTTATATTTTAAGAAGGTTTATTAATTATAATAGAAGGATTGCATGAGAGAGTATTTCCGTAATGTCAAAATATTCAGGACCATTGACCATTTTTGTATACATTTTGGAAGAATCTAGTAGCTTAATAATATGTCATGTACTTCTTATGTCATTTACCCCTGCAACTTGATTATTTTTGAGGGGAATTATATTATTCATTTCCGATTACATCATAATATCAAAGAAGGCTTCAATCAAGTTAAGTTTTTTAATAAAACACCAATGATAAAGATTTTGTCTACGCACTTTAATATTCTATTATAAAAAAGATTTTTTTAAGAAGAATTACCCGTATCATTGTTTAAGGTTAAACTTATTATTAAGTAAGTAGGTATATTTTAAATTCAAACTTATAAACTTAAGTTTACATTATTAAAACAGCCGCAATGTCTATTGCATTAAGCCGTTTTCCCACGTATCATTAGTCGAAATTCGACCCTCGTAAATTCCCGCCGTACGTCGAATAAATAATTCACCGCCCCCGTATCTTCGAAAAAGAGGAAAAATCCCGCCGACTTTCCGAACCTATAGACAGGAATTTACGGACGATTTTCCGCTGATGCACAGGCGAGTATTTCCACGGAATCCAGTTGTTTACGAGCGGTGGCCTTTTCCGACATGACACGCCAGCGATCTGTCGTTAAATCGAACTTTATCCAGCCTTGGGGAAATCACAGGCAGCCGTGATGCACCCGAGGAAATCACGCCGCCTTGATTCTTATATGCGCGACCGACGAAAATATTTATCGAAGTCGCCGGATTGGTTCCGAACTGTA